CCCAACAATGGGACTTTTAGGACCTAGCCCACGCGAGTTAGATTCCGCCTGACGTTAAATAGTAATAAATAAATAAAATATGTCAGGACTTGTAGCAAATGCTGATGAATTGAACTACAGAGGTTGTCTATGTACAAGAAGATTCGATTGTCCTTCCCAAAGCAGCTTCCCAGCCCTCTCTATATACCACAGAACTGGCTACGTGTCCTTTACCAATACTCTAGAAGGTTCCACCAAGTCTGCTTAGAGGTCACGTGCACATGTCGCTGGAGCACTCCAAGACTCACTCCACGGGTGCAACCCTTGACACTTTAAAGATAATAATAAGTCTTGGAATTTTTGTATAGAAAAAGAGGCGGAAGAGCAAAAAGTTAGATTACTATTTGACGACAATTATTTTATACTTTGGTTACTATTATATAACTACTTGAGTATACTCAAGTAGGTGAATCCACTACTCTAACCTACTCGACCAGACTATGCTTAAAACTACTACTCTAACCTAATTAACTATAACCCGTGTATACTTGATTATCTGAGGATTTCTTTCATGCGCTGGCCACAAGTTTGACCTTTGGCAAGCAGCAGAGATTACACACCAGCACAGTAACGTTTTTGCCATCTCTGGGCGGACTTAGCAATGCTTAAGCAAGAATTACTACACCCTTTAACACTGGCCAATCAGAAAGGAACTTCTTCCAACGTTTGCCTGAGATCCAAACGGAAAACAGTTCTCTGATTTGAATGGTTCTTGTGCTTTTGTTGAATGCTTCTGATTGTATCTACTTGAATTAAAACTTGTAGTTGGTTACTGTTGGTAAGACGGGTTTCCATGTGCACGGGAAACAAACTTCACAGGTGGATAGTTTGCTTTTAGAAAGTAGAACTATTTAGAAAGAGAGCGACTAGCTTGTTTTCAATATGAAAAGCTGGGCCTTTGAATCTGGAATGAAGTTGTTAGAGAGGTGAGCATTGCTCTGTACACACCTGAGTTGTAAAAATATTATCCTAAAAACCTTATACAACTAAATCAATTATACGAACAGTTTAGAACAATTAATACTTTTTACTCCTGATTGACCTAGGTAAAGTAGGACAATTAATTTACTTGTACCAGACTTTTGGTATAATGACTTTTGATAGCGTGTACAGAGCGATGCTCACCTCTTATTTGATTTTCACGTGAATTTAGTGGAGCCATATATATCAAAAGTTATAATGCCCACCTATTGTTTTATGTGAACCTAAGTTTTTAGCTCAAGTGCAACAACGTCTGTCAAACACTCCTTATCACACACAATTCACTGAAATACAGTTCTGGTTGATCTGTGACTTGTCGAATTGATGATATTGATTATCGTCATTTAAATAATAGTGGAGCAATCGGAAAAACCGTGCGGCCGATTGGCCAGTTCAGCTGGGGTCCATAGGAGAGGGTCTGATCGCAGGCGATTCAGCTGCTATCATTCGCTCAAATAAAAACTCCCAAGATCAACCGATGGCCGCGCTCCCCTCCAAATCAGCATAGGTATCCTCCTGCTTTCTACCATCACATCGCATTCAAAAAATCAGAGTATTGATAACTGGCACATCGCATACGTCCACTGTCACCACGCTTTCCATACGATACGGGTCGGCACACTGTATTCAAGAAAGTGGCTATAAATCCCCTGTCGCAACTCCAAAAACCACTGTCGCAGAGCTTTGGAACATCGCCAGTCGCATTCGGAGTCGCAGTCGCGTATTCTCCCAGTCAAGTTCTTGCGCCTGTCAACCCAGAACTGGTCGGTGTACAGAGTTGCCCCAGCACAAGAAACAAGTACAGTGTAAGCAACGACCCAAGAAAGAATATCAGCAGTCGTCTGTTCTCTCCTGGCGCACCACGTTTCTTGAGCAGAGGGCCAATTGAGAGTTCAATTCGCAGCTGCTCATTCACGTTGCCTGTGGTCTACGATACGACGTGCCGCTGCGTTGGTTGGTTCGGCGTTTTGAACCCGCAGATCTTGAAGCTTCCTACATCAAAGAAGCACTTCTAGTTCCATGACCAGTTCCCCCAGCCAGACCTTTGCTAATACAGCTTCTCAGGATAGCTTCTGCCAGACAACTTAATTAATTCAGCTTTTCATCATTATGGCTGAAGTCGAAACCCCTGTTGTTCCTCCTCAAGAGGAAACTCCAGTCGAATCTCAATCTACAGATGAAGCCACTAACGTTGCATCAGAAGCCGATACAGAGACAGAAAAGGAGGCTCCTCCAAAAGAGAGTACCAATGGCGTTAAGAAGGAAACTGTGCCTCCAAAGCGATCGGGAATCTTGGGTGGTGTAAAGCGAGCCACCTCCTCTGCCTCCTCTGCAACAAAACCCACCGCATCATCTGCTGCCACAAGAACAACTGGTGGATTGACCAAACCCCCTGTTCGATCGGTTCCTGGATCAACGGTCCGAAAACCAACAAGTGCGACTGCACCAACATCTTCAAGCGCTGGGCATAAATCTCAATCATCAATTGGAGGTTCAGGCGATGATAAGAAGAAGCCATTGGCGAGCAACATCAGGAGAACCTCTCTTGCTCCCTCGAGCAGTTCTACTGGAAAGCCCGAATCTTTGGCTGAAAAGCGTGGATCAGTTTCATCTGTATCAACTGCGCGCAGACCAACCACTTCCACAAGCTCTCTAAGCCCTAAGGCTCCTGTTAAGCCAGCTGCTACATCATCCAGAACAGCGACAAGCTCTATCGCATCGACCAGCAGATCAGCCCCAATTACGAAGCCAGCAGCTTCTGGAACTGTGGCCGACGCAAAGAAGAGATTGTCTGGTGTCTCTGGGCCACCCGCCACAGCTAGAACCGCTCGTTCAGCAAGTGCTACCCCGGCAGTATCTTCAAAGGAAATTGAGGAATTGAAGACAAAGTTAGCTGAGAGTGAATCGAAGGTGGAGGAGCTTACGGCACAAATCGCCTCTTCTCAGGCAAAATTGGCCGAGACCGGAAAGCAGGTCGAATTAGAGGCAGCACGTATCAGCGAAGCAGAGGAGAACATTCGAAATGAGCACAGCGCGCTGGTAGAGAATTTGCGTGAAAAACACAAAGCGGATGTCGAGGCATTACAAGCTCAATTGGAGGAGGCCGAAAAGGCTAAGGCAGCTGCCGAGGAATCATCAGTGAAGGCCATCGAAGACGCACAACAGGCTGCGAGTGCAAAGGGAGAAACCGAGACAGCGGAAGCCTTGGAAAAGCTCAGATCTGAGCATGTCTCTTCTTTGGCAGCACTTGAGGCAGAATTATCTAGTGCAAAAGGCGCAAGTGTAGCTGCACAGACGGCTGCTTCCGAACAAGCATCAGAATTGGCCGCATTGAAATTGCAGCTTGAGCAAGGAAAAGCAGAGCTAGATTCTCTGAAAGCGGAGCATGAAGGGGCTTTAAACTCGCTGAAGAAATCCCTCGAAGCCGAACATGCTTCTACAATCGAGGCATTGAAAGCTGCACACTTAGAAGATATCGCCAAAGGCAACACGGATGTTACTTCAACCTTTGAAAAGCAGCTTGCGGAGTTGAATGAGAAGCACGCTTCTACAACCAGCGAACTTCAGAAGCAAATCGAAGCAGCCAACGCAGCCCGCTCCGAATTAGAGTCGTCCCATAAAGGCAGCCTTGAGGCTCATCAAGCTGAATCGAAAGCCGCTCTATCAAAGCTTGAAGAGGAGCTGGCTACTTTGAAGGCAAAATCCGAAGCTGACCTGGCGTTGTTAATCGAATCAACGGAAAGCAGCAGCACATTAGCATCGAAGCTTGAAGCAGCACAGCAGCAATTGATATTGGCACAAGAAGAGCAAAAAGCTGCAGCAGACAAATACGAACAGTTGCAAACCAGAGGCTCCGAAGACGAAAAATCGTTAGAATCAATCAAGGATGAACTGGCCAGCGCCAAACAGCAGATTGAATCCCTCAAGAATATGATTGAAAAATTGGATGCGGAAGGGCGCTCCAAGGACGAGTTGCATAACCAGTTGAAATCGGAGCTTGCTCAGACTGCACAACGCCTCGAGGAAAAGACCAAGGAGATCGTCGAATTGCAAGAGAAACACAAAACAGAGCAAGAACGCCATCAAATTGCCCTTGACAAGATTACCAAGGAGTATGAAGCTGAAATCGAAGCGCGCCAAGGCCATTCAGCTGTCATAGAGGAATATGAGGCACTGAAACTCAAGCATGACGAGCTTTCCAAAGCCCACAAGGAGATCACAGCGTCGCACGCCGAAGCCCTAGAAGCTGCAAAGCAAGAACACGCCGCTGCTGTTGCTCAGTTGGATATTGCAGAAACTGCCCACAACAAGGCTCTCGAGGAATTGAAGTCTACTCATGCAAAGAATTTGGATGAGGCCCATGACAGAGCTATTACCGCTGGCCATGCAGCCCAAGCAATCGAACGAGAACAGCTGAAAGCTACTCATGCCGAAGCTCTGAATGGACTGCAGAGGGATTTCATTGCGAGCCAAGCAACAGCATCATCAACCGCTGAGCAACTCAAAGCTGCCCAGGACGCGATGAACGCGCAGGTTGCAAAGTCTAACGAGTCGCTCGCTGCTTTGAAGGCAGAGTTGGATTCCGCATTGGAAGATTTGGCAGGGGAGAAGATGGCCAAATTTATTGCAGAGGCTGAACTTGATGCCATAACATCCAAGAAGCCGGACACGTCAGAAATTGATGCCCTCCGAGCTGAATTGTCAGCCCTCAAGTCCAAGAAGCCTGACACCTCCGAAGCGGATGCTCTTCGAGCTGAGTTGGAGGCCCTCATATCCAAAAAGCCTGATACTTCTGAGGCGGATGCTCTTCGAGCCGAGCTGGAGGCTCTGAAATCAAAGAAACCAGATACTTCTGAAGCAGACGCTTTGAGAAAGGACCTGCAGACGTTGAAAGACCAACATCAAGCTTCTCTAATGACTGCTCAGCAGGAATCAGCGAAGTCCACGGAGGAACACCTGGCAACAAAGGCTGCTTTGGACAAGTTCCAGGCTGAGCTTGAAAAGCAGAAATTGGAAGCAGAACAACAAGCCAAGACTTCACAATCCGATTACCAATCTCTGCTTGATAGTATGGGTGAGTTGGTAGAGGATGGAAACAAGAAAGCCGCAGAGCTCGAGGCGAGACTCAAGGAAGCAGAGGCAAAACTCAAGGTCAAAGACGCCGAACTTGCAGAAGCAAAGGTATGTGGACTATCTTAACAATGGGGTATATACTTTTTACTCACGTCTACATTTAGACTAAGATCGGATGTCTCTCATCCCAAAAGACACCATTCAGTGCTGGCCTCTCGGCAAGCAAATATGCTACAGCAGATGACTCTGCCGATGGACCAAGTAAAGATGCAGAGTCAAAGACGGCAGAAGGTGAGCATGACAGTTCGTCTGCCGCACTTGCCTCGGTCCGATACCCTTTTTTATTACCCACAATGTTTTCTTTTTTTTCCCTTGCTCGTCATTGATACAGAAACTTGACGGAATTTACTAACGATATTTGATCATATAGTTGGCGAAAGCTAAAGTTGCCGCTGCGCAGCTTGAGGAAATGAACGAGGATGCGAAAAAAGACAATCTAAGGTAATTTTACGAGTCTTTTACGTCTTTTTTGTGCGCTAACCACTGCCAGATCTCTTGAATCTATCACGGATCCTGCTCCTAGCCTTGCTGTCTAGAATTCGCCATGCCACATGAACTTCCAACCTTTCTACACCTACGATACCCCATGTTCTATCTTTCTTCAAGTGGTTCGCCAAACCCACCACAGTTCGATCGACACTTTTAATAGCCATTAGGCTGCCCTTCTGTCACTCCTCTTCATCGTCTTTACTTCTCAGCAATCTGCTTGACTTGCGCCAAATAAATTGCGATACCCCTCTATACCCTTTATTGTTGTCATAATATCTGTCTGAAAATACCTCTCCGTCCATACCAAATGCTATGATTCCGTAGCTGCTTCTTTTGAGATCCACTTGCTACAACCCTTTGGGGTTGGAGATGTTGCATTTGTCTGGTGGATGTCTTGGTTGTTGTGGGGTGGATTTTAGACACAATCTCGACAAGTTTTTTGATTGAGATTGGCTGGTGGATAGTGGTTGTTGTACTCGGAATGTTGTACCTTTGGAGAATGAGAATGATTTTTTTCTGATGAGCCTGAATTTGTGAAAACTCGTCAAAATCTTGATCTTGGAGACATGTGCATTTTTCGCGTATGGACAGAAGCGGTAATCATATAAAGTAGGTATGCTTCCGACGTAGGGGAAATACATTTCCACAATAGAACATACGAGCTCATCTGGATAGACCCGTTCTACACTGGGGATTCTAGAACATACTGTATTATCCAACATAATGATGAAATGAATATCGAGTTACAGAATTGGACGGGCTCCATTGCTTGGATTACATTCATCCGTAAAAACACCACTTATTCCCTGTCAACCACTTGGTCACCTTGGCCTACTGTATAAGTCATATCGCGAAGTGAGACCCCCAAAGGATTCTTTAACAAAAATTAGAATGGCTGAACGTTGGTATGGAACTGACTACCCACGGTTTGAGGGACATCTCGGGGATCCTTAAAGAAGATTGGGGGCTATTTCGTGTATATGTAATAATTAAAGGTCCATTCGTCATACATGGTACGCAGGATGTAAGGCTTATTGTTGTTAATTTTATGAGAGAAGCGGGCATTACTCTGTATACACTTAAGTTACAAAAATATTATTCAAAGACCTCACACAACTAAATCAATTGTACGAATAGTTTAGAACAATTGTTACTTTTTAATTCTTATTGTGCCAGGTGAAATGGGACAATTAAGTTACTTGTGCCAGAGTTTTGATATAATAACTTTTAATAGCGTGTGTAAAGTAATGCTCTCCCCTGTTACATCTGAGTTATAGAAACATTATCTGAAAGACCTTATACAACTAGATCAATTATACTAATAGTTTGGAACAATTGTTACTTTTCAATTCTTATTGTGCCAGGTGAAATAGGACAATTAAGTTACTTGTGCTAGACTTTTGGCATAATGACTTTTGATAGCTTGTACAGAGTAATACCCACCTCTCTTACTTGCTGGCTAGCTTCGAGTACTTCGACTTCCTCTGTATGATAGACTAATCAAAAGGCTCTATCTAGTAGATGTATCGAAGTATAGAGCACCCTCGGCCTCGCACCCCGAACGGGGGCTATCTAACTAAATAATCGACGCCTTATTGACTAGAAAGCTTAGGAGCTAGGGTATAAGGAAAAGTATATAGCTTTTAATACTAATTCGCACTAGCGCTAAGGTGAGGGGCTAGCGAGATGCATGTGGGTGGGATGAAAGAGTTCAGACAGCGTGACTAACTTATAATATCGTGGTAGTGTTAAGGGAGGAATATTACTAAAAAAGAATGTTATCACGCTCACTTTAAAAGCTCGAGGTCTATTTATTTTCCGCTCAAGTTGCTTTACAGTTTAGCCCGTTTGATAGCAGCGTTCGGTAAATAGCACTTGTTTCTATAGATTCTGTAATTCTATACTATATAGAATATTTCTAGACCTCCTTATAATAGAACACTTAATTTTATCGGATAAGCTCTAGAGTGCTAGAGGTTTTACTAACTAATAAAAAAGTAGAATATAAGAGTAGTAAATACTAATTCAAATTTAATTTTATATAATAATGTTTAGATACGCTTTAGCGCCGTTATAAAGTTATAATTTCTTTATTACTCAGTAGTTTCGTAGACTCCAAGAGCTTACTACTAGATGTGTAGAGACTCTCTCCCGGTAGACAAGATAAGTAGCAGCCTTAGTACTAGAATTCTATAGAGACATGTAAAATTAACTACGCCAAGAGACTCTCTACCGAGTTAATAGCTTATTCGTAATACTATTTACTAATTCTCGGCCAAGCGAAAAAAGGATTTCTATTAGTCCTCGTACTAGAGAAACTTTCCTCCGTGTTATATAATATCGTTTTATAGCATATTATCGAACTACCCCAAATAGAATAGTATATGCTAGAGTTTCTGATAAATAGTATGGAATATTCTACAATCTGGTATAGAATAGAATTACAGATGCCGAACTTTGTTTGAAAGGAGATTTGTTAGTACAGGTATAGGTTGAACTCTTAAAGATAAGGAGTTGCTCTTTGGCGACAAAGAGAAAATAAAACTCTTCTCATTGCGGGGAACTCTTCTAGTGGTATTGTATATCAACAATGGCCTGCGAGAGCACATATGACACTGTATGGTTCTTTTCCAGCTGATACAGAACTTTGATGAAGAGTCTTTGCTGAACTCTTGTGGTCTGCCGAAAGGGGTCGAAGCACAGTGACAAGCCCGAATACGCCGCAGAACAACGCCGAATAGAACAAGAAAATCCTTTATCCATGGAAGAGAATGCTAAATTTCCCTTCAAGCCCGCTTGTTCTTCCTTTTGGTGCCAGACCAATCCTCGTCAACTTCATTGTATGAAGGTAGGAAGCTTGGAGAAGCTCTTCATCCCCAGGATATATAGAGGTTCCGTCTATTTCCCAGCTCCTAACGCAGCTTATATCCTATTTGAACCTAATTGACAACTCACTTCAGAATATCCTCTCTGTTGGACTGGTAATACTGGAAACACCAACTACAGCATCAGGATCAATCTCGTGACGGCAACTTCTGAATCAACGGACATCTACCTAGGAGACCGTTCTCTTTTTATTTCCCCTCCTTCAAGGCACTAAAAATGTCAAGCGAAGCCAAAAAGCGAGCATTAAGCAGCTCTGAAGAGCAAGATGAGCACCCTAGTAAGCGCATTATGGAGAAAAATAGAAGTGTACACCTTACAAAACTACCATCAAGTGAGTTCATTGAGTAAGTTCTATTTTCACATATTTCACATTACACTTTCTCCAGAAACACCACCTTTGTCCAGTAACCCTTCTTCCAAGCCTCCTAGAGTCTTGACAGTCTCTTGTAAAGCTCATCGTTAACCTCAACACAGTGCATTTATGAAATACCAGAAGGAACCGAACGTTACGGTTACAGTCGAGGGGAAGAAATTCATGCTACCAAAGCAACTTCTTTACGATCGTTCTCCTTTTTTCGATGGAGCATTCAACGGCAAATTTCAAGAGAGTATCACAAAGGCCCTGGATCTGAAAGAGGCTCATGCGTCAACCTTTGAGCATATTATTCGGTGGATGATCTTGGGATGTGCCCGTATTCATCTTGAATCCAGTTCCAAGCCCGAAGAACTCTCCAAAGCTACCAGTCAATACGTCGAGTACTTTATGCTCGCCGATAGGCTCGGTCTTGAAGGCGATTTCAAGCCTGATGCCTCGATACTGAAGAAAGTAATAAAGAAATGGAGGTTAGCACTTACGGCCGAGCATCTCAGAACAGCAGCCAATCCCCCGAAGGATCACATCTTACGGGCTACCCTTGCTCAAGCCTGTGTTAAAGAGTATTTCGGTTTTTTGAGCTCGGATAGACCCTTCCGATGTCAATCCAAGCCCTTCCGATATCAAGCTGAGATGGATGGGTTAGAGGGATTCGCATCGGACCTGCTTCAAGCCTTCCATAGCGCTAGCAAAGGAGTGGCATTCGTAACTACCCAAGCTATTTTTGATGAGGACTTTGAGGAGGTTTCTGAGGAGGCTTCCGATGATTATTTTTGATTCGGATAAATTCGCGATATTCTGTGATCTTTCGAACTCAAGAGTAGAGACAGAAGTATAAGTACAGCTCATTTCCGCAAGTAGGACAGCTTCTGATCGAGGGACCAATGGGCATTCGAATGGTTGGTGAGTTGTATGGAAAAGGATACTGGCTGGCGCTGAAACGATGTGGTGGGGATGATGGATATATACAGTACAACAATAAAGTAAAGAGGCTTCCTTCTTCTTCTTCTCCTTGCAGGAAAGAGCATACTACATCATCGCTTTCTTTCTTACCCTGTGAATGAACATTTCCTTTCTCAGAGAGAATCTCTTTGAATTGTGGCTTTCGTCCAAGAGGCTTAGAGGAGCCAGATCTAAATTTTCCCTATAGTCCTTTTCAAGTACTTCCAGACACTATCAGCGCTCGGCAAATGGAACCTATTCCATGCAATTCCAGCGATTCCATACCAGATGGAATGATTCCAGAGTACCTTTAAAAAAGAATTAAATATTGCAGAGGGGATAATGGAATGGAACGGGATTCCAGCTGCCCAGCGCTGGACACTATACACGATGAGGGGGTATGACGGGAAGCAGATAGGAAACCTCCACCTATCTCCCTTTCACCCTCTCACCCTTTCACCCTCTCACCCTCGCTCCCAACCTCCACATCCCCATCTCCGCCTCTCCTCCCCTCCAAAAACACAAAGTCCCAGCAAAACCAAACACCCCCCAAAGAGATCCCCAAAAGAATAAAAAAAGTCCTCACCCTCAAAGAGGGCGGCCTAGGACAATAAACCAGACGAACTGAGTTTTTTGCGATTTGATTAGTCCCGGTAAGGCTCTCACCAATGTTTCCATTAAGTTACGCAGGCATGTACCGGACGATTTGGTGTGAGGGGTGTCACTTGAAGTTATAATTGTGAGAGGGGGTGAATGTAGTGAATCTTTTTTTAGGGAATGGAAGGAATCAAAGGATGTGGGGTGTTTTAGTTGAGCTGTGCTGGGGTAGGATTTTTGGTAACGGTGTTTATGTGCGATACTGGGTTTTGTAAGGGTGTAAGATATACAAGCTTGAAATCTTTGGATTTGAAGTATCGGAATGAGTAAGTAGGGGCGGAGATTGAAATGGGGCGCACTAAGTAATCAATGTGCCCTTGCATTGAGAAATTCATAAGTCAGAGACTCGGGTTAACAGCTGGTCAAGTTCTGTCTAAGGTCCTTCGCTCCTTGCTCAGTCTACAACCTGTTCACCTAGGTCGACTTGGCTCGAGATCGCTCTTTCCCTTTGCATTCTTCCCTTGCCTTGACCTGCTTAAAACTCGCTACGCTACGGTGGAGAGAGCACGTTCTGTAGTGACAAGGGAAGAAAGTACTGTCTACCTCCATAGTATCAACCCCCATGCCGCTCCCCTTGCCCTCCTCACATGTTTGGCTGCCAGATGCGGATCACGGGCAACAGGCAACCAAAGCTCCCATATGTGACCTCGGAAGCAGTCACCATCACAAACTTGTGGATCGTTACATCGACCAGGCTTCCAAAATGCCGGAGTTTCACATTGTGCTGAATTTCAATGTATGAAGATCTTTGACTTCGCTACTCTCATCTTCACATACATCTTCCAAAAGAGGTCAACCTAACCCACCAAAATCACCAAAAACCGTATATCGACGAACAAGACATACATTCTTGAATTAATACATTTGATCGCAGCTCTATTTTTGTACGAGACCATCATGAAGTAGCCAACCCATATTTTGTACTCATCCGTCGCCCCCATGGACGAAAGTCCAAAATATCATCCGTCCCAGGACCCTGTCCAGAATCCATCTGACCATTCCCCTCCGTCATCCCAACACAGCAAAAGTGTCGATCACCAACTTCAAAAATGGCCGAGACGTAGAAACTAGCCTAAAAGCTTCGTTCTCGTTATGGTCGGTTCCGCCGAGGTCAGATGCTGACACTTGGGGGTATTGCCGATGTATTCCTCCCCCCCTTGTGGCACTGGGCTGAGCTTTGCGATGGATATATTCATCGATGACATGAAGCCTTTCATTCTTGTCCTCCTCTCGTTGCTACTCTTTGTCTTACTGTCCAGCTTCCGATCAATTGGAGTACGAGTTTCATTGGAACAAGCACCACTCTCTTCAGATAACATGGGAAGCAATTCCTCTGGTCGTGCGCCGAGAAATGCTTACAACACCGTCCCATCGTTGAGGTTAGTAGCCTCAAACACTAGCGATGACATTTGAGCCAGGCTCCTTTTCATCTTTGTCGACAATGGTACCACCAACTCTATCAATCTCCTCGGCTATTTGCCTGGACTTGTTATTGGCAGCCGCTCCGCCAATGATGGCTCCTTCTCCATCAAAGTGCTTCGCAATCTCCTCCAAGGGCGTATTTCGGGTTTCGAGGTAAAATTTCCATACTACGAAGAGTTCAAACAGAAGCCAGAAACAGTAGAAGAGATAGTACTTCCACGACAGACGAGACAAGGCAATTGGATTGATGTACTGGTTGAAAAACAGTGAGATGTCGATCGCGAGGAACAGAACAGTCATGCCTTTTGCGCGGATGTTATATGGCAAGATTTCTACCGAGTACCCAATGAGCAATCCAGACCAAGCGGTGTTGTAGAATACGTAATAAATGAATATGGCGACTACGACAGCGTTCGCGGAGGACTTGGACCCATGTATCACAAATTGGGCCGAACAGACAGTCCAAACCAAGTAGGTCACAAACATTCCGCCAGTCGAAATGAGGAAAAGCGTTCGTCGACCAAGTCGGTCAACAAAGAAACACATGCCAGTGGCCACCAGAATATTCGTGAACTGGAGAATACCATTAATGAGTAGTTGAAGTGTTGTTTCCTCGATGCCGATTTGGTTGAGGACAGCGTGGATATAATAACTACGAACAAGTCAGCTTTGGACATAGAGGAACACCGTGGTAGATCATACCTAACAAGTCCATTACCAGACCATTGGGAGAAGAATCCCAGCGAAACAAGGATGATAAGACGATGTCGATTTCCGGGCTTTCCCCAAAGTTCACTCCAACTGTTCCCTTCAAGCTCTTGTTCAAGTTTCAAAGTTCCTCTGATTTCTTGATATTCCAGCTGCACGACTTCATCCATTTTGTCTCCAGCGGCATGCGCATCGGCAAGAATTCGAAGGGCCTTCTCGTTCTTTCCTCTCGATATCAGCCATCGTGGTGATTCGGGTACGAACCTATTTGAAAATTAGACAGCGTACTGAAGTATTTACCGAAACACTCACCAGATGAAAATCATCTGCAATGCCGATGGCAAAGCCTGCACAACTGACGGTGTTCTCCAAGCCCAATCCGAATGAATCTTGTTGGTACCTAAAACTTGATCAGTCCCAATCTTCAACAAGATCTTCTGGGTTCATTTACCGAAAGTCAGCCAGGCCGCAAGGAAACTCCCCATATACCATGTGGTATTGTAAATCGCAGTGTAAATCGCGCGATGTTGTGGATGTACCAGTTCCGTTATCAAAAGAGGAGAGGATCCATGGGCAATCGCTACACCAAATCCAATGAAGAATCGAGCGCTGACAAACATAGCGAAGGTAAATCCAAGACTTTGCAGGGCGACTCCTCCAAGCATAATTGAGCATCCGACCATCACTCCACCACGTCTTCCTAACATGTCGGCCGCATACGGTACAAATGGGAGGGCCACGAGCGATCCAACAGGCCATATACTATTTAACAGACCAAGTTGAGATGGAGAGGGTTGGTGATAATCTGGATGGTGCGTTAGTTTGGTGAGAATCAAATGCTACGTATTACCCACAATCCCGCCATTGCTCCAGAGTCTGAAGACCGTTCATCATCGAACTATCATATCCATTTGTGGCCGAAGTAAGGACGACAAACAGCAGACATATATACAAGCCCCGCATTCCCTTTTGCCTGTACCAAGTAACGCGGGGAAACTGCTTCCCCGCCAACTCGAAGGTTCCTTTCGTATGTTGGAAATCCATAGTTGGGGATTCGCGACGACCGAGCAGGAGGAGGAGAAGCTCGTCGAGGACTCGAGGCACTGACTGGCGTTTTGTTCCAAACCTGGAGAAGTACCTATCTGTATGGGGCCCACATGGTATTATACGAAAGCTCCGGGCCTACTTTATTTCAACCCTCACTTAATCAATTCCGGTCCACTTGGCGGAAAGGTTGGGGAAGCTTCCTGCGCCAGGCCTGTTCAAACACCACACGGCAGTACGGACCGCTTAACATCAATCTTCTATGTACGGTGGCCGGGTAGTGCAATTTTGATAAGAGAGCCAGTCAGCAGCCGGAACGGAGGGAGGGTTGGTTATAAGCCATGAATCAGCTCTCGTTCCATACAAACATCAACAAGATTGACGACGACGAGTGGACGAGGGCCTTAGGGCCGGGAATAATGATTAAGAACGGAAGGTCAACGTGAGCGTTGATAGAGCTGTATCACAGACTGCCGGTATATTACAAGGGAACCGTGTATTCTAAGGGAGAGGGAGCGGAAGGAGACTAGACGAATGGCCATACGAGAGGGCCAGACGCTGACCGGCTAAACCCCACCCCCCCTTTTCCCTTGAGATGGGAGATGACTTTTGCCTCACAGTGGGCAGAACGGGGAGAACGGGTGCAACGAAGACGGACCGTGGCACGCGTGGCTCTCTCACACTATTCAAAGTCAATTGACCATTGGTAGGGGGGAGAAGTCCTACAACATATACCATGATCGTTGGATCAGGAACACCTCGAGCTTTCCAGGTGACATGTTGTAAGAGTCCATAGCCTGTCCATACCCCAGCTTCTCGCAAATTCCCCCGCATGGTATAGCGTTTTATAGGGCCCCATGGTAATCTTGGCTAAGCACGGTGCTGCCCCCAAAGTCAATGTAGCGATGGCACAACTGATGATGCCAGGGTTTGGGATAAATGGCCAAACAGAATGCCTGTAATTCGGGCTGAATGGCTGAGAACTCCCGGTCGAGAATGGCTAGGTGCCTTAGCATCCAATGGCTGCTAACGTTTTTCCTGCTTCTCGGGGGTCGAAAGGAGTCTACAGATTGTCGAGTAGGTGTGCAATTCGAGTTGTGGGCAACCGTACGGATCTGTCGTCGTCTGTCCCGAAAAGGTGCTGCGGTTCGTGTCTTTGATCAATCAGACGATCTCCCTACAAGGGTCCCTGACTGGTTCCCGGCTGGATGCTCGCCCCGTCATCCACTCACAAACGATGTTCCCCTCCTCCTCTACCAGACGACAAACCGTCCACCCATGATCGACCTAACGCCATGATCTCAACCAAACAAAACCTTATGTTCCTCTATATATTTAGCTTTGATGATTTGATGGTCCTCCCCTCCCACCCCGACCGTTTTTCTGGAAGTCCAGAAGAATCCAGGTCCTGGAGAATCTGGAAGATTTGTAGAGGCTGTTTTCTGGGATTTGCTGATCGATGCAATGCAAAAGCCGGTCGTTTTGTTCTTCTTCGTCCGGCAGATGGAAATGCAAACGACTTCCTACTTACTCACTCTGTGTGTAACGTAGCTCGCTTCCACGCGTCGATTGTGTGCCAGTGCATGCAAATCCATATTGGTTCCCTCTCCATATATTTTCCCATCGTCAAATTCCTAGATGTGATGGAGATGCCAGATTGGCGAAACCCAATTCGCGTGCCGGTTCTTTACGATGTACATTTCCTCTCTTGTCTGTTGTCTCGCTCGTCTTACTGGATCTGTCGAGCTTTCGGTGTCTGCCGATACACACGAGTACCGACACCACGTTCGAGTGGCTTGGTGGGGGGGGACCGGGCCGAGACGGAACAAACATGTCTTCTCGGTCGTCTCTTTGGAGGTTGTTTATGCCGCGGAAGAATTATATATATATAGCAGACTGCAGCTCGTCTCACTTGAATTGGGAAAGAACTAGGTCTTGAAACTATGTTTCATGTTTTCCTTTTATAGTATGGTTCCACAGTTTGTTTATATCCATCAAGCAATCTTTTTTTCTTGTTTTCGTTATAGAACCTGTCACTTTTTTCCCTTCCTCGTCTGGTCTGTGATAGATAAGGGGAGTCTCCTTGTTTGGTCCATCCGCCTTTCATAGTTCCAAGTGGGGGCAGAGTAAGAGTACCATTTGGGCGAAGACACATTTTCCCGATATTCTACAATACCTCACTCACAGACGACGAAAGAGGCTGGCGGCACCAAAGGATCGAGGGTCATCTATTGAATTTCCCGAATCCAATTATGAAGCAAACACAAGCAGGCAACAACGTTGGGTGAAAAGGCATGACATCGAAACACGTGGATCAGGGGTACTTCCAGAATGGATGGCACGTCTGAGTATAGTATCACTCCCGTATATCTCTATCCATCACATTTCACTCCCTTCACTCGCGCAGCAGGTATTCCTTTCCCTTACACCTCATCTCGCATCGCGCATCTTATCTGCATCCTCACATGACAGCGAGCCGCCCAACAATTCTAATCCTTCATCTTAGGGCCTCAAGTCCTGCAACCCCCCTCACCTCCCACTACATACATCTCAGAAGAAACGCATTATACCAAGTACACGGAGATATGCACGACACCAATAGAGAAACATTACTTATACCCAGTGGTCCCCACGTGGTGATGAGGCAAGGCGGAATGGAAACATCCATTCGGGTGAGGTGATCAGTAATCCTTTCTCACGTTTCTTCTACGTCACTTTTGTCATATTTCGCGGAATATGTTGTATATTTAAGTAATTGCGCATTCTCTCTTTTGATCGCTGAGATCATACTGTCTGCATCTTATTCATGAGATCCGGTGGGGTGGGATGTCCTTTCATTCGCTTTTTCGTGATTTCTGTGTATGTACTTAGGATCAAGTCAGGTTGGGAAGGATTAGGAAGAGCATATCTAGCCGTGCTTATTCTCGCATTCTTTTCTTCTCGCTGGTTGTTTCATCTTGAATCATTTTTGCTACGTTTTCGCTTTTTCGTGTTTATGCGCTTGGTGGTGTGTGGTGTGTGGTGTGTGGTGCGGGATCGGATTGTGCGTCGTGTTTCTCAGAACTGGATTCCTTGGGCTTGGGAAAGGGGATGAGGGATGAGAAAGGACTCAAAGGAGAGGAAGATGGACAGAGGGATCTCGAGAACGGCGTGACGATCAATCAATAGTGTCTGGTAAGGCAAGCGCCTATTTGACGTCAAACATTGAGAAGGCTGGATCTTCTTCAAAATGAGTTGCTGAAGCTGAGCAAAGTTGTTACGGGGAGGTGAGTGGCTGTGCGGTTGATCGTTTTTCTTCGGTAAGACTTACTTTGCTGAACCGCGAGTCTACAATTTGACGCCATGGAGAGTCTCCAACTGACATGGGTGGTTGAGTGGTGGTAATCGTCAGCAAGTCGATCATCCGTGGACTTTGAAGTTTCAAAGTTTCAAAGTGATATATCGCAGAATCAACATTTCTTCACTCAACCCCCAATAAAAAGAAATTCAGTCCATCCATCTAAGCTTCTTCCCAAATCATCAAGCTCAACCACTCTCCTCCCAACCTCTTCTCAAAGTTCAATGAAGCAAACCAAACCAAATACCAAACCTCACACTCCTCGCTTAATTTAACCCACGGAAGTAACACATTCCTGCCCCAGCACAGCACTCAACATCCACTCCACTCTCCAACCAATCCCCACAAGAGGGATACATGTTGGCGCCATGCAAAGATCGCTCATCGGGCCCCCCGTTGCCACGAGGGAGGGAGGTTGGTCCAGTGAAGATGTTGGGTTGTGGTGGGTGTTGGAAGTGGTTGTGGCGTTGAAGTACTGTACATTGCAGATTTGGGGACATGCTTCGGGAGAGCGCTAGTGGTATGTTGCTTGTGAATATGGTTTCTATGGTGATAGAGGGGTGTAGATAGGGATGAGGATGTGGATGTGTTTTGTTGGCGCTGGATAGGGGGGAAGGGAGCGCTTGGAGGTTGAAGTGTGTTGGTGGCGTAGACTTGATGGTATATTGGAAGCTTGAAGAGGATACTGTAGATGTGTTGTCGTTCCTGTTTGAATGATTCCCGTCACAAGTTTTTCGGTGTCAATAAGGAAGACGGGTTTTCGCTTGAATAGTTTGTTCTTGCTATACATGTTCTTCATACGAAGAGTCTTTGAGCTAGGAACTATAGTATCTATAGTATCTGTAGTATCTATAGTATCTATAGCATCTATGGTATCTACATGGTGAAACCAAATCACTTACAGGGAGTCCTTGAAGACAGTAGACTATTCAGTATCGCATTGACGAGCCTTTCATCCAGCGGTTGGATTCCAGCCACCACATATGCTCCAACCCACACATATCAACGATGGCTGAAATTCTTCACCGTTTTCCAGCTCTCGGACGGCGTCAACAAGACGTGTGCCTCTTGACCACGGCCTCGCAATCCCATCAGCATTCCTTCTCCAAGGCGCTGCGCTACAGCGCCTCATCCAACTCGTAGAAGAGAAATGAACTACAATCCCACGATCCTTAGTAGAATCAACGCGCGCAGCTTCAAGCAGGCTTCGGATGGTGGACCTCGTCGTTACCGCTCCATTGGCACCATGACCACGCGGCATCCAATGAGTAAAAAAGGACGATCCGTCGATGGTACTTGTACCGGTACGTAGACGCGCGCAGCTCCAAACTGCCTCGACCAACGGGTTGGCGGCTCATCGATTGGCTCGGCGGCCCAAAGACAGCCACTCACGAACCCACTTGAGCCTCCTTCCACGTTATTTTCAGAGATGCTCGGATCCCCACGACCGACTTTGGCTCATTGTCCAGGTGGAGGAACCCCCATTGTAGGCCGCACTGTGCGTACATCGCGGATGGGGAAGGAAGCGCGCGGGTTTCGTGGTGGCAGACGAAGGAGACTTCCCTCATTCGCCTCGCACGACTGGGCCTCCTGAGTGCTTTGCTTGCTCTTCTAGAAGAGATGGAACCGCGCGGGCAATTTGGAACGAGCGGTATCCCCCTCTCCATTCTTTACAAGCGCGAATTGCATAAGTACAGAATGGAAGGAAGGTCCAGCTGATAGAAAGCTCAACCTCGAAAAACCAAGTCTCAGCTCGATACCGGCAAGAACCCGAAGGCTCCTTCCTCATTCTTCTTCCTTGCCATTCATTTACTTAGGCTTAGCTTACCTGTAACCCTACCAGGGCTTCGGATCACCTCGCACGCCCACGCTTCCCCCCCGTCGCTCATCATCTCTTCCACCGTATAGTGATCCGTTGGACTTCGAGAAGAAGCTGCTTCTGCTTCGCCTGCCCCGCCAGCAACCGAGCTGCGGTGCCCTGGTCGTCCGCTTCAGCCAATCAGCAGCCATCTACCCCATTTTGCATCTCATTCAAGATCTCTTCGCGCCCAGGACCTCGTGCGAACAGGGTCTGCACACTCCTGCACCTATTTTTGGGACTCACATCGCACATATCCCCCCTCAACACCAATCATTCTCGTCGGAGCCTCCCCGCTCGCAAACGCCCTCGACTGCTGCACCAGCACCAGCGGGAATCACGTCCAATTGCGAGAGCTGCACCGTCAATTGCTGCCAATTTTCATTCATTCTTCCTCTCTGCGTTGCGCCTGGATCCCGGTGGGAGCCTGCAAAAGTTGGGAGAATTCAGGAACCGGGAGTATTGAATACTTGCACACACCCGGACCGTTGGACAAGCGGCTTCCATAACAGAAACACCGTCACGGTCAGTGGCACTCACTCACCACCATTGTCACCTCGCCACGGAAGTCTGTACGAGTACCTACGTAGCCTCATCCCAAACACGCTTCATCTCATCTCATCTCATCTCATCTCCCTCCAGCCCATGTCCCTCGACTTCGACATCCTCACTTTGATATCTTCACTATTGTCGCTTTCGCCGTGACATCTCCTACTAAATACTCATCTACTTCTTTTCCACCGCCTACCACCGTGTCACCGCAACACTCGATTACCAGTGAGCACCCTCACCCACCTCACTACTCATCCTGCATGCCGGCTGCACTCTGCACTTCCAGCCCCAAGCGCCTTTTGTCACTCGCACGTCTTTGAAGCAGCACGAGAGCCCACCAGCGCCAACGCCAGCACTCTCCTCCCCTCACCCTCCTCACCAAGAGCCACCTTTCACTCCCCTACCCCGGTCTCACTCCCGTCACCCAATCCTACCCGCTTAGCACCCGCTGCTATATTCGGCCCACCACCACACGGACGCGCTGACCACTGGCCACCCACCGACTCTGACACGCTCCACACATCACCTTGCTGGGGAAACAAGAAACACCCGACCAGGGTCTTCATCTTTTTCCTGCCTGCATCATTATAATATCTTCCACCAGCCCGACTTTGCCAACCCTCTTTTTCCCCTTCCTCTTTCACGGACTGCCCCGTCATTGCAGCTTGCCAGCCTCTTCGACTCCGTGTCTATCATTTGCTTCCAAAGACATTCTTTAGCAAGACGACCAAGGGATACAAGATGGCCTCGACTACTACCACCACCAAGCCCAAGCTTCCCCAGCTCGAGACTCCTCTTACTTCGACCTTCCCCTCGGAGCTCTCTGCTACTTCTCTCTCAGCAAGAAGCCCATTGCCTGGCTATGCCGATTTTATCAAGCAAGAGGAGTACATCAAGACACCCATCACTCCACCATCTGCATATACCGACTTCCTCAAAAGTATGAACAGCCCCGCGCTGGACAGTAAATCTTCAGGTCGTTCGACTCCAAGCTCGACTCCAACCTCGGCGCCTTCAACTGGAACTAGTGATCACAGTGATTGCTCTTGCAATTGCGAAACACATAAATCACCCACCTCCACTACATCAAATAATTTTGTCTTTCCCTCCTCGGCACCATCCACCGGTCGATTAGGGCGCTTACGCATTCCTCCGTCCCCAGCCTACTCCACTGTTGAATCACCACGGAGCGCAGCCTCGAATGTCAGGTCACCATTTAGTGCGAGAAGTGCACGATCACCATACGATTGGGATTTGAAGACCAAGGGAAGATATTTTGATGTCAAATCACCCAAGACTTGCCGCTCAAGTGTCCGTCAGGTACGAGAGATTGTTACCAGAACTGTCACATATACCCCACGGATGAGCCCAGCACCAAAGGGAAAGAGGAGGAAGATTGAATAGATATACTGTACATCTTCCTATTCAATTCGTTACGAACCTTTACCACACAACACACACTTTACCACCACATTTTTTTCTTTTGTCAGACACTATATAACACGAGCCACATTACTCCTCAACTCACCACCGCATCATTACGATTTAACGCCTTCAATTCTTGACGAAATACATTTCACCGGGGTTGGGTTCTCAAAACTTGCAAGGGGAGACTTTTGAACTTTTGAGAACAAGCAGGGAGGAAGGAAAGAAGTCCAGCGACGTCATCGAAATAAATATTTACTTATTTGTTTTTGTTTGCTAGGAGTTTTCCGGGACTTCCAGGAGCAATGTTTGTTTTTTGGAGTAAGGAAAACCGGGGGTTTGTTTATCCTTTGGGAAAGGAAGATTTGGGGGAGGACTTTTTTTGGATCAAGGAAAGTGCTACGGCAAACCGGCGTTCTTATTTGGCGTTTTTACTTCAATCATCCCAGGGGGAGCTATGGGGTTTGGATCTTGGATTTGGACACGGGAATTCTTTGGTGGGATTCACATTGGAGGTCCTCTTATCTCTGATTTGATTGAGCAGAGCAAGCAGAGGTTCGATTTTTGATACCATTGTTTGAAGAAAGAGAAATGAAGTAAAATCTACCCTTTCAAAACTTTTACATTTTGACTTTGAAGTTTTATTCGATACCTATGATGAACACCTAATATCAATTAGACAATTCCTAGGGTAAGGTAGAATCACATTTACTCTTGGACCAGGCGTTCTTCTTACGTCAATGTGATATAAGGTTCACAACCTACCAATAGGAAATATTCCATAATCCTACCCTACCTCACCCTACCCTACCAACCAAAAATGTGTTCCAACAAGAACTACCATACAAGTCCCGAGCCGCCCATGGACACCACCACCAACACCACTAACATATCATCCTCCTCCCGACCCGTCACCACCGCGCCTGATAGAAAGATTGCGAGGAGAGGGTTACAACCCGTAAGTAAGCCTTCATCGCGTGCCATACCGTCTTTTGTTTATTTTGTGTTCAACACGTCTTCTTGAGCTTGGGGTAAGGGGGGTAGGTCGGATCTGGGGCCGGACCGGGTTGGGTTGGGTCTGTGTTAGGTCTGGGTCTAGGAGGGGTTGGTTTTTTTTTTTTATGGAGAGGGATGCGGTGTGTGTTGTTTTTGTTTGTTTTGTTGTTTTGTTGTGATGGTTGTGGTGGTACGAGGATTTGTGGATTGTGTGTGTGTGTGAGTGTGTAAGTGGGTTGGTTTGGTTTGGTGGGTTGGATTTGCGCCTCGGTAGTACTGTACAGACTTTCATAATATTATTATTATTATGTTCTTTTTGGTCGAGATTGGTGTATTTCTCTAGATGTACTCTGAAAGTCGAACAATATATATAATGAAATACATAACAAACATAAACCTCGACCAGAAAATCTCCTACGACTTCACAGAGGGGGAACGATCCCCCTCCACAACCCCATTCCGCGGACCAAGATCCCCCTCCCCTCCCCTCACCACGACTCCCAGCAACCGGCTACCAAGACGGAGATGCGCTTAGATGGGCTGGGATGGGATGAGTAGATGGATAGAAGATAGATAAAGTACGAACGGTATTCTCCGTATCGTATCGTACTCTATGGAAGATCCACTTCATACACTACACTACACTACACTACACTACACTACATACACTACTACATAACTATCAAGAATCAATAATCAAGCTCGATCAAGCATCTCGGTGAGCCACCTGCACACATATATCCTAGAGTAAAGCAGCACCAAGCGAGGGGTAAGGTTACTTGCTGCCAATCACATATCTTCTAACAGTGGAGACCCAAATGCGGAACCCCCTGTCGGCGCCTAAGCAGGTTGGAGGGTACCTATTGAGGGGATTCATTGGTTGGGAAACGGTGGAGGGGCGGGGGTTTAAGCGCTGAGGGTTTTTTTGGTGATGGGTTAGATGGAGGGGTGTGGCGTGGGGGATGGGGTAGGGGAGGGCATGTGGCTGGTGGTTTTGAACATTGAAGTGGGGGGTTGGGGAGGGTTTCTTTGGGAGGACTGGTATTTAGATATCTTGATTTTTTCCTAGCTATACTGTACTGTATACGCGAAAATCCGGAACGGACGAAATTCTTGCTTCGTAAGAGATGGATTCCCATTTCTTTTGGAATCTCGGGGAATACCTACTGTACATCGACGAGAGAGTGAGAGAGTGAGTGGATTTGGGAATGCAATGCTACGCATTACCTACTTCATATCTGCTCTGGGAGAGAAGAATGCATATATCCATCCATCCATCCATCCAATTCTCACAGCCTCCCTCCCTTCCTTTTCCGTCTCGTACTTGAGTACCCACTTCCTCCAGGCCTTCATGCCAATATCTCTCGACGTACGTAATGGAACTCGAGATGTTTTCTCGTTTTAGAGAAATATTGAATTGGGGTTCCTTTATGTCGGTACTCTACATCGTCTCCCAGTGGACAAGAAAGGTGGCAGAGACCTTTTTTATCTTATCCTGATTTAACCTAAAACCCTTATAATATATCCTCTATTTGGAATGATTAAAATGATTTATCGAAAACGATAGCACACTCAAGGCTATTGTTCTGGATATTTTAAACATTTAGTATTTAGAATTAACTTACGCTCATAGTTGAAAAATGAATCTCTGCCACTTTTCTTGTCCACCAGGAGATCGTAGATCATCTTATCCTCGATATCGAGATATGCATAGCCGATGGGATTCTAGTGCTTCCTTCCTGGATATTGGCCCTCAAAGAAAGTCCGGAGGTTCTCATACTGGATGTGGAAGGGGATACAGATGCGAGGGGTGCTGTGGTACATGTGGCTTGTTGAAGAAGTCTTGGAGGGAGGAGAGAGAGAAAAAAATCCTGGCGCTTAGGTGTGGTAGGGTTTTTTGTGATGAGATGTTTGTATCACTGGGTATGTTGGGTGATTTCACGGGCTTTTCTTTTTTGATGCTTAGGCTACGAGGACAGGAGATAGGATAAGGTGTTTTGAGGGGAAGCACATGGCTGTATTATGTTTGTGATGGGAGGAATATCTCTCGGTGAAAAGTTCGTGGGTACGTTTAGGTGGTGGGAATGTAGTGAGTGATCGAAAGAGAGGATCATCCTCGTGATATGCATACACATACCCACTTTCCTTCCCTTTCAGGAGTCCTAATCCTCTTCCACCGTTGTATTTGCAATTGTCATCCGAATAAGCGGGAGTAATCGCAAAATGTTTGTTGATAACCCTACTCGAAGATAGAAAGGAATTCAAGTCCACCCCAAAGGCTGAAGAAAAGAGAACTCGTGATGTGATGAGATATTTACCCATACATAGGCAGAACTACTCCAAAAAAAAGTCCCCTAGCTCCAGGTGACTTGACCGACGTTCTTCATCACGTTTCACGTTTGTCCGGACCGGGTTCTCGCAACCTTTCAATCATCCCTACTACTGTACCTTGGGAATCTTTTCGTCTCGTCGGGGAGTAGTCCGTTTACGTGATATCACATAATCACACGTTATGACAGGGGATCGATGTTTGAGATTCTGTACGTAGGTAGGGATGGGGAGTGTATTCTGGAATTCTTCCTTTTTGTGGAGATCGGTGATCGGGGAAGAAGGTTGTTTTGCGTGAAGGTGATGGGTTGGGGCTTGGGACATGAGATGAGGTAAGGTGAGGTGAGGTGGTGCTTGTTGGTTTCTATTTTTGGGGGGGATCTTTGTCTTTTGTTTATATAGTTTGTTTGTGGTACGGTATGGTACGTAAGATTACATGACACGATCTCTTTTGGGTGGAGACTTTTCAAGGTCTCGAAAACTCTTTTCTGTAGTTCGCTCTTGCTGCACCTCTTGATAAGGCTCAAGTATTCTTCCCCCTTGTGACAAAGATGGTAGGGTGTGAGTTATATCCACTGGGTGTGTAGAAACGGAGGCCAGTTGTATGGGGGTTCGCGAGGAAGAGCGGATCGAGTAGTCATTAAGTACCTATGGAGGTAAGCGGCAGAAAAGGAGTATCTGCCGCCCTCGCCCGAAATATAACACACCGCGTGTATGTGTTAAGTGTTCCCATGCTTGACAAGTCCTACAACTATTAAGTTAGGGATAAAGAAACCTGGGTGTTGTAAAGTACTTGGTCATTTTCTCAAACTGAACAGCAGTGTAGAGGGATTGGAAAGATGCTTGATTTAAATGGAAGCTATTAATACTAATAGACTCTAGAAATGTAAAAAGGCACAACTATTTGCCTTTGAATTATTACTACAAGTAACACTTCCAAGTATACTTAAACTCCTAATACAATTAGGCTAGAAGCCATTCGAAGAGATGTTAAGCCTCTGCTTATTCTATACTTCATTGTACAATGGACTAAACCATTACCGAGAATTATTAACATTCTCAACCTCCCGATGGCAAAGTTTCGGCATTTGGAATTCCTTTCCATTCCGGGCTCCCTATATAGAATGTTCCGTTCCAAAGTAAAGAGCCTCTGAAATATTCCACTTGGGAATGGAATCGTGAAATCCTTGGAATCGTAGTCCAGATGCCGAACGTTGCTCGATGGCTTGCTAGCCCGCTAGCTGGCGTTGAAGACAAGTAGCTATTATACTAACCAAAGGAGGCTTTATTCGCTAGAAACCGGGAACTTTGATACGTTAAAGAGACCTTTGTAATTAAGAGGAGCTATTAGACTATCCCGATAAACTCGCGATTCGAGAATTGATAACTTCTGGATTGGTAGGTTAAGAATACAAGATTTAAAACGTTCACCGCACTCTATATTATCAAAAGAAGATCTAGCTTCTCTCTATTCGCTTAGGGTGTCTTCTTCGCCAACCTCCACTTTAGCGTCTAATTCATCGACATTCGTCTGGTGATAACATATATGGACTAGAAGTAGTACTAGAAGCAACAGGTTTTGTATGTAACGTGATGTCTGGCCCCAAAGACTACTCATCTGCTCACGTGTTCGTAAGTCTGGAAGTAATTCAATGAGAAGACCCCTGTGGATGACAGGAAATCGTCACCAAAGTGGATGACTTTCGAATAGGCCCTTGCTAAAGCTGTTTCCAAAGGAGCCTAAACCGGGTACTAAAACCAAGACCCAGCTTGGGTTGTACTTGGAGATGTTCGAGTTGAATTTGTTCATTTTGACTACATCGACGATACTCTCTATGGACTTTCCCATGTCGCAAAGACTTAATCATAGCATAGCAATTTACAAGCAGCTTGTGGGTGGCTCCAGTGTCGATAACCAGGTTATTTTCTAAATCGATTTTGTTGCTGATAATGACGAATTTCATTCTGTAGTCCTCAATCTTTTGCCAAAGCTTTTTGGATAATACAGTTTATGTTAACTTGGCTATTTAGACCCCAGAATACGAGTAATATGTTTCATTCCTTGAGCTTACGTAAATCAACGAGATTAGACGTAATCGCTTTCCTACTCTTACCCTATTGTTCAAATTCACGGATTCTTGCTGAAATTGGCGTTGTGTCACAACAGAAAAAGAACCGAAGCTGTGTTTGGGAGTAGTGTATGAAGCACCGGAAGGGTGAAGACCCTAGCGAAGGATGCAGGGTACAGATTGCAACTGATTGGCTACAGCAAGACTCTTCTGGTATAATGTGCGTTGACGCAACGAGACCAAATTCGCATTTGTCAATATTTCCTTTTTGTGCTCTCCAACAAATACAACACTAACGGCAATGACCACTGGAGAGCAAACAAGTAGGTGGCGCTACACTGGCTAAGAGTGTTGCGGGTTTCGTCTTCCAACAGTGCAATTAGTTCGCACAGGGCCCACAACACCAGGCAAAACAAATCATTTCCCAGAAATCTCTCTTCTCGTCTTCTTTATCAATTTCTTTGCGCATTGAACCAACATAATTTTTGGAGGCTGTTTCTAAGCGACCTAGGCTTACCATTCCACGGAATGGCCGAGATTGCTAGATCTGCGGCGTAGTTATCTATGTGGGGGTTGATGATGGTAGCAAATTCGTAAGAGGAATCGGTTAAGACAATGGTTGAATAGGGATTAAGGACTTGAGCTAAAATATTATAAGAACACCGAAAATACGTTGCTTGGATGATTTGTTGGTATATCAAGATTTTGATGTAGCCTTTCATCTCTAGCATGAGATGAGATGAATCTCCAGTACAACCCCAAAGTGGTTTAGCGCGCTTTCAGCTATTGAGACCCGACAGTGCGACAGAGAGGCGCTCAACGGGGATCCACAATCGCACAGCAGCAGGTTGACCCAGATCTCTTCCGTGTCCTTTTCTTCATCAACCCATCGAGTTGAAGTGCAACAGTCGCGTCCATTCCTTATTTACCTGTAATTTTTTCCGAGGGGCTGTTCAGGCGTTGCTAAAAACAACGCTTCCAACCACAGTCTAGACGCGCGCGACAATCCACCCCTCTACCAAACGATAAGAAAGATTGCGCAGACCACCTGCGCATTTTTCTGAGCCGGCACCATGGATCCAACCAAAGCGTCAATCTTCAAGACTTATGACAAACCACGAGGTCAAGGGGGCTCTGGCTCCTTTGCGACGTATATGATCATTGCCCGTAAGTACCAAGAAAAAACTATGCGACTTTGCAGAAACCCAATATCTAACCACCATCATAGCGGTTTGTTTTTTCCTCGGCATGCTCTTCTCGTCATTCCCATACGACTACCCACTTCTTTGGACCTCCGAAGAGACACCACTTGCCTACTACGATCAATTGGAAACCCATCTGAAATTCATTCATGCCTCTCCTCCCATCATTCCTCGAATCCTCCACATTGCGATCTCCATCGGTTTCATCGGATTCTTTACCAAGCTCTTCAAGCCTTCCGAGGCCAATCTTCTCTTCGATGGCGCATCTTTGGTTCTCTACGTGATTGGAGTTGTGGTTTATATTACCAACATAGTCAAGGGTCTGCGAATCGTTACAGCCGGAGTCTATGGGGTCGCAGAGGGAACCACCGAAGTCGCTCTTGGGAGAGAAGATAGTCTGAGAGTTATGGCTGCCAGTAATACGATTTTGGCACTGGTGTTGGTTGGTGTGCTTGTGTTGCAAGCTGGACAATGGTATGCGGAAAGGAAAGAGCAGGATGAGGTGGAGAAGTTTGAGAAGGAGGAGGCTGAAAAGACTCCTAAGAGCGCAAAGGTTTCCGGGCATGCGACGCGATCGGCATCAAAAAAGAAGCAGTGAGGGGAATCAGCTGGGAGTTTTGAGTGAGAGTTGGTTTATAGTGTACTGTAACATAATGGACATAGGTGGCGGCAATTCCTTGGGATATTTCATTGAAAGCTCTCTGTTTTTATATAAGCAGAGTGCGCTACAAGGATGTTTTCGAGTCTTTTACGATGAATGGAAATGTACGGGACTTTTCAAGGAAAGCAATCTGGATACTGAGATTGTATTCATGATGGTCAAGAGGATTTGTGTGGAAGACAGCCAGTAACACGACTTACCTTATTGGTAGGAACCACATATCCCCAGAAACAGAAATGTTATACGGCACGGCCCGTCAGTTCAGAATCGATACCGAGTGGGGTAAAACAAGTGAGTTGTGAAATTCTTCTCATGTCAAATCGCAACTTGTCACCTATGGGGTTTTTGAGGATAGTTTGAGCTGGCGATTTTTATGAACAGCCGAAAATCTAGCTGATGTTGAACATATCTCCCTTCATATACCACAGCTTTCATTTGTCATGAGTCCGAATGACAAATGAGAATCTCCCAAGAACCTGTGAAGCACCAAAACTATATGATCAAAGGTACGGAGCAGTGTCTGGTTTCGATGTTCCTCCCCTTGCCAGTTTATATCTCTTGCTGTGGAGTTGTGGAGATCACCAAAGGAAAACTAGTGCACTACCAGTAGCTTCTCCGATATACGATGCACACCTGCGGCTGTATCGACATTCATTGAATAATGCACACGGATTTGATTCTTCCGGGAAGACTTAAGAGAAATCTACGCCATGAATGCTACGATGGCCCCGCGAGCCTAGGTAGGCATCTTGGAGATTGAGAAGTCTGAGTAAGCCTCGCATATTTGCCCTCTTCCCATGCAGGCAGAGTGCAGTACCGCCAGAATCTCACTCAGCATCCTTCAAAAAACCGTACGGAGTATCTGAAGAGAATAAGGACCTGAACAGGAAAGCATCTGATCTATATCATTCGACCCACAATAGCCCCTTGGCGAGCAAATCTAATGCGCGCACTCGTCCACTAAACCCGGCCAGCGATCATATTGATCACCAAGGGTCGGGGCTTCTTATCCACTTTTAATAATCCTCTGCCTTCACATGTCCCTAAAATGCATATCCCCAAGAAGATAAAAAGTGGCGAACGGGTCTGTTTCAACTTGGCGAGACTCTATTACTGGTCCAAAATTCGTCCCCGTATTTGCGATTCGTCAACTTGCAGCAGCTCGCATGTCACTCTCCAGATTTAGGTCTAAGTACGGAGCATTATTTGTTTTTCATCAACCTCGATTCCTTCAGGTCCTCCGTATAATTTGGAAGGTCTCCCTTGTTTGATCATTGACCCCTCATTGGCCCCTCTTATCCATCATGGTAATCTTCAACATTCTCGCTCTGACACTATGTGCGTTCTCGCCTGTCAGTTCGAGATTGCTTCCTCGACAAGTCTTTCCGAATTCTACATCTGAGTCTTCCCCGAATCCAATTGGGCATCTTTATCCAACTAGTGTGACTGGTACTCTCAATGGCACTGTTTCTTTGGTACCGATCCCGTACAGTCTTGCCAGAAGCATTATCCCATCGCAATACGGGATTCTCACCAAAGCATACGAGGCATTACTTCCTGGATTTCCAAAGGATAGCTACCCCGTAAGTTGAGAAAGAACAGGAAGCTCTTCGTCAAGCTGGAAATCAATAGCACAAAGCTGATCACATGTTCAGCTACTCATCCGAGTCCCTTTGGATCATGATCTTGAATTTGGGGGATTACATTTAGTTCCAGATTTCCAGGTTGATCTTTGAAGCATGCTCGACTTGAAAGACCACAGTCTAATACAATATCAGAGTGTTCATATCTCCTACCCTTTTGTAGATATTTTTGGGGATGGCTATTCCAGTTTTCAATACCAAGAATACATCCTCTTAACATCTACAAGCACAATCGGTCTCGCAGGAACTGCAGCGTACGGCACAATTCCTGTTCCAGCTGTTTTCAACCCAGATTTGCAGGCATATAAATATGTCCACTCTCACTCACACGATATTATCGTGGAGGCTTTTGCTGTCAACACTACCTTCCCAACTCGGATTGCAAAAACTAGATTCTCGCCATTGGAAGAAGAAGGACGTTGGCCTCTTGCCTTGTAAGTTCCCTTTCTTATCTCAACGGAGAATATAAAATAACATTGAAATCCAGCTACAAAAACGCAACCAATCAACCAGCATTCACAAACCCAGCCATAGGGTGCGACAACCAAATCCTGTTCTACAACACCACTCTCTCGACTGGCACCAACGAGCCTGTTCACATCAAGGGAGACATCGGGATTGCAGCTCCTTATTTCCTGGGAGGAGCCAAGTTCAAAAATGTGTATGGTATTAAAGTTGACGTTGCTTTTATTGAGAATAATATGGTTCCTTGTCAGGATTTGAAGGGGTATCATGGAACTGGACCGGGAGATTCTGGGGCTTAGTGTTGAGGTGCTGGGGAATTGGGGGGACTGTTGGGTCTAATAATTTGATTATGCAATTTTTGGATACCTACTAGAAAGTTGAGAAAAGTAATCATGGACTTGGATAACAGTCCCTAAAGGCATCTTGATATTTTCGATTCCATTGTTGCTTAGCCCCCACTACACAATTTCCCCATTTTGATGCAAACTTGGGTGTCTATCAACACACGATTGGAGTTTGACCGCAGCTCCGGGTGTTAGTTAAATCTGCTTACAGAAGAAAATTTTGATGTTTACAACAGGGAAGCGGCCTAGTCGAGTCTGGGCGCTCGGCAGAATGGGGGTGGTTCGCTCATCTATGTTTAGGAGAAGGGGGGGCATGCGGGCAACGAAATGCTAAGGGGAGGAAAATTAGAGACGCAATAAGTAAAGTCACCTAGATTTTTATGAGTTCTGATATAATTGAAGTTCAAGAAGTCTCGTGAAGTCTCGCCGTTGCAAGCTTTTGTTGTGATTTTGGGCTCCCTAAACATGTGACTTAAGCGAACTATCCGACTGGGAATTGTTTTCTAATTGTTTTCCAAACGTTTTCAAACCGTTGTGAGATCCCCAACGAATTCGATTTTCCATGTGAATTCATTTTTGGTAGAATCTTGCCTCGTCTCTTCCAAAAAAAAAATATGTAGAACTCCCTGCAATTCATAGCAAAATTGCCGAGTTTTCACGACATCTTTTTGTTACTCACATAACTTGCTAAAGCTCAGCTCCACATCGACCTTCAACTCAGCTGTACTTGGCTTGGGGACCGTACTCTTCCGAAAGTAACACCACGTCTCCAGTGTCCATGTAATCTTTTGCTCTTTACTCAAGAACACGCCTTATCAAGATTGACGAGACCCAACACCACCCTGTACGTGGTGTCCTTTACCAACCTGGGGCTACGATATTAATCCTGAGCTAAGACTTAGTGAAAGAAGGATGGGGTAGCAGGGATGTTATTATTGTGGGTGCGGTGCCGATGGATTGGTGGTAAGGTTATAAATCAGAGTTTTACCATTACCCACAGTAATACCAACAAAACATTAGGTGATGCCATACACTACTGGGCCCTCGACCCTACGCGAACGACAACCAAGTAGATGGATAAGTAAAAGAGGCCCCTTAGAGAGAATGTACAATCCTTCACTGCCTAGTTGATCGTCATCTGGTTTAGTACAGATTTAGGATGCCGTACCAATCTAGGTGCTCTTTACCAATTTCACAATGAGAAGGTGGTGTTCGATAGAAAGGGGAGAACTTTTCAATTTGTAAAGTAAGGTACAGGTGGGTATTAAATACCCAGGTTTGACGCTAGTGCCACTAATGCGTAGTGAGTGAATATCAAATATCCTTCAACAGAAGGCATTTGGAGGAATTCTAGAACTTAGAAGTATCGTTCGAACATTTGAAGGTGGAGGAAAAGCACTTGCGAGTTTCTGGACTTTTTGAAGTTTGGAAGGCATGTCAAGACCTTCACCTTTGCGGAGTCTCATTTTCCCAAAGGTGCTGTACGACTTAAGCGAGGAAGCAGCCGTGGAAGAATATATCTTTACTTCACCTTTCCGCAACAGCTTCCAATGATCCACAGATTCTTCCGAAACGCAACACAATTCTTCAAACACCCGTTGCAGTACCCATCCACCCGAGAGAAGAAGGAGAAACCCTTACACAGCACCTTGATCGACCACGCGAATCTTTTTTCCTGCTCAAGTTGACGACGAAGACGCAAACTCCAGACACAAATACTTGACCCAAAATAACCACCTTCGTCTTCGCTTTTCTGCATCATCTAGACTTCGAAAGTGTATCGACGACAGCGAGTCATCTTCTTCATTCCTTTGACCCATGCACAAATGCTGAATTCTCTGCAGTGGCCGAGGGACTAGTACGTCCGAGAATGCCACCATTACCGCCCTTTCCGGGGGAGATCGAAGCCGTCTTGATGGAAAGCGGAAGCAAGATCTTTGCCAAGGTCTATGATCGCTTTCGTCGCGCCGAATACATTGCATGGATCCCTGAAACACAGCGAATCTTTTTAAAAAATGGGGAGGATATAAGTTTGGGGGCTTTCAAGCTACGAACCCAAATTTACAAAGAGATCGAGATACCGATGATGCAGTTGGAAAAATGTATTATAATTTGTTACCGTAGGATCACACTGTGCATAGAATTGACATGTCGTAGGCGTTGTAACTCTGCAAATTTTGATCGACTTCCTTTCTCGACTTTGCACTGAATTCGAAGGTGTTGCTTCCGACAGATGCCAACAACTCCCCGCTATCCCGGAAGGGTTTGTGGCAGAGAAGACATGGACACAAGTTAATACAACCGAACGATCTATTGTGAACAACTTAGGACGTGATGATATTTTGCTTCGACTATCACGCTATAGCAACTACCGAGTGGCATCAATGGACACTGGTTATTCCTCTTTGTGGTCGTGTGTTCTAAATTGCAAAGGAATCCGTGACCGAGTTACGGGGGATGGAACGTGGGTGCAAACCACTAGACTCATACTCCGAGATGAAGCATCGCAAGAACGGATTTTCCATACGAAGACCCAGATCTATCAAAAACACGCACTCGTTGCCATGATACTCTCGCAAACGGGTCAAAAATTGAGAACCCACCGTTTAAACACCGCGAAAATTTGGCGAATAATCCAGCATGAAGTCCAAAAGTTCGGCCTTTTCCTAGAAATGGATCCAGATGCCTACTTAAAGGAAGTAATTGACAATTTCCTGATGACAGCCAAGTCAGCCAAGATCATTCACAACGCAAAAGAGCTCCTTCAAAGTCCTTACAGCTTTTGCCTCAAAAATGCAGCAAGTTTCTATGAGAAGTATCTGGAGACACTATGTAAGCTGGAGCTGGAGCTACTCGACCAAGATGTCTTGAAAAAGGGTTTACCTGTTCTTTCTGCGATCTAAAATCTTTCGCTTGCCGCTATGGTACGTCAGGTCGTTTCCCGATTGAAGAATAAAGCAAGATATTGACCTTTCGAAAGGGGCCAACATCAGCACAGCTTCCTAAGGGGGTTCGGGGGCAACTGTTGTTTTTATTTCCAACGAGTCTGTATTTTCACCATCATCGATTATTTTTCGAAAGGAGACGCATCGCGGTCTTTTCTGTTCTTTTTCGCGATGGAGCCTACGGAGGGTGCAAGTTCGCTTAGGAACATCGATGTGAATATGAAAGGGGGACTATCCAAAGAAACACAACGATCTCAACCTGATGGTTTGGCTAAGAGAAGCCTTCATCTCCAATAATAAATTCTAGCACCTATGTTACTATCAAAAAATCACATTCTTGCGGTGGCTTGTAGAAGTTGCCAGTTGGCAAATCATTGAATTTAGTATGTAACGGATCCCCCAGAACTCGAGGAGACTAGGCAGTTTTTACCGGAAACCAGTACCGCAAAATCCACCCATTACTTCCTAGTATTCATCCCACTTCATTTTTGTGTGCTAAGAAACATGGAGCTGAGTTGCTTGTATCGGGTAGTGCAAAAGATTTGAAATAATCAGCGATTCAGTATGATTGATATGAATGTATGGGATGAGTAACCAGTATCGGCTTGGTATCTAATCCGTAACAAGGCTTGCCGAATCTTTCTTGAGCTACTCATCCGAGAGCTTAGTCGAGCGCTCAATAAAATAGAATATTGTACGCAGCATTTCCCTTATGAAGAGGATCCTCGATATATGAGCCATTATCATCAACATCCATCTTTCCTTTGGCTGCTCTTTGAAATGCCATTAATATGTCATATCCGAACCCGTCCAATTCTTCGAGCTCCTCTCCTAATCGAAAATTTGTATCCTCCGTCACAGAATCGATGTATTCTCCAATGCAAGAGTCGGCAAGAAGTTGACGCACAGAGTGGTTCTTTGGGAGATTGGTTCCTTGACGCATGTTTTCCTTTGATACGGTATACCTACCACGACTTACGGTAGATGTCAAAGACTGCATATCAACCGTAAAAGGTCCTGGAAGACCAAGCCTGTCGGCCAACACGAAAAATCCGATATATTCCTTGACTACTTCATTGAACGCTTTTTCGTCGTATACTACTGGGTCTGGGACTGCGATACTGCCCATGTGCATCCAACGGATTACATGCTCGAAAGAAATTCTGTTCGTTTCCTCCAAAGTCACTTTCCCCTCCGTAGCCTCCTTGAAGGCGCCGTTGAAGGCTCGATCGAAAAAAGGCGAGAGCTCGCAGAGTAGGTCCTTTGGTAGCGTGAATTTGGAGCCTTCAACCTCAACAATGACTCTAGGGCTGTCATAGTACTTTTGCATTGACCTGTTCAGTCGTCAAAAATTGTGCAACGCCTTCTGGCCGGATGGGCATACCTAGCAAACTCGGAGCTCTTTTTCAATTGACTCGAAGGCGTCATCGTAGTATTCGCTTTCTTAGCGACTTTTTCAGTTTCGTCTTCGTCGGAAATGGTGATCGACTTGCGCTTTTGTGGTTTGCTCGGCATGATTAGGTGAAGGTTGGCGTATTACGTATCTGACGAGGTCGACGGGCTCTTGCTTGAGCGAAAGCCGCGATGAAAAGCCTGATTAATTTGTAGGTTGGAAGTTGTGAGGTAATGGGATCTTGGGTTGAGCCGTTTGTTCACCTTTCATAGAAGCCGAATGAAAAAAGGTGGGGAAAGAGGTGAATCCTTGGAAGTTGACGCTAGAGATCGAATGTTTCACTTCATTTGATGGCTTTTTGGACGAACAGATGATCTATTGAATTGTATCACGATTCACTTGTCTAGTGGAACTTTGAAAAAGGCAATTTACTATATGTGGTGAGATTCTGTTTGCAATAGTAAGTCCTTGAAGTAATGTTCAATGAATTTTAGCCATTGTATCAATATTCCTAAGACGTATGGAGGAAACCATATTATGATCTTCAGTCTCCGTCGTCTTCTCCGAAGCTACAAGTCGATAGCATCCCCAGTCAAAGGGCATGTGAACCTCACGACATAGGAATTATAGCTAGTTTCCATTGACTTCAAGGCCCCGGCAACACCTTCCAATACATCCATCTTAAATCCTTCGCAGGCATCCATTTCCTTCTGAACTTTGGACTTGCCACCTTTCCTCAGGAAACGTACGTATTTTGACACGCAAGCTTCGGCAACAAGCTTACGCAAGTTGTAATTGTTTGGTAGCTGATACGCAATTCGAATATGTTTTGGTAGGAGAAGGGCGCCATTGTCGATAAAAATAGTTTTGAGCATGGATATTACGGTAGAAAACGGACCACCAAGACCCAGGAGATCCGCAAGTTTGAAGAAGTCGAAGAGTAGGTCAACCATTTTCTCTTTCTTGCTAGCGATGTCGAATATCAATTTGTGCCTGTATACCCACTGGACGACGAGCTCAAAAGTTTCCGTAGTACATTCTGTCAGGCTCAACTTTTGCTCTTCAGTTTCAAGAAAACCGCTGTTGAAAGCTTTGTTGAAGAAGGTTGACTCGGAACAGACGAGACTCTTTGGGAGCTTGTAAGAAGTGTCATTTACCGTGACAGTAACTTGTGAGCATTCTCGATAATAGTGCATCATCCTGAAGCATGTTAATATAGGCTGAGAGGTTTAATCTGAGTTGTGGGGCCATACTGCACGAAGTCGCTAGCTGGTAAATCATCTGCCAATGGCTTATGTGCATCCAACATCTGGCGCTTTGCTGGACGTTGAGCATCTCTATCAGAGGGATCATAGGTTATTGTATGGAGTGCCGCTCGGATCAAAGTGTTGTCGGGGTCGGTTGCTTGATCCATTGTTGTAGATATGATGATCTTGGTCGCAGTAGTGCGAAGCGGAAAGTGGCGATCAAGGAGGACGCGAGATTGGGACGAAATTGAGTTCGAAACTCAGTTGCCGATTGAAGGTGACGTTTGACACGAGCTAAAATGCGGTAGAAATCCCTTTGAGACTTGATTGTGCTTGAGGGAAGGAGTTGTTGCGGAAAGCCTCTGGTGAAGATGTTGAGGTTCAAGGCTGTGAAGTGTCTCAAATGGAAAAGAGCGGCGTATCAAGTAAATGAAAACCACCACTACGCAGCCTTGTACAGTTGTAAGGATTTCCCCTGTCAGATATCCGGGGGTTCCGTGTATGTAAACGTTGTTCTTTCCAATCTTTTGAACAGTTTCCTGCGCAGTAGTTTCCGAATTGACTTCAGTCTTCGAAGCACTGACCTAGAAACTTGCTAATGATTTGCCAGTGGTTTACCCGAGCTTGGTGTTCTCACGAGATGATTCTCGACAAATTCGATCTTTCTACAGAGGTAGAGAAAGTTCAAAGGATTAGACAGAACAAACCAGCTGAAGCAGATCCTCTTCCAAATTACGTTGCTCAAATTGGACATATTATGGATTTGGGTGCGGGTGGTAATCCAAGTTTGCCAAAGGGCTTGAGGGAGTGCGATGCAAGATGTGACAAGATTTCGATTGTTTTGAATAGCGTTGGTAACGCTTTAAACCTTAGAAGAGATAGAGAGGCTTTGCGAATGTATTCTTCAGACCACGAATGTTATCGCCAGCTTCTCACAGTCGCCATCGCTGCAGGAGATCCTTCCGCACTGTGCTGTACTGGACGAGCCTTAGTGATAGGAACCCGGAAATCTTGGTTGTGTGAACCAAGGACAGATGCCTCCGGTCAAAGCACAAGTATGCCTCTGCTTCTCCTTGACGAGGTTACACTCGACAATAGCCCATCTTCAAACTGGATTCAGCTTCCAGGTTTCTTTCTTGAAAACCAAGAAATCCCCTCTGAAGATTGCCTCACAGCTGCGGTGTTCATGACTCTCCAGTGTCAACATCTGGGGATGGGAGTATCACCCGAAGGAAGTCACAGAAGATTAGGTGCCGGTCCTGAATATCGATACTGGAGATATCACATCGACAAAGGAGATGCTGAGTTTTCGCAGTTCACAAGAACTGTATCAGCAGTACTTCATTGTGGGTTGAAGTGGATGTTGAAGACGGCGAAGCTTGGCGGGTTCCCTAAAGGTTTACTCGAGGACTGGAAGACAGATGCTACAAATTACTTCTTTGGAGGATTTGACATCCAAGAACTAAAGACAGTCCAGTGGTCTTCATCGGATGTCGGTAGGCATGGAGTTGAAAGTGTTCTGCGTTTCTCGATTTGGCTGATGTCTTGGGGTGTGTTGGCTCCGGAAGTTGAAACCCCCATAGGTGATATTTGGATGCCGACCATTTATTCCAGCGAGGGTGGCGGAAAGATAATTGCCTATTCCACAGTAGCGGTGTCCCATGGAATTGGAAAGAAATTTGAAATGAGGGATTCGGAACTGTTTCTACCTAAATGTTTGTTAGCAGACGGGTATGGATCACTTTCTAGGGGTTGGAATCTCAAGCCCAAAGGCTTCGGGACCTCAGCCGAGCTTGTCAAAGACCTCTCGCTAGATGATTTACAAATTTCGCCAAGAGAAGACAGGATTATGGAGAGAAAAATACGACTTTTTGGTGATACTTCCCTTATCGCTTCCCACGGGTATGGGAGAGCTACATCCCAAATTAGAATCCATGGGCCGGAATAATTAGGAACAATACGAGGACAAATTTGACAAGAGAGCTAGCATAATTAAACACACTAATTAGATTAGTGATTTTGTTCAAATCTGCACTTGCTTCACTGAGTTGTGTTTTTTTATTTGTTTTGCATTGAGTGACAACAACATCTGAGAGATACATATGGCTAAATGCTCAAATGAAGGTAGATCACCAAAGTTAGTACAATTTGCCAATCCAAGAATTGGTGAACAAATACACCAGACGTTGTTGGTTTTTTTGTGGTTGTAATAACCAGCAAACAATGGACTTCCATGTCATCCCACCTCTAACCCAGTCAGGCACTTTGCCCAGGTCCCTTAAACAAATGACAGCATTGCAAAAAGTAAGAGTCCCAGCCTTTCTTTATGACAACGAGCGAAAAACTCCAAAATCCATTATATGATGAGTCGCTAAACTTTGTATTCCAGAACAGAACAGAAAATATTACAACATGTATATATACAACAACTCAGACGCACTTAAAACAAAGTGGCTTTTTGTTTACCGTGAAATTACTGTTCCATGGCCTTGAAAATTTCCTGGATTTGTATCGTTTCTTGGAAGCTCATGGCCTGGATATGGCGGTACGCGATCATGATTCAAGCTGGCCGGGAGTTCGTGGGGTCCATAAAGCGAATTTCCTCTGTGTATTCTGTCTGCAGTGAGCAAAATTGCAAAAGTGAAAGATTGATCAACCAGCTTACTTCATACTAATTGGAACTTCAGTTGGTGAAAAATGTTGATAAGCACGTTGGTAAGCTTCTGGTGAGGTAGGCCCCCCATAAGTTATTGGATAGCCCTTCGGAGAAACAAAGGTTTCTGGCTGGCTATAGTGACCAGGTGTTGATTTAAAGCTCATGGGAGGCATAAATTTGCAACGTCCAGGCCTTAATATCTGGTAACGCTTCTGCTCTGGCCTTTCGTAGTATTCTGCATGTGAGGACTTCTTTTGCTGTCCAATACAGGTAAAGTGGTCGATCGCTGATTTGACATTGCAGGTGGAAGGAGATGCCATGGAAATTTGACTTGACTGATAAGAGGCCGACGATCGTGGTTTATGCTGCTGAATTATTTCTCCAATTGTTTGTTGACGGCCACATACGTAGATCAAGGCACCTGCCAGGAGCAAGACGGCTATTGTACCAATGACAATTCCGACTATCGCTCCTGTCCCTAACGAATCATGGTGTGATGCGGCTACCACTGTGGCCGTGGAACTGCTAGCAGACCCTGTCTGAGTGGCACCAGGAATTGCATCCTTAACCTCAGGTGGGAAGCTTTCACCAGGGCTGAAGTCGAAACTGGCATTTGCTGCAAATTGCTTCTGTATATCTAGTGTATGGGTCGTATTCTAAGAATCAAACAATGAGCGTTCATATCCGATTCAAGCCTGCTAATATCAGTAGGATATCTACTTACTGGATTGACTACTCCCACCATTTTGTCCACACAAGCACCTGGTGACGAACAGTAGAAAAATATCGGTTGAGTATCATTTACTTTCACTTGAAATAGTGGAGCCTTTACATATTAGTAGTTCGAAAACAGGATTGGGCTGGAAATACTTGCAGGCGTAGCAATGACATTCAGGGGAAAGAATCCGGACCAAAACCCTTGCTTTCCTGCCCCTGTAATCTCATATGGTATACATGGGCTCTTGAATTCGGCCTTTGCTACCTTTTCGTTGTTAATAGCCAACCACAGCTGCACACCACCAAAAAGAGAACTCACGCTATGGTTCAAGGGGAAGAATCTGAATTCTACAGGCATGTCAGTGTCATTTTGTGGTATAACATCAAACCCTATCTTACCCACGATATCACCAACCTCAGCAGTAGTTGATTCTGGTGTGAAGACATGACCGTGCTGGCAAATTGTTATAAATGCTCCTTATATACAAGGCTAAAGGGCCACTTACCTCCCCAACAGCAATTGTGTGAGTTGGATAAGGTGCACTGGAGGTCGAGGAAGCTTTTTGGGCTACGGACATTTGAGAAAAGGCTAGTAACAAAAAAGGAAAGGAAAGCGAGAAAAACATAGTCAAAGTTGCTCAAGTTGGATTAGTAAATGTATATAACCTTAGTTAGATAAAAGAAAAACCCGAGTGACTTCAAGACTTAAGGAATTGGAGGCAGATGACACAAAAAGCGCCGCAGAAAAGAAAAAATCGAAGAGCCAAAAACCAGGACATTGAAGGCAAGCAGCTCATTATGAAGCTGTGCCTTTATTAGATCATGTTCCAAAACATAATCAGCAGCTTCGGTACAGAGAAGTCAGCCCGGTGGTTGGTTAAGGTATTGGTTAATAGCTATTTTGGTATTCAAGAACCGGGCCATTCAGATCTGTCGTGGATAGCCACTGCGCGATGCGCGAATTTATAGGTTGTGCTGATATGGTGCTAGGATATATATGAACTGGGTACTTGATTGGGGACGATTTTAGAGCATCCATGTACCGCAGCCCACCACCATGACGAATATACTGTAGTGTTACCTCGGCTAGGAAGCTCACAGCCTTACTGGTTTGGACGACGTACGAGAATGGGAAATGATATTGAAAATTCATTTACGCTTTCGAAATCTTGAAAGACGCAGCAGTATCTTCGGAACCCCGGCGTGATACCATGTACGAAAAGCCTTGCAGAAATAGGGAGCCCAACGCCAAGGACGGTTTATCCGTTACTGTATCCACTGTAACCGCACCTGAAGACCTAATTAGCATAAAGTGCTTCATAAGACTCTGAGGTAAGAATGGGGCATGCGAATATCAAATCATTTGCATAGAATGCTTCGAGCCCTTCTTTCACCAACGGTGTGATTGGATGTCGAATATCAAAGGAATGTGATTTGTGACAGAACTTTTGACTTGCCTTGATTTGGTCATAGACTTATTGTGACCACACAAATTGGAGACGTGAGATTTCGAGTGAATAGACAGATATGGAAGGTCTTGCCGGAATCGGCCGATGCATCGTATCTTGAGAGTCTTGAAGTGTTAACGGTGAATTTGGGAATCAATCCAAACCACAACTCACTTTCATTTTCAAGATTCGCCTTTCAGCAATCATTCGGCAGCCTTCTGAAATAAATCCTAAGCATAATGATATCCACCAAGTTGACCGTTCGCCAACCACATAGGAACTAGCTGTTGATGATATTGTACGACTTGGCAAGGGTATTGGTAGACGACTCCGGGGTATGTGACGGCATACGGAACGTATGGAATAGCTTGTACTTCAGGAGGTCTGGGGACGTATATTTGCTTGGGGTGAGGAGGAAACGAGGGCCAAACCCAAGGACCAGCACAGTAGTACGCCATCGAGCCTTGTGATGGTTGCGCTTGGTAAAGCAGGGGAGGCGGCTGGGGTTGAAGTTGAATTTGAGGATCTTCGTGTTGTTGTATCTGGATTTGGGGAAGAAGTGGAGGCTGTGGTTGCTGTTGCTGGTGTCGGTGACGAATATGGACGGGGATTCTGACTAGAAGTGGAGATGGAGGTCGTTGGTAGGGGGAGGCATCCGCGCGTAGGTGGTTGATGTAAGGAAGTGGTGCGGCTAAATTATAGGGAGAGTACGGAGGCGGAGAGCTTCCGATCTGGTCATAAGGAGGAAGTGAGGCAATAGCGTTGAGGGGTAAATCCGACATCGGTACTATACAGTATCAAGCCTTTGGTCTATTTTCTTTCAGATGCTTTCTTTCGTTCGTATGTCTATCTTTCTATCAGGCAGTCACCATACACGTTTGTACAGATCAGAAGGGATTTGGAGATGATCACCTAATACCTATGTAGCAAAAACAGTGTAAATTGAGGACTTGTCTCCAGTTTCGCTGTATATATAGGAAAGTCAATGTAAGTGAACACGTTAACACGTAAGAGAAGAGTGAATCATTGAATCTCGCAGGTACAAGTGACATCTGGCAGCACAGCGGATTTCGTTAATATCCATAAGAATTACGGCCATTGGCCAGTCACCAATTGACTTCATATGGATAAGAGAGCTGGGCATTACTTTGTATACACCTAAGGTATAAAAAATATTATCCTGAAGACCTTATATAATTAAGTCAATTATATAAATAGTTTCGAATAATTAATACCTTTTACTCCTGATTAACCTAGGTGAAATAGAATAATTGATTTACATATGCTAGACTTTTGGTATAATAACTTTTGATAACGTATATAGAGTAATGCTCGCCTCTCTTACATTCAGCAGCATAACGGATTTCACCAATACTAATAAGAATTATAGCCCTTGACCAATCACTAAGTGACTTTACATGGATACAATTGGACATCCTGAGCTCAAAATACTAACGGAAAGCACGATCATTGTTGGGCTGTTATGATTTCTAAGTATGAATGGGTTTATATATCTGTGATTCAAGACACCTGTCGAAATTTTGATTCAGATTCAACAAGTTTTTCAGATGCCATAAATTCGATGACTGGCGTATTTGACGGCCTTGGCATCATGGTCAAAGCGCTAGGATTACAGTACTAGTAAGACGCCGCTTAATCCGCCCACTATCAGAGTTTTCGTACTCCAGTACACAGCAGTCAAAGGAGACAAAACTCTCAACAAAAAAAAGAGCCAAAAAAATATAGAAAGAAGATGGGTATTGAGCCCAACGCGGGACTCTGGAATGATGTCAGTAGTGATCAGACACTGGTAGATCAGGAGTCAACTTACCGAACCCGCAGCCTTGTGATTAAGAGTCACACGCTCTACCGATTGAGCTAGCCGGGCAGTTGTGTTTTTTTGTATATGTTCATGAACTTTTATTTGCGAATATCGACTACATTGCAATAGTGGGGGCTTGCTGAGAATCTTTTCGCAAAGCCGCTGATTTTTGCTGGATAAATTCCGTTTACACTAGGTACAAAGTGCCGACAGTTGCCCGATGGGGGGCCGATGGGATTAAGTGGGTCCATTTGCACGGATTACGCTATCTGTGTTTCATTACTAGTATATGATAGATTCTATGATTAGATATCTGAAGGGTAGGTACTTAGGTAGGTTTCTTGTAAAGGCGCTTACGAAGCAAGTTACCCTTATACAAAACCTACCCGAGTATCTACTACTAAACAAGACTTTTACGTATTTTTATTTGCTATGCTAGAGATTAGCGAGACTGATTATAGTTGTCTTGTTATACGAGATGTAAATGGCGGTTTCTAAGAAAATATAAAAATTCTGTGTGGGCAAAATAAGCGAGCCGGCTCCACACAGTGATCCCCTACATCGGAAGCCTTGCTTGTAATACCACTAGAATAGCGGAACCAAGAAAACAGACTCACAATTAAAAAGGATCTCCAATTAGACTGTATGTTTTCGTTCAACCAAAAGGAACAGTTCTTGAATCGCATACCACTGCGAAGATTACAGCTACTTTTGCTACTATTTCTGACCGTAATCTGTCCAATCTCAAGGACAGGACATCCCATCATTCCAACTTCACTTCAAACGAGACCTCTTGCCATGCATATTTCTGGTATTACTGACTACCTACCGAAACAGAACTCCCTGGACTTTGACAATCTTTCTCGCCGAAGTTACACCCCTAAATACCCAAAACTGTAACACCTGCTCAACAGTGAACCAAAAGAAAAGAACCAGCTCCTAGAATGTGCCCCTCTAAATTTCAAGCTTCAAGATAGAATTAAATATGACTGCAATGCACAAAGTCGCAAGCAACTACCCAAGCAATGCGATCCTTAACACCCGAAGTTTCTCATCCTATTCTTCTCCTCTGGACTCATTCTACTCCTTAGCATGAATACTACGAAGAAATCAATACTTCGCATAGCAACGTAAAGAGGTGATAAAGCTCGTCAAGACGATGTTAACATGGCAAGGTTAAGGTTGCCTATTGATTCTTTTCGTATACTATGTGCAAGCTTTTCTACTACTTTATTTTAATTATTTCAACAAAGAAGTTACCTTGCCAGGTTTCATTGAGGTATATATTTAAGCAGTATGGTTTCAATAATTCCTTCTTTCAAGACATTCATCTATCGTTTCAATGTAATGACAATTGATAGGGACCTTTACAAAAATGCTTAAGTTTGCTATCCAAAGTTCATGCGTTCGGCTCAAGTAGCTCCTTTACCTTGAGTAATGAAAATTTACAGATGCTATTAGCGAGATATCACAGTGCCTGAAACTTGTTGGTACACGGATGTTCATTACTTACAAAACTCGGGGAATATTTCGAAACTACAATACTATCCAATCGTCTGAAAACCACCAGCCTGATTCCATGAGTTCTTTGATCAGGGTTATATAGTTTTTAAGCTCCGTACTCGTAGTTCGTGGCTAGAATGTACCATACCAAAGATTTGAACTTACACATCTAATTACAATGCATGAACAATATCAAGGTTATGCGAATGCTTTGTAATGTCTATTTTCTCGAGCCTTTTGAAATGACACTTGGCGACCAGTCACTAGAAGGCACTTATTTGCAACCTTGGTTTGATTTGATTACGCTACTATTCTAGTCTAAACTAGGTGTAATTAACACTCCGGCCCTTACGGAAAGGTCTATAAACTATCTCACCTGGCTAAGACAGTCATTTGGTATCTGATACGCAGCCTGCTACCTACCAAGAGCCAAGAGTACATCTTGTTAATAGTCCCATTGGAGAACTTTATGCATCATAGAGGTCTATCTCAGAGAACGAATCAACCTTGGTGATGATGACTTTGGTGTTGCCCCCCCCCCCTTTTGGTACCTTGAGAAAACCTTTTCCATCCCCAAAGTCATCTACTTCGGCGATGGTGGAATCATCTGGCTGCATAGCATAGCGATCGAAAACACCACGGCCAATACCCGCGATATTTAGTTTACGTAGTAGGATGTTCCAGGGCATCGACATAAACCGCAATTTCCACAAGTGATTTTTTGATGCGCCGTTCTATTGCGCGTCATTGTTGTGGTACTAACAGCCTTTGAATGTTCGAGATTAATTTAAGCCGGAGCTATAACGTAGATTTCATGGGCGGTTCCCCGTTTGTTTGATGCGTGGATCATTCGTTCACTCCCAAGCATTTCGGCGTTAACTAGTCTGGTATCCTTAAGCGAGGACCAGCAGCACAAGATCAAACATCCCTTTTTGGAAAGCAGTGTATTAACGAGGTTAAGGATAAGCAAAACTTAATTTACACATAATCTATCCGAGTCAAAAACAAAAATAGAACATACAATAATGAAGACAAATGCATCGCCATTTAGATCAAAGTTACCTTTGGTTGTGTACTTAACTGAGACTACAGGATCCACAGGACACACTGAGTCGACCAATTGATAATAGGAGTAAGCCGCGGCATTCACGAGGAGAAGAAAACAGATAAATTGGTACAGAGTTTACTCTATACTCGAAGAGGTCGGGGCCCTCCCTCTAGGAACTTAGTATCAGGACATTCCTGATACTATACAGAAATTCCTAACACTGTAACACAGGCCTAATTAGGTAGTTAAAAGTAGAGATTTAGAGATAGAGGGGTACTCTAGAGACTATTATACTTCCAGGAGAGTTTAAGTATAACCTAAGTGTTTTGTAAGCTATCTGTTTATATTATAGAGCCTCTTTTTCTCCCTTTACTTTTATAAACTACTTTTGTAAGTACTTAGTTATTTTTATTTGTCTTTCTCTCTTCCTACTTATAAGTACTTAGTCGTTTTTATCTACCCCCTCTATTCCTCCCTACTTATAAATACTTAGTTGTTTTTCTGTATCTCTCTTTTTACTTATAAGTCTCTACTTCTATTATACTTTTATATTCTCCCCACTTTCTCCCTCCCTTGCCTATAAATAATTAAACGTGTAAATAAAACTTAAGTAAAGAACTATACCTTTAGTATAAATTAAGGTTTAATAGCTATTATTAGTATTAGGAAAAGTATATGTTAGGGGAGGTTTTATACTCTAGGACGGCCTACGCAGGTGTCAGGTATTTCCTAACGTAGTTTCCAGAGGGCCTGAAACTAACGTTGATTTTAGACATTGGGTACTCGAGAGGTTTGGTATTTACGAATTCCCCTATTCATCTTCCTCTCCATCATACAGAATAACTCTGTGATATGGATCGATTCTTATATCACTCAGCCAATCTGCCTTTGAAGAGATAAGAAAGATACGTGATCCGTCCCGCCATTGTTCGGGGGGCGGGGGGTGGAGGTTTAACTAATATACAACGTCTGGTTATACCAAAGCATCTAATACATACATGGCACTCTTACAAAACAAGCTCATTCTAACCAGGCACGACGTTATAATCAAAAGAATTAAAAAGAAAATCAAAAGAAACAATTCCAATAATCGCGAACTGTCCACAATTTACTTACACTCCAGCTTCCCTCCCACGTACAAAAGCCAACAGCCTCCCAAAATCAAATCGACAACAACTCAAAAGCCGACAGCAAGAAAACATCCTAGTATTCTTGTATTTCATAAGCATCGACATTTGTTAAGATATCAAGCTACTAAGGTCAAAGAGTTCCCTGATAATTGAATGACCCTCGATTGTATATCTCATCGCTTAGCATAACCACAAGAAACCCACAGCATAGGAGGATAATACTATATTTTCGGCCTTTCTAGGATACAGGATAGTGATTTCGAAAGCCGGAATTGCGAGGGTCTTATATATTGCTTGGGACTTCCAAACGAATGTCGCTCTCAACACACACGCGCAAATACCCACCTGTTGACTCACAAAGTAGCTCTTTAAACCAAAATATAAAAGGCCCTATCTTCCATCTCTTCCTCTGCGACCGTCAAAAGTAAAACGTATCACGGGTTTGATGATTGCCTCAAGCCTGTTTTCCGAATAAGGAAATAGGACCAGTAGTTAAGATGGGAACAGGCTTGTTGGTCATAAGCAAGAGCAGACTTTTTCGGGGGAAAAGAGGAATTCGGCAAGAAGATAAAACGCTACTGAAAGGTCACGCTACAAAGGGTACAATTCCAACAAGAAAAATGTGACAACCAAGCAAGACTCATGTATACCCCAAGAAACGAGTTGTTAGACCATTGGCTGGATCAGTGACTGCGAATCAGTAATACAAATCGATCACACTACTGATTTGCACACACAAGGGCATCCAACTGAACTTTGAGAAGAAATTGACAACAGCACAAACCAGCACAAACATCGACAGTAAGGAACTACACCAGCATTCTCACATGACTACCCTCTCCAACATTACGTTCTCCCTGAGAAAGAATCAGTCAATTGCAAAGAGACCTTCCTAGCGTGCTTTAATTTGCGCATATGGGTACGTGACTCGGCGCCGCAACTGCCCCCGACATGGAGGGAGAAACTTACCTGGTTTGGTAGCACTGATCCAAAGTACTGTGGGAGTAAGAATCTTTTATAGCTCGGAACGTGATAGAAATTATAGAGGATCAAGGTCACAACAACGATATGATAATCGCAAGCTTAAGGAACTCCCACATAAGTAGTACATATAAAATACGAAGGATCAACTATTCGTACTGCACATTACAAAAGAATCCACGAGTATCCTCCTAAGTGAATAGTGATTAGAGAAACATACAATCTAAAGGGCCCCACCCAAATATTCCTATCACATTCTCGTAAGATTTACTCATTACATGCTCAGCGCTTTGAAGGTTGGTTTGAGATTCGCTTCTAGTCTATCAAATAGAATATTCAAGTGCGCTCCTCTTCCTTGATATGCTTTCGGAAAGATTCGAATTTCTCACTCCTATGGAATAAACTTAGAAAAGGCATGTATATAATACGAAAACAACGAGATCAATGTATACGTTACATGAGAATTATAACTTTGTATCGTGATTACTCTCATCTAGTTCGATAGTAGACACACCGTGCTATCTTTCCTATCCCAGAAGTGGAGAATAAATCATCTAACACAACACCCCAAATCTTACAACCCGCTCTTGATGTTCTTATTCTGGTAGGCCTCAACCCAAGCCTTGACATCTTCTCTATCCCGATCAAGCCATGCTGCCTTCGCTCTAATAGCATCCGCACTCTGTGCAAGACTTTGATCAAACCCCTTTGTACTTCGGCCCTCGAAGAATTTATGAATGCGATCTAGATCAGCCTGGCTGGTAAAGCTGGAGGTACATATGGAAACGATGGATCCAAGCATCGATAGACCGGCTGGGAACTTCAACGCTAGCGCGTCAAAGTTCTCAGTCATCCAACAGTACAAAGCTTCGATACCCTGTGCATGAGTTCGGAGGGCACTGATTGGAAGGTAAACATCCTGCTCCTTGACTTCTCCACTGAAGGGAAGTGCAATGGTGCGCTTGATGAGTTCTGGGTCCTTGGCCCGACCAAGAGATCGCAGGGCGGTGTTACGCTCATCAGCGTTCTTGGACTCACGGTAGGTAGAAAGAATAACTTCGTACTGTGACAAGTTAGAGTGAATCATGCTATTGTTGACCGGCAACTTACCTCTTCCTTGCCACCGTACTTCAGGGCCATACCAAAGACGCTTCCTCTGATGTTTGGATGAATGGCAGACTTATCACCAGCCGCAAACTTCTCAAACATCTCCTTGGCAGCCTTCTTGACAATTGCATCGCCAGACATACCTGCACTGCCAAACAACATTGCCTTGAATTGTTGTTCAATGTGATTATCGGTATTCTTGAAATCCCAACCTGCCTTGTGTGCCTTTTCGCTCACAAGATCACGTTGGAACAACTCTAACCCATCTCGAACCTTTTGATCCTCAAATATCCAGGCTCCTTGGACCGAACCAAGCCTGGAAACAATTTCGTTCCAGACAACAAACTCCTTCTCGTCGGTAAATCCCTTGAGCAAGTTGAGAACACCGGAAGTCTTTTGATACCCTGAAGCTGCAAGAGCTCCTGCATCTGCAAGCATACCTGCACGATCCTCGACGGTCAGTAAACCATCTCTGGCTGCCCGGCCGAGCTTCTCGAGTCGTTCTGGTGTGTACGAGGTCCTGTAAATACCACTGTGGTCCGCATTGAGCTTGAAAAAATCGGTATCCTTGAGCTCAAATGTATCTTCACGCTTCGACAAGACGAGATCCTCATCAATACCGTCCTTGGTACGGAGACCCAAGAATACTGGGTAAAGAACTTTGTCTTCTTCTGGTTTGACATCCGCAGTACGAAGGAAACGGTTTTGCTTCACGTGAATGGTATTGTCACCAGCATTTTCGGTTACACTCACGACAGGGTAACCGACGTGCTTGGTCCAGATGTCCATAGTCTCTTCCAAGTTTTGTCCGCTTGCGTCACTGAGTGCAGCCCACAAATCACCAGTTTGGGTGTTACCATATGCATGCTTTTTCAAGTATCGGCGGATACCCTCCATGAAGACATCTTCTCCGAGATGTTTGGAAATCATTCGAAGAACACAAGATCCCTTAGAGTAGGAGATGGCGTCGAAGATTTGATTAACCTCATCAGCTCTCTTTACTGGTACTTCGATGGGATGACTGCTGCGAAGGGAGTCCAATGACAATGCTCCCTGAAGTGTGTCTGTGACATAGCTTTGCCACACCTTCCACTCTGGGTAGAAGATGTTGCAAGAGTACCACGACATCCAGGTAGCAAATCCCTCATTCAGCCACAGACCATCCCAGAAGTCCATAGTAACCAAGTTTCCAAACCATTGATGGGCGAGTTCGTGTTGAACAACCTCGGCAACTCTTTCCTTTGTGGAAGCTCCGCTGGTCTTTTCGTCAAACAGAACATCCACAACACGGTAGGTGATAAGACCCCAGTTCTCCATTGCACCAGCAGCGAAATCAGGAATGGCAACCATGTCCATCTTTGGAAGAGGAAAGTCACTATCGAAAGTCTTCTCGTAAAATTCAAGAGTTCGTGCGGCAAGGTCCAGAGAGAAACGACCGTGTTCGATATTCTGGTTTGGTGGTGCGTAAACTCGGACAGGAACTCGGAATTTCTTGGTTTCGATGTAGTTGAGCTCACCAACGATAAAAGCAACCAAGTAGGTCGACATTTTAGGAGACTTGTTGAATTTGACAATCTTCTTCGTGGTTCCACTGATTTCTGACTGAATTTCTGATTCAGAAGCCACATCCATATTACTCAAACAGGTGAGGTTCTTGTCGGCAATCAATGTGATGGTAAACTCTGCCTTCAAGGCCGGCTCATCGAAACATGGGAAAGCTCTGCGAGCATCGGTAGCTTCCAATTGAGTGGTAGCAAGGGTTGATTCGCTACCATCGGCATTCTTGTAGGTGGAGCGGTAGAAACCAGCCATCTTGTCATTGAGCTGTCCGGTAAACTTGATCTCAAGCTGTGCCTTGGAACCCTTGGTAAGGCTCTTTTCGAATGTGATCTTGGTGATTTGGTTTCCCTCATCGTAGGCCAGGGTAGGAGTAGAGCTGTAGCAACTTAGCCCCGGTCACATCACATTGAATTTTCTCTCGAATCCATGAATGCTATCCTACCTAATTGTTTCCGTTCCTGAGATGATTTTTGTGCTGTGGATGTCAAGTTCCAGAGTATTCAAAGAAATGGATGTTGAGTCTTCTGCCACCTCCAAATCTACGATCACGGTTCCCTTGTAGGTCAATGTCTTGAAATCTGGCTCCATAGTAATGTCATAGTGCTTGGGGACAACATTGCCAGGCAGGATTTCTCTTCCCTTGGAAATGTCGAGTCCCGCACTGGCAACATCGCCTTCGCCATGCAGCTTGCACATCTTGTTTCTTCTGTAGGAACAGTGTCGAATCGAGGAGGTCAGAGGAGAGGACTTGAGCTTTAAGGAACGGAGTCGGCAGGAATTGAGCTGGGGACTAGAATCCTGAGATCAGTGGATGCAATGTAACAAGCCGGTGGTGGTGTAGTAAATGCGCCTAGAGGCAGCACTACGAGTACTCGAGCGCGGAATGAAGATGACATACCCTGAGCTCTGTGATGAGACACTACTGGAGGCTAGGCGCAACAAAGAGCTAGAGGTCGTCAAGGTAAAGGTTCTCTTTCCTATTGCCGAAGACGGCGGGCAGATGGCAGGACGTATTGAGATACGGGTAGAAGAGAAGCGGGTGGCATTGAACAATGAGGAGGTGAGGAGGCGCATCGAAGCGGAGGGGGGGACATAAGAGGCCACACGCCAGTGACAGCGACTCGAGAAAAAGGAAGGTGGGGTGGAGTGGGAGGGGAGGTGAGGGGCAGGGAAGGGAAGGGGGGTAAGGGTGAGCTACGAAGTGCTTTGGTGCTCAAGCGTGACAGTACAAGTACAGCAAGGGAATTCTTCAACTACTCGTACAATAATATCAAGAGTGTTCTACGAATCCGAGTAGGCCCTAGAAGTCGAGATCCCTGCCTGCTGCAGTACCGAGTAAATTTAGACGCACCCAGGAAAGCTGCCCCAGGCAGTTCAGGGCTTGATCCCTTCCGTCCCGTCCACCATCTGCCCGGCGGTGAGCGAACTGCGGACCGCCCTTTAAAAACTGCCTCAGATTTTTACGGATCCTTTTTTCTTCATACATAAAATACAAAGCAACATCGGTTCTTCCAAACACCCTCGCTCCTCCGAGGTGTCTGGCGTTCTCTGGATTAATATATCATATATACATCTGGGCGTTGCAAGACGAATTTACCGCGGGTTTGAGGCGACCGATAGGTTTCGACCATTGATTGGAAGTCATAGGAAGTCGGTACATGCTGTGCAACGAAGCTTGCTTCGAGGGTTCCTCGACGCGTGTTGGCTGATGGCATTGTGCAGCCCAGTCGATACGCGTGTAGCACTGGAAATTTCCGTCGTCTCCCATAAATGTGTATGTGTATGGCAGCCACAACCGAGATGGCTTGCGAGAACAATAGCACTTCCAAGGTATTGTTCTCGTCCTTGCAGTCTTTGAAGGCTCGACTTCCACCGCATGCGCCATCCTCACTCCTCGATAACTCCAAAAAGCACCTTTAGCCAGAGACTGCATCCTCGGCACCCAACATTGACCTCGCCGTCCTCTGCAGCTTCTTCTAGATCCGACTCTGCGATGAGGAACCCGCGTTCGTCCCCACATCTGCAGCTCCTGTACCATAAATTCGGGGCATCGTCGACCTCCAGATCATCCAAATCTACAGTCTCAACACCCGTACGAAAAGCTTGCCCTCCCTTTCCGTCCTTTGTATTTGCAAACCCGCATTGTAACTTCAATTCTCTGTCGTACGTGGCTCGAGAGCGAGAATTCGAAAGAATCTGAAACGCTTCGGATATTTGGTCTATGGAGTATATGCTGGTTCTAGCGTGTAAAGACGCCTTGTTTTGGACTTGCGATTTATCGGGATGGTTGTGAAGCAGAGCCCTCCGATAGGCACTCTTCAAGGTTTGCGCCGGAATGTGTGATTCATGGCGAATGGCTTCGGGGAGACCAAGAATTTCGTAGTGGGTTGAGGTGCAAGTCATCGATCCATTTGAAAGGGGCTTCTGCTAGAAAGGCAATCAATGTAGGTAGCAGTTTGTTGTGCGACTTGACCGTCCAGAAGAGGAGGGCGTGGAGGGGCATTTCAAGTTCGAGGTTGGTGCCTTGGTGGCTGAGGTGTTAGTCACTTCGGAGCCTGTGTGCCGATTCTCCGACGGGGCATTCATTCCATCAACTCCCGTCACTCTTCATGAGCCTCACACCGTTTGTATCATGTCATGGTCGGTTGCCTATTACAGTAAACTAGCAACGTGTTCTGTCCTCAGTCAAGTTCTCTCAATTTATGCTCCCAACTATTTATTATCAGATGAAATCACAACTAGACTAGTTCAAGTTCGTTGCAAAATCACATCCGAATTCTACTTTAGTACCTCTTTGTACTGATCCATCTCAGCCTCAAACTTCCTTCTATTTGATGGATTTGCTTCAACAGAAACAGCTAACAATCCCCAAAATACTTCTTATTATTCAGATCTACCTTACTCCAAGCCCCCTTCGGAAACTTCATGCCACATGTCCAACATTACGAGGCTGATGGACGCTGACGTCGTCCATCACACCCTTAAACCAGTCGTATATTTCTCTGTGTCATCGCTTCCCTTGCAGCATCGCCAACGAGCAGATCCCCTCATTTATTCCACCAGCACTTCACCGTCCAAAATGCACTCATTGGACATCTCCATCACGTAATTCTCTTCCTTCCGTAAATACCCCGGAATATTTACAACTTTTCAATTTCACTGGAAGAAGCCGCATTGTAATTCCTCACATGGTCCCCCCGTTTAATACATAAAACTCCAAGGATTCGGCAAAACTATCCCCATCAGATACCTTATGCAGACGTATTGTACGACACATCTCCGGAGATACAGTTTTCGATTGTCACTAGTTACCAGCTTGGCGTGGTTGGAGCTTTGTTTCCAGATGAAGCACACATATGAGGCTTGAGAGTTCCCTACCTGCCCTTCCTCTCTTTATTCATCTCCTATTCATTTCCCAATGCTCGTCCTACTCTACCTCACTTTTCTGGTCGCTCTGTTTGTCCTAGTGGCAACCAAGTGTCCTCCACCTATGCTTACAATCACTTTTTCCTAATGAGTTCTCGTCCGTCTTTTAATTTCGATGTCGACGATTATGTCAATCGCATCATCCCCCGCTCGAGACTCCATCTCCTCCCCAAGTCTCTATCGCGATTCTTGGGCTACCGAGCGGAGCCGCAACAGCAGGTTGGGAGTATCTTCGTCTGGTTCTGGGCTTTCATAGGAGCTTTCTTGGGGATTCTCATAATTGAAACAGTTTTCCGAGCAGAGTTCCTAGCTTCTCATGGTGCACCTGTTATCGTTGCATCATTCGTACGTTTTTCTATCTTTCCCTCATAAAGATGAAGTCTTTCTCATTCGCAATTCATTATTTTAGGGCGCAGCGGCAATCCTTGAGTATCACACTATCGATTCACCGTTAGCACAACCTCGAAATGCGATCCTAGGTCAATTTTTCGCAGCGGTGTTTGGGGTGGGTGTCACGAAACTCTTTCAACTCAATTCGAATTTTGAGAGTCTGCGTTGGATGGCTGGGGCTCTTGCTGTGGGTTTGTCGTCCGCGTTTATGGGATTTACTAAAACGGTTCATCCGCCTGCTGGTGCTACTGCCTGTAAGTCAGAATGCTCTTTATGATTTTCCTACTTATTCATATCACAAATATCCCATTTCTCATCTGGGTGACCTCTTTGATTACAAACTCTCCATATCTCAACTCCACCCTCTCATTTACATTTCCGTTTATTACTTCCTCACTTCTCCATCTCGCCTTACCTTCATTTCCCAGCAAATCAAAAACCGAACCAGAACGGAAACTAACACCCATCATAGTACTGACCTCAACATCCCCCGAGATAACCCGGCTCTCCTGGTTCCTAATCCCCCTCATCCTCCTAGGAAGCACTCTCATGGTATCAGTAGCATGTATTCTCAACAACATTCAACGACAATTCCCTCTCTACTGGTGGACACCACTTTCTCTCCTTCCCATTCCCGCCGCTATTTCCTCCTCGGAGAATCCAGATAACCATCTCAAAACGCTAGAATTAAACGCGGATCCTGAGAAAGTTGATTATCTAAATGGATGGAGGGGGGGCGAGAACCCTGGGAATGGAGGGGATGACGATGGAGGTGCAAGTGCAAGTGGAAGTGGAAGTGGAAGTGGAAGTGGGAAAGGGAACGTGAATGGGGGTTACGTAGGGTACGGAGTCTGGGTGACAAGTGAGGGCATCAGAATCCCGGATTATATGCTGTTAAGCGGTGACGAGAAGAGGGTTTTAGAGGGGCTGAGAGAGAGGTTGGCGCTAGGCTCTTTTTCTGCGTCTACGTCTGGGAAGAATCCTGGGAGTGGAGTATGAAGGGACGCGAAGCAGGGTATTTGATTTTTCTCCGCCTAGAATAATCGATCAACCGAAAGGTGATGAGACATGATAGTACTATACATCTACTAAAACAAACATTCTTCCCACCTTCCAGAGGACAAAGGGGTCAAAAAGGGGCACTGCAAAGCCGAGTAAATACGTCTACGATAACAAGCTCTTTTTCTATAAACAAGGTCGCTTGACCAGGATTTGTTTCTAAGCATTTAAGCCTCGATTCGAACGACCTATTTATCGCATCTACTTGTGTTCCCTTGGAGTGCAAGGTTTCTTGACCTAATACTTTCTAGTCCCATTTCTTGACTTTAGTAAATCATCTCCCCCCGCTCCTCCTTCTTTACAAAGCAAGCAATTTACTTTTGCAAATACTCGATTCCATATCCACGTAACCCTTCTTTCTTCACTTACGCCAGATAATCCCTTTCACTCCCCCCTCACTCTATCCAATTGCCTCAAAATAAGCATGTTAATAACAACCAAAACCTCACATCCTAAAAGGAAATCATAAAGAAAACGCCATAAAACAGAAACCCAAAAACCCACCTCTCTCTTCTCTTCACTAACACACAACACACAAACACACAACTATACCCCAACCCCATGACTCCCCAAACAAACCCTCCCAATCCACCAGACTCCCTAAAATTTCTACTCCCTCTCCCCTTCCTCTATAAGCACACATACCCCAAGAAACCCCTCAAGTAATAAAAAACCATACAGTATACTTACACTAGATACCCCTATACCCGACCCAACCAACCCAAATCCCCCCTCCAACCATCCCACATCCAATCCCATCACCCAAAAGCCTCAAATAATAAAGTAGATCGTACTTTCTTCCTTCCAGAAGCGCCAAGGGAAAGAAAGTTTGAACGGTCAAGGCGACTGCGTGCGCCTGTCATATATTATAGATGTATAGTAAAAGTCTATATTCTCTAATTAAAAGTTTCTAGTTCGCTATTTCGTCGGAATATTAGGCCCAAAATCACGGCGTGCTATTAACTCGCAGGGTAAGACTTCTAGTGACCAACCATCTTCTTTGATATGCAGCGCTGTTGATATGCCTCAAGTTTAAAATCACAAATATTTGAACTCTTGGGTGAACGAACCACAGAGCAACAAGACCTGATCTCAAAAATTTACCAAACACGTCATGATATTCAGTTTAACTTCCTATGTATCAATCAACTAGCTGCAGCTACATACGCCCCGAAGAAGACCTTCAAAACCTCAAGCCTCGAAGGCAATCCTGCATGCATAGCAAAAAGAGCATCGGTCCATAGCATAATCCATAACCATAAAAGGCTGTCCTGTCCTCCATCAATTCATCCATCCCGTACCGTACATCAGCATCAAAAAGGAAAGGAAACTTCCCATCATCTTGTCCCATCCATCCATTACCGAGGAGAAAAGGAAAAAAGGATCAAGCCATTAAAAGCAAGAACATCCCGAAAAAAGATGAGACCTCCCACCATTGACCCCCAAGAGAGGAGTTGATAAATCCCCAGAAGAAAACCCCTTGATGGTCCACGTTATGTGTGACCTGCGACGCCAATATCTCCTTTACATGTCCACTTATTTTGTGTGCCAAAATCCCCGTTGACAATAGTGTAAAATCGCAACGCCCTCCAATCCGTGAAAATGCCGCTATGTTGTATACTGTGTGAACGTGATTTACTTATGCCTTGCTCTTCTTCTCCCCGGTGGCGTAATCGCTCATGACCTGGTTAAAGTCGGACTCATAAACCACGGCACCTTTCTCGGAACACTTGGCCTTCTTTTGTAGATCCTGGCATAGAGTATCGAGATCAAATTCACCATCCTTGACTTTGGGACATGCTTGGAGACGGTCCCTAAAATGTGGTTAGCGAATTATTTACTTATCATGAGCAAGGAATCGTACCATATCGTATTACAGCTGAGTAGCTTGGAGGTATCCTCTGCTGGAACAACTTCATCATCCTTTTCCTTCTGTGCATCAATCTGGGCCACGAGGTCGTTCTTAGCAGGTTGAGGGCTTGGCTCAATATTGAACGGTGTTGTGAAATCTGGACCAGCAAAGGCATCGCTAAAGAAGCTGTTTCCAAAAGCATCACCAGAGAGTATATTATCTTGGGGTTCGCGGTAGTCGCCGAATAGTTGAGGCTCAAATTGGTTGTCATTTTGTTGGGCAAACCAGTCAATTCCGTTGATGTCAAAAGCGGGTGCTGTCTCGTTGATTTCTGGATTTGTAACTTCAGACAATGTACGAGGGATGGGATTATTGGGATTACCACAAGCCATGTTCAGCTTGTCGCAAAATGTGACCTCACCTGCAGCAAGACCATCACCACAGCGTTCCTCGCCGATGGTTGTTAACGATGAATCAACAGGCTTGTTATAAACCAGGGATTGCATAGTTGGTTCCGGGGATGTACCACAAGACGAGTTTGCACCATTGTTGGAATTTGATGAAGCAGACGGTGAACTGTATGATGTATTGTGACCAGTGCTGGCATTTCCGTTAGCAGACTCTGTGCTTGATCTCGAACCATTGGTATTGTTAGTGCCACTGGTATTATTGGTTCCTAAAGAGAATTCGTATGAGTTCCTGCTAACACTCTCAAGGAGCGAAGGGCTGAAGAGGCCAGAAAGGCTGGACATGTCTCCATTATCAATTCCTGCTGTTGCACCTGACAATGCGACAATGCTCGAGCCATTGGCGGTCGGTGAGGAGAATTGCAGACTTTGATTGCGGGGACTGATATCTCTCTCAACAGGGCTAGCCATCGCTTGTGTGGTTGGAGAGGTAGATTGTCTAGTACCATTTACAGCCGGAACTGGGGGACCAGGAAGGCGGCCAAACTTGGGAAACTCAAAGGAGAAGTTGACATCATTGGGAGTAGAAAGTCCAGCTCCAAAGCCTTTGCCGGAAAGGTAGGCGGGGTAGTTGGAGTTCAACGATGAGCTTCGGGCGATACCTCCACCAAGCGCTACTCTCTTCTTGTATTCGCGCAACTCGGTCGACATCTTATCTATTTGTGCACGTAGAATACTATTTTCGTGATTGGCAGACTCCGAAGCCTTCTGGAGGTCCTCGACCTTGGTCTCAAGATCCTTGAGATGCTTTTCCTTGCGTTCTCGGAAAGCTCTTTGAGCGGCACGGTTTTGGGCTTTACGTTTCTGTGATGCGATCGTTAAAACGCGGACTTAAGGAGAAGTTCCAGAGTACCTACAGATGTGGGCTCCGATGTCAAAGGCTTTCTGCCTGGCTTCTTGGATGATCTCTCGTCTCCCTCTCTGCGCTTTCCTCCTCCCTCTTCCTCATCTCCATCATCATCAGGATGGCTGCGCTTATCATGAACTTCGGCGTCGCCGTCTGAAGAGGATCCAGGTAACTTGCCAATCATTTGTGCTTGAGAATCGTTACTGAAATCATACTCGAAGCCATCAGCACCATCGAATTCGTAATCGTAGTCAATGAAAGGGCTCTCCTGAAAAGCGTCCAAAGTACCGGAGCCCGGTGCTGCTTGGACCGGCGATTCGGAAAAGGCGGAAGGAGCCATTGTGAATATACCCTTGGCTTGGTCGGGAGAACCTTCAGCGGTGGTGGTTTTGGCGTTTGAATTGAGAGCGGCAAATAGGAGCTGCTCTTGTCGAGCAGAAAGAGTAAAGGCTGGATTGACGGTACCCTTATTCGTCGTGAGATCCATGTGGAGAGCAGCCCAGCCTACAAGTCGGCGGCGACTGGCTGTTCGTCAAATGCTCGGGAAGGGTTGTCTGAGGGGTGAGGCAAATCTTGGACAGTGCGGAGTCTTAATCGGCGGAGAAGTTGTTTGTCGTTGCGAGGATTCGGAGAGGTGGGGAGTCGCTGAGTGGTGTGTGTGTGTGCTGGGAAGAGTTGAGCCGTCAGGTAAGTAAGCTTATGCAGCGCAGCCCAGTCTCGCACCCTCGTTCGTGCTGCCCCAGATTCAGATCACAATTCACGGAATTATGGAGAATAAAGTTCAATGCAAGAGGCTCAACTTGAGAAGCCGAAACGCGCGAATTGAAGATGCGACAGCGATAGTTGATGCTGATGCTGGTGGTTGAAGGCCAGCAGTGAATCGGTGATGTCGTTTTTTGCCAGTACGAGTACAATGGACTCTGTACAAGAGCGAATCGTATCGTATCGTATTGTGGACGTGCTGTGGAGAACAGTATGTAGTCGCAGTTGGAAGTGGAAGTGGATGAAAGCCGAAGGACAAGTCAACCCCAACTGCGTTGATCGGTACTCGAGTACCTGTGGACAGGTAGAGAGCAGTCTGCGTAGGCTTGAGTCTTGACTGCGACTGGTTACCGTAAGGGACCAGGTGGCTGGGCTTCGGTCAATGGCTGATGGCGGAGTGTGAGCTGGAAACCCTTGCCTGATGTTGGGTGTGGGATGCCTTGACGTGGTGGCGAGATCGTAGGTACGGAGGTACTGTACTGGTAGCGTAGCATGCGTACGGTACTACGGAGTAGCTATTGCTGGCCGCTGGTCGGCTTTCTTGAGGGGACTCGAGGGGACAAGCTGCAAGGAGGGGTCCTTGGTCCTTTCACGAAGATTGATAATCACCAAGCAGGGATCTCGGCGTAGAGATGGAAGCCCACGGAAAACTCAATCTTAACTCCGAACATCCATCACCACCTGCTAAGGAACCTGGAAATCAGATATTTTATTTAACAGCAACCCTACCGTACGCGTACCACCGTCAGCCGCATTGATTGGGACACCAAATAGCCAATCTCCTCGTACCAGGTCGAGATGCCTGAGTCACGACCGTCTGCAATTAACCTAATTTTTTGAGGATGCAGAGCAAGGGCGCAACGGTGACGCCATACCGCAGCGGGGTCATACAAAGAAACCTTCTGGAGGTTAACGTTATCGATACTTGATGAGAAAGGGCTTAAAGGTTATCTACGGCTGGTATCAAAAGGAGGGGTTCTACTTGTACCCTCTTGAATCATAGACCTTCCTTAAATGTCAGGTTGATATCAAAAGTCCATCCCATCTTGGCTCGGACCGGGTTCCTGTTTAGGTACCATGAACTCTTTTCCGAATCCTAAAAGCAGGAAACCTCGAAATGGCAATAGACAAGCGATCGCCGCTGATAGGTTGTTTTCTAGAGCCATCAGTAACACACGGTCGAGAACGTTCTATTAAGCTAACAAGGCTTGGGTCGTATGGAGCGATGAGAAACTACTATTCGCTTCTCCTTTGGTATAATTCTTTGACCACTGCCAGAACTGCCTTGCAAGGAAATTTACGCCTCTGGGCATCTCTAACGGCCTGTTCCACTCTATAAGTCTAGCGAGCGACTAGCCTAAGGGAATGAAGCTCTTATGCTAACTGAGCCCTCCCACGTATCCTATTCCTTAATTGATAGATTACTAGAACAGATTAGGTAGTACCAGAAGTCACGCACAGCCTGATTACAACGTCTTGTTGAGTTTGTTGTATGTTACGAAAAAGGACCTCTGTTTATTATGATCTTTTGATCTTCTCTCAAATTTACATCACCATAGCCAACCTTCCAATATTGCTTCCGCGAACATCGAAGGCGCCGCGATACTTCGCCAACCGTATGTGCAATAGAAGTATGCCGTGGTCCTATGTACTCCATTGTCAAATCCACGCAGACTTCGCTCCCTATAATTCACATCCAGCGTATCCGCCGCAAATCGCAATCTTTCGTAAAAGTCGCGTTGGCGCAGTAACCGCTAGTATTTTCGTAGTTCATCATACAAAAATCAAAGGTATACCGTATTCCCAAACTCCATGCTGGCCAAAGGAAAGGAAATCACAATACCAGGAAGGCGTATTCCATGTCTACAACGAGTTGAAGAGTCGTTTGCCGCGTCGAGAATTTCGTGCTCCCAAGGTTTGAGCTCGTTTCGTCATAAAGAACCGTTGCGTCAGTCATTAAAATAAGAGGCCGTATATTAACTTGGAAACGAAAGAGCAGAGTGATAAGTGCATGATCCTCAGCGCTTGAATGACCAACACTCCTTTTCTCACTCACTCTATCTTCGTCTTGCACGCAGGACACTTGAGCCATTCCTGCCAGCTCTTTTTGTGCTCCCGTCTAAGATCATGAATAATAATCTTTGGTGGGCCATCATCCTTATCTTCAGTTTTACCAGCAAGTATGCCAGAATATAATGGCTTGTTTGCTCGGTGGTTTTTCTTGAGGATTTCAGCATCAGTATCAACCTCCGGATCCAGATTTTTGAGAGCCTCCGACAATGTGTATTCCAACATGCAAATTTTATGAAGCCACAATTTGCAATCTGGATTATCGCAAATGTACATCTGGATTTCTGGTGTGCAGGGGCCTAGACAGACGCAGTGCTCTCGGATTTTCTAAGATGAATCAGTACGCTTTAAATCATGAAAGCTGCAGATGTTTTACTAACCGACAATGCCTGGGTCTGTCTGCAGAAGGTTTGGCGCCAGTAGTACTTTCTTTCACCAGCTGATATATAGTCGCCTGCTTCATCCCACTCCACAACATCTGCCTTTCCAGCAAAAATGAGGACATCCAGTATATCCAAATAATTGGAGGCTACCAATTCTTGGGCACCGTGATATTGGCATTTTCCACCCTTTGGAGAGACTTGATCTAGAGATCTCTTCGCTGGTGGTGGAAGTTCCTCAGGCCAGTACAACCAGGATATTAACGCGTAGACATGCTGGGGGCTTGCTGCTCTCACTTGTAGGATTTTCGCCACTCAGAAAGTCTTCGCATCTGGTTTTGCGTCTTCTGGTGGAGTTTGATCGGATCTAACGAATACTACTTGGTCACTAGTATATGTCTCCCCTTGGACTTGGGAATAAACCTTAGTCAATGCAAAACAGCACAAGGCCTCAATGTACAAGGGGCTACTTACTAACAAAGTTGACGTATTTCCTCATACTGTACCATGCCTTATGGGGGGTGATACAAACACGCTGGTCCAATTCACCAACATCTGCTCTTGTAGGATTGAAGGGTGATTTGATGAGTTCAGACTCATTCACCAGTTTATGATGTGCAGCTGTCAAGGTACCAAACTGGATCTGCTCTTCAGTTGGCATCCGAGCTGGGTATGTGACCGTGAAAGTTTCCATTGTGTGGTCTGCCATTTCTACTTCTGGGGCTAGCTGATGTTTTTCTGTTGTGTGTGGTTCTGGTCCTGGTCTTGGTGTCTGCCTCTTTTTCTTCATGGTCTTAGACCTGGAGGTTGTGGGTGGTTGATGTCTAATAGGGCAATGTTGTTAGCTTCTGCACGCAAGATATGAAAGGATATTATTTGTGTGCACCCAAGGGAATTATGGTATTCACCTTCGCGATATGTATTGGTGCTAAAAATTCTGCCTGGGTTATTGCGGTGGTTGCAAACGTAGAGTACCACCCTTGACGGTATAATGTGCCCAAGGGACTTGTACTTGGTAACTGGCGGAAGATTGACCTGATGTGAACCGACGCGCTCAAGGAGATTGTGGAAAGAGTATTACAAGATTTGGTGAGGAAGAGAGAATGATTGAGAATCAGAAGATGCCAACGGAGGGCGGAGAATTAAGTGTGCGCGCAGAGATGCATTGTCAGAAGGAGAGGCTGTTGACTGCTGCAAGTTGTTCATGAGATCTATGGGTCAACCTCATTCAACATTGTCGCGATCAGATGTACGCGCTTGTCCCACTAGGGCAGCCAAGGTCTCGCACTGTCAAACATCCTCCAAATCCACCAGCAATTCACTTCGTGCTCAGAAGCAACTATGTGTATTGCACACACCACTCTGTACTCGTACCTATACGCTCCGCATGTATATACTTGCTCTTCACGCCACTCAGACCCCGCAAACAGTGCGAATATAAACTTGCAGGGGTGGCCTCGTATACAGCGGGCATCAGGGCAAATAACTTCAGAAAGACTGGGATGATGGTGCCAAGTTTATTATTTATTCCATGCTGACTATCTATGGCGAGAATTGCAGAAGAAAAACAACATGTCGTCAAGTACGCTGACACAAAAAGGTGGTATCAAGAAAAAATCCAAATCCGCAAAAAACTCCCTCAACTGCTATCGACGCTCAAAGCTGCTTGCTGCATTAGTCCATCCGTCCAACTAAAGTCCAAAGTGAAGCACTTGCTGATATCGCCAGAGTCCGATTCCAAGCTCTATGTCTTCGTCTCCTCCTTCGCGGCCTTCTTCTTGAATAGCTTGTTCTTCAATTTGTCCGCCAATCCCTCTGGATGCTTAGGGCCTTGCTTCTCTGCCAGGTGAACATTTCCTCCACCACCTCGTCCAACATGATGATCTTGGTTCTCCGTACTTGGGCGAAGAGCGGCTTGTGGAATGGCTTCTTCATCTTTTCGAACAGTGGCCTTTTGGTTGGGTGATCCGATGTTTGCTGCCCCGCCTCGACCAGTGCTAAAGGCTCCATCGCCGTGGTCCCCAGCTGCTCCCTCACGAACAATTTCGCCGTCGCCGTATCTTGTACATTGTCAGTTCTTGCCATTGTCTTGATACTTCCAAGATGGGATTGCTTAGAAAACATACGGTGTGTCGTCTGCGCCAATGTTTCCGGCTCCTATTGATTGGGTGTTAGCAAGCTCAGGCGCATACAGATCTCAAGCGAGAAAGAGAAACACATACCACCACGGCCATGGCTAACTTCAGTGCTTCCTCTTGCGCTCATGTTTTAGGACTTTTTCTGGTTGCTATACTTTTGTGCCTAGGATAGTCTTGAAAGGTCGGCTGGTATTTAAGTCAGAACCAAAGCAGAAGGTGATGATGTGATTTGGAAAATCCAGCAAGGCAGAAGGACAAGAGAAAAGCCAGGCTCCCCTCCTCAGGAAACGGAACTGACCGTCATTGGGCGAAAACGGAGTGCTTCTTAATGGAGGCATGGCCAAATTGAAGATCCCTGATTGGTCCAGCAACAACTTACCTCTTCTCGGACTAGGAAGTCGGGCAAGTTTACGAGATGAACTTCGTGACGACTGGATATGTGTCAAGCCTCCAGCTGCTAGATAAAAAAAGAAGCAAAAATTGCTGTATCCTGCAGGTCACTCCAACCACACACCTGATCTAAGTATCATCTTCAAGTCACCTCACCCTTCGCTTGTCTCGCCTGTCACAGAAAACAACAAGCTGCACGTGAATCCAAGGGCTGACCTTGGCACAAAAACCGTGGGACCAGAAAATAGTGAATGACGCAATCCCCCATATATCCATTCCTCCCGCTTCTTGCGCATCAGGTCCAAGGACAAAGTCGTCTCCGCAGTCGGCGATCGCATCCCCCTCCCATCCTCCAATTCGTCCAATCCACAATAGAAGCATGTCATTACCCAAGATAAGCGTTCACCCATGGCCCTCCACTCTCAAATTTCCTTATCTCCAACCCCTCCTTCTCACCTATCATCTCGACCCTCCTATTCGTGCGACGACACCCCAGTATGGCCCTTTCTGGAGTATATACTTGACGATGTTACATTGGGGAATGTAGAAACATGAGTTTGTGCCCTGGAGTTTAGGCGGCTTGGGAGACTTGTGGGTTTTTGTTGCATTTCGCAGTTGGTTTTTGTGCCGTAATGTGTTTCTGTAATGGGGTGATTGATAGGGGAAGATAGGGATGTATGGCGTCGAGTTTTGGTATATTCTAAGAGGTACCTTGGGTACCTTGATGGGGTTTTGTCATTTCTGTTGTTCGTGTTTGAAGTGGAGTAACAGATCATTTGTGATTTTATAATTTCATAAATAACCTCGAAATATCTCAGTGTACTAGAGGCTCTGATTAATATCATTTGATAAATAAAGTTACGATACAAAAAAGACAGGGCCCATTTTCAGTCAGGAATTTGCTCATGCTCATGTTACTGTACTTCTAGAAACAACGCAAATAAGCTTGTCTAAAACCACTTGGTAAATATTATACTTGAGGGATTATGCGAAATACTAGAATTACTTGAATAAGTTTTATATGTCGACTCATTCTAGTCCGATACGGAAGTAGTACTAAATGAAAGCGAAGAGCGTAGGAACACTTCTAACAATATTATCTAGTTAACAAAGACTTCTAAGTAATAAAATATAGCATGTGCGTTTCATTTAGTATTACATGAGTATTTAACCTTCTTAACCTCCACAACTAGAATCTAGATTAAGGTACTATACGAATTCGTTCAAACTAAATGCCATCTTAAGATATCTGGTGCCACGAGAATCAGGTAATATATTAGCAGTAAGAAATTACATACATCTTTATAAGAAATTATTATGAAGAACTGTCTCTGGGCGACCTGAATAAGCAAGCACTATGCTAGAACAGAACGTACGCTTGAATAAACCAGACTTGGGTACGAGGGTATAATTCAGTAACAAACGAAAAAATTCAAAGAATATACCAACATAATCCCCTGGTTCTGTGTTTCCACTATTGTCTCTCCCATCTGCTCTCCTATGGACCCGCCATCTTAATATTATTATTTACTTCTCCACAGGTGGAGCAGCACCTCCAGTAGTAGGCAAGCCCATGAAAATCTTAAAGTAATCCTACACTATATCAGCACACTCTCACTCCACCACAAAATCCAGAAAACAAAACTCACATAAATCATCCACTGCAACCCAGTAAGCGTTCCAATCATCACAATTCTTACCGGCAATCCGTTCCAGAGTCCCATGAAACCAATATCCTTGTAGATGCGTCCCAGTGCACCACCAAAAGCCTCACCCGGTTGACGGTTAGCATTAAGTTTCGAGACCATAACATCAGCAGGATGCGAGACGATAGCGCAGAGAATACCAGCTAGGTAACCACCCGTGAAAGAGACACCGGTTTGCGCGGCTTTGCTGTAGTCTGATTTTTGGCCTGGGAGACGGTCGTAAATCATTTCAACGATGGTTTCGAAGGAGGCGAATTTCATCATTGTGTAGGGGATTTGTCGGCCCCTGAAAGTTGAAGGTAAGTGGTTAGTATATTTTTGGAGTGCAAGCATATTTGAGTAAATGTCTGCTAAAGAAGGATATTATGTGGGGGGTTGACTTACCAGAGAGGATATAATCCCTTATAAAGACCTGCGTAACCTTCCTTTGCGGTGACTTGGCTGATACCATCGATTGTACCCTTGGCGAATGGTGGAACGGTGGTTTGCATTCTAACCTTTACAGCCTCGAATGGGCATAATCTTTAATGAATTAGCACGCAGCATTTCTCCTTGGGACAAATAGAAGGCTCCATGTCAAGATAAGAGGGAAAGTACTCACGCAACGTCAGCAATAAACTCAGCACTAGCACTAGCAACCAAATAAATGGAAGTCTTGTACTTGTACGCATTCTCAGGTCCCACAATATCCGAATAGAATTTTTTAAAGTACTCATATCCTCCATACTTGAAGGCACCTTGGGCTGAGTATCCGAAAAAGGTTGGACTCCAGCCTGTGTAAATTCCTCGAAAGCCTTCTGCACGACCGATTTTACCCCAGGCTTGAAAGTTGCCAGTGTACATTTTAGAATTGACTTGACGGCGGCATTTTACGAGATCAAGAGGGGTGACGAAGGTATGGGTTAGTCCCTGGATGACGTTAGGCGAACAATTGGGTCTGAGATACTTTGGGCGAAACGAGAAGAATGATTTTCGGGTTTAAAGAAACTGGACAAGAAGATTTAGGAGAACGAAAGATCATGCGCGAAAGTCGTAATGATCGAAGTCCAATATCTCGATCGTGGCAACATTATCTGAACAATTTGATTCACCCAACCCCATCATTCAACCAAGTATCCTCACGATCAAGGAACAGAAAAGAAAATATCAATAGATACTTACGCAAGCCAAGAGTCCTCCAAAGGTACAAGCCGCATAATACTTAGCAGTGTACAACTCAATATGACCGGCCTTAGCTCTAGCTTTCTCGCTTGCCAACTCAAACTCCTTGGTCGCTTCCGCGCTTAACTTTTCGGCCTTCTTCTTTGCATCTTCAACGACGGACCAAGTAGTATACTTGTCTAAGGAGTTTGATTTGGGCGCTTGGGGAAGCTCTTGGACTGGAAGGTTCGAGATCGAAGGTCTGCCAAAGGGGGTGGCTGGGTGGAATACATCGTGAAGTGTATCCTGGGATGGGAAGAGGATGCCCATGTTGGCGAGTTCTGATGTTAATAATTGTTAGTTCAGATGGCTGATAAAGGAGAAGATCAAAACTCCCAAAGAAACTGGATGAATTGTCGTCGAGAGCTCGATGATTGTCAAAGAGAGGGGAATGCATACGTCAGTCCTTATTGCCGACTGGCTAAGTACTCACTCCGTAGAACTCGTGATAGGAAGTAGATGATGAGAATTTTTATTGAAGAAATTGTATGGATTATGACCACGAACTGTGCAGAGCACTTTCTTCAACGAACAAGTTGAAAGGGATCAGATGTCGGAGTGAGTCGAGATGTCAATAATAGAATGGGCGGAAATAGTGCTGGTTACCTCCGGACTCGACATGAGGTTGCTACTCGAGCACAGATGCGGGCCAAATAGGCCGGCCATTGGTGGACCTTCCAGGGCAGGAGGAGACCAGGGATCTGTAACCCCAGATTGTCAGTTGATAGAATCAGTGCAAGTTTATGTAGATAAGTACTTGCACAGCCATTCCAATCTCTCTTCTTTTTTATAGATCCAATTTTGGTTGATTCTTTCTGGCACAAGCGATTGCAATGGAAGCTCAGTTCAACCCCACTGCCTCTCCCTTTCGAGGCCCATGTCAAGATCCACTGATCATCCCTTGTAAGGCTGGCTGGCGTGTGTCTGGGCATTAATGTCTCAGTTCCGTCTCTTCAACATATGCATAGGTAAGGTTCAACCCCACCCCAAAAAATAGCCAAACACCTCAACGACCTAAAATCAACAACCTCCTAAACATGACTACCACCATGTCCAATTCTATTCCAATTGATACCCACGACGTCGCTGCCAAAATGGCAGAAATAGCAGAAACAACTTCAAAACTCTCAAATCGGTATAGAGGGGTAAGCAACCCCCCCAAAACCCCTCTCCTCCAGCCCCTCACCTACCATGTACAAACGCTAACACCCCCCACAGGCAACAGTAGAAGACCTCGATCCCCCCTCCGCCCTCTCCGTCCACACCACCGACCCCATCTCCCATGCTCTCCTCTCCGCCTTCGAACGAGACTACACGCACCTAACCGTCGTCTCCGTCGAAACCCGCGCACTCCTCGGCTACCTCTCCATCCCACACCTCCAATCCCTCCTCAAATCCGGCACCGTCTCCGAAACCGATGAAGTATCCAAAGCCATGACGAAATTCAGACGAAAAGGCAGAGTTTACAAGGTGATTACGATGGATACGCCATTGGAGGACTTGGAGCGGTTTTTTAACGGCGAGGGAGAGGGTAGTGAGAGGGGGAAGCAGGAGTTTGCTGTGGTTACTGATGAGCGGAGGAGGTTCGTTTTGGGTGTTGCTACGAGGACGGATTTGGAGGAATTTGCGAGGAGGAGACCTGCTTGAGAGGCTGGGAAGAGGTGGAAGTAAACACGTAGAAAATGGGCGAGGGGATAAAGAGGGCTGCAGGAATTACGATGCTGATGTTGCTCATGAATATCATGAAGCATAAATGAATTTACCTATACTTTGAGCATGTTGTTTGCGCAGATTGTTTCTGGTAGGTTTTTATGGGTCAACTAAGCTTCGACTGGTGTGATTGTGACATTAAATCCAAGTCGTCAATGGGTATTGGATCCGGAGAAAAAAATACATGACTTCATAAACATAGGCAATTTAGAAAATCTAGGAAAGATTCCTCTGTGCGTCGGGGCTAAAGCAGCTACTATGTAAAAATTTCAGCTAGTGCGCTGTAAGCTGTGACTAGGCGGTGTTGTTTCTTTGTTATCACTACAGAATGTCACAAATAGACGAGTAAACCGCAAACGATGTTTTGGGAATGAACGTTAATCAGCGCTTGTGTATTCAAATCTCCTTCGCGACATCGACACTGACAACATCACCCACCCTGATAGTAGGAAACTGGCTGTCTTTCGTCCCCAACATATCAGGGACATGACACATATGACTCCCAAAGAAGACCTTTGAATCGAATCTCCTCGTCTTAGCCAGAGTCACAAAAGGCTCCTCATCCTTCTCAGCAGTATCCTGATTGATACAAATCATATGGCACCTCCGACAAGAGCCCAGCATTTGGAAATCTTGTTGGCCAATCCGTACTCTCGTCCAATGATCTTCATCGTATGGTTTCTCGGTTTCGGGAGATTTAGAAGCAATGACAATATTTGCTCGGAAGACTGCTGCGGCAGCAGGGCTACCGCCTGTCTCAATGATGGCTTTGTTTAATGCGTTAAGACTTGATTTATTGATTGAAAGTATTGGACTTTCATTCGAGAGAAGAATGGGTCTGGGAGTGACTTCGCAGTCAGAGTCAAGGGGTGTTATGGTTGATTGGTATGCTCCAGGGATCGATCCCATATTTGGGTGGTCGTTTTTAAGCCGTTGATGTTTCTGCATGTGCGCCTTTGAATGTCTTGATCCAAATCCCGAACCCCCTGCTGGAAATCTTGCGAGAGTACATGGCACTTCTAGGACTCGGGTGAAGAAGTCGCTGATCGCGCTATTGTATGTTTGTGCGATGATGTTGTCCCCACATACACGCGATGACAGAAGTTTATTGCCAGTCCCTGGACTACAAAATGTAGGGTGAGCCGACAGAGGGATGGAAGTCTTTTGTGGTTCAGATGTTGGTCCGTTTTGGCATTCGATGTGTAGTAGACCTTGGTCGAAGTCAAGTGTAGGGCGTATAAGTGACATTTTGGGATACCTCTTCTGGCTTAAAGCTTGGCCCGTTCCTTGGTGAACCAGACACCATTCCCTATCCCAAGCCAGGCCTTCCGGTCTGATTTCCCAGTTGGCACTTGCAGGAATACTGTAACCCCCACAGCTTTTGATGGGGTAAATTGTAAGGCTTTCTACAAACAAATGATTGGAAGCTTTCGTTTCTGTTTTGAGTTTCAACTTATAGTGAGCCGGTTTGTTCTCTACATAAAACTCCTTCACAAACGAAACGAAAGCCTCCACATCACCGACAGTACTCATGGCTCCTACACTTGCTCGGATAATGCCAGTGATCTTGCCAGCGTAAATGTCACTCTCTACTCCACACCTAAAACCTGCTGAGAAGTTGCGCCTCATTTCCCACGGCTCAAGATCCAGAAAGTTGGCAACCCCTCCAGGATTACAAAGTCCCCCGCTTCGAATATGAAAATTTCGGATGGATGCCAGTCTCTCAAATTCCACATTACTGACCCAAGCACCTTGACTATTCTGGATGTTAAAAGCAACGACTGGGCCTTGCATATTCTCCTCGAAGGCATCTCCTTTTGAGTAGACCACGCATACGGGCAAGGAATTGGCATGTTTCAAGGCCTTTAAGCCGGTATAGAGTTTTTGTGCGAGAAAAGATGTGTGCTTTGCAATGCGATCCATGGAGCCATATAGGTCGGCGTGGACATCAATTGCGGAGCTCAGCGCCATGATACTGTGGAATGGTAGAGTTCCATCCTCGAGGCTTTCGTGTAGAGATTGCCCTTTCAGGGCATGCCATTGTTCTTTGACGGATAGTACGACATCGACAGTACCTCCTCCAAAGTACTTTCGTTTTTGAAGGATGGCACCGGAGTCTTTTCGAACAACCAAAGCCCCTAGATCTGGAAAGCCAAAGATCTTGTAGAAGCTCAATACTGTAAAGTCGGGAGCTTTATCGATATCATTAAGATCCAGCTGAGCGGTGGAAACTAATGCAGAGGCATCCAATAAGGTGTATATCGTTGATTTCGTCGGAGAACACAGGGATTTCACTCTCTGTGCCCATGATAGAGGGAGTCGACGTCCATCAAGGTTTGACTGTGCTGGATATGCAAAAAGTCTGGTTGCTACGGGTGCGCTTTCATTATTGGCATTTCCCGATAGCCAGTTTTCGACTTCTCCGTCGTCCAAACAATAGCTTGCAATAGCCCCCTCTCGTACACCAACTAAACTCGTATGCGAGTCCATGTGGTATGTATAACTGAACCCCCCATCCAGGGCTCGCAAAGCTTCCATGACCAACTTGATTCCAGCAGTTGCGTTTGCGACAAACACCACATGAAAGTGTTCTGGGTCAGCTCTGAAGTATTGAAGAACCTTCAAGCGAGTGTCCTCAATCCGAGAGGTGGACAATTGCGAGGAAGGAGAGGCGGAGTGGGGGTTGCCGTAGAGATTCGACATCATATCTGCTGTGAATCTCTCCATCAGTGACTTTGAGCAAAGAGTCGTCCCGGCATGATCAAGGTAGATGGCATCTGCTTGTTGCGTTAGCAGAATTGTTTGCTCGATATCCTTGTCTTGCACATACCTTTGAGCATAGGATACTCTTTCTCTCTAAAGCTTTCCACATGGCGATTGTAATGACCTTCCATGGCAACCGTCAAGGAGGATATAGTTTTCCCTTTCTCTTCAACGAGAACCAAAAAGCCCGAGGGACAGTTTGCATGTTCATTCTTTTCCAGAGAAGTCAATAGCAAATAATTGGACCGGTGTCTCTGTAGTGCAGGTGGTGGGTGTCTGGTATTATTCACGGGGAGGGGCGACTGATACCTCGGAGCCGGCCACGTGTCTTGGCATCGGATTATCTCATCCTCCGTCAGTCGCGGCGGGTCGAAATATTTGATAGACGGGGGTGGGCAAGCAATTAAAAGTATCAACGACCTCACAATCCACAAGCAAACAGAATGTTCCGGTCGTCACTCGCCCCTCGGATAGGCCGTGCGCTCTTTAAACAGCCTTCCGCTTCCTCCTTATTACCCCGCCGATTTTTACACGCCGTCCCTCCTCTCGATGCGAGTTTTTCTAGAGATGGGGTACCAGGATTATTGTCCGTTGACGGCTTCAATATCGCTTGGACACAATACCAGCATATGATGGTTCAAAAGCTCAATTTGCTTCTTGCGGGTAAGTCAATGCCACGTTCTCTTGCGACAATGCACATGGCAGTAATCTGTACTGACCTTCTTCAGAATCACCTGGAGACTTGGTCATCCAACCCAAGACCATTCTTGAGAAATATGCCCGAAATCCCAATCAAGCCCCAACATTCAACCATGCCAGCATGGCCCACAACAACCACTTCTTTTTTCAGACACTCTCTACCATCAAAGAGCCTAGACCAATTCCTTCATATCTAAAGTCAAAACTCGAAGAGTCCTTCTCCTCAATCGATACCCTCCGGAGGGAGTTCGTCAATACTGCATGCGCCATGTTTGGTCCCGGATTCGTGTGGTTGATGGTAGATAGATCCGGGAAGTACAAGCTACTGTGTACCTATCTGGCTGGGTCTCCATATGCAAAGGCGCATTTCAGGAGACAATCTGTGGATATGAACACCGAGGATAAATCGATCCCTGAAGCCGTAAGGAGAGCAAATTCTCAACAACCAGTGAACGGAGTAGGGGCTCATGGTCCATCAAGTGGGTCGAAACTCCAGCTTCCTCCAGGAGGTGCGGAATTCGAGCCTGTTCTCTGCATAAATACTTGGGAGCATGTGTACTTGCGAGACTACGGTGTAGCAAACAAGAGGGAGTATGTGGAAAATTGGTGGGAAGTAATTGATTGGAATGTTGTTGCGCAAAATGCTGGGGTACAGCACGTAGTTGCTCCTTCGGGGGCATACAGAATGTAGGATCGCTCAGAAGAACGTGATGAGAAATGTAGCATATTTGGAGATGTGAGAGGGCGTCCAGGCATAGGTTGCGCAGCTGAGATGTGTATTATATTGTATGATCGCCTCGATAGAAGCCGTAATACTAGACGGCATATGAAAATACCAATTCTACTATTAAGTCATTTTTTGTGCTCTATGTGAAAATCAGAAACTGAATTTGGTGTGAAGGAGAAGACGTTCTTTATGAATAGGAAGTGCAAGAACCATTGGGATAATTAAATACTCCATTACCTCATCATAAAGCCTTTTAGCGAAGTTCAAGTTGATGGTTACAGCTTACTCGAACAAAGCAATGGATTGGTTGAATCAAAAGGGGCACTGAAGACAACAGCTTGCTCCAAGTGACGGTAAGTTGTCTATTATCTTTATATACGAAAGCGTATTGCCACAAACGTATTGTCAATCCGATGGAATTTTGTTGAGCCCAAGAAGGAACTTTAGCATATGCTAGAATAGACAAGCTTCAAAATAAATACATAAATAAACTATCCTAATGGGCATTGCAATGAATTGTGAACAGTCGTTTTACTACTGTAATTCATGTTACACTTAATTGCTATTTTCAATGCTTAAAACAGATAGCTTGGCCAACCAAAGCCTCTTGGAGTATTAGCGCAGTCACATTGGTAAATTGGGGCTAATTAGATAAGTTGATCTAGAAAGAACAAAACAACGGGAGTGTTAAGAACGTATAGTGTTAAGTCTGTTCCACACTAAGTAGCTACAGATGCTAGCTCTCCGTCCGAAATCCTGCCTAGACATTTTAGGTCTTTGTCGGTATATAATTCTGGTGAATAGCACCTTGTACGAGAGCCTGGTAGACCTATATACTTTAGGTCATGTGAGTGGCTTGCTACTCACATACTTAAGTCTGTAGAGTACCACCTCTCTTTACCTTTACTCTTCATACAAGAATGAATACAAAGAGAGATTATGTTTGTGCATCACCCTTTACGACAACCAGGTCGTACCAACAGTCTTAGTGTAGCTAATTCTCAACAGAGAGAGTAATTCGCTACTACTTTTCCTGTTTACTAGGAGGTAATAACTGCATAACTACCCCTCTTCCCTTTTCACATACGTCTCTTGGGTCATTTTGTTTACTCAAACTCTTGCTCCTCTTAAAGTAGAGAGAAAATTAGGTACAAATTAGTAATTAGTATTAGAGACGGCCTGGACCCTGGTATGTTTCATTAACTTATAGAATCATAGTCTTGTCTGGAAATACATTTATTTATTAAGAGAGTGATATAACAATTAGTTATAGTGATTTTTACATAACTACGTTATATTAAACCTCTTAAAGAATCAGTCTGGGTATAGGACGTATTAGCACATGCGTAAATGGTAGCCTAACTGCATTTAAGTTTCATGTGTTCTTTATTATTATATAGGTAGCTCCGGGAAATTACACTAAGCGACAAGTATTACGCGAATAGCTACAACAACCAATTTAACCTTCAAATTTGACGACAAGTCTTTAGTAGTAACAGACCACAGTGGTTCATAGCAACGAGGTGCACCATGAGGTTTTAGAATGAATCGTCGCCCGCCCATTTCTTCCAGTGAATGCACCGTTTCGACCAGATCATAGTTAATGTTTTGGCACAGCTTTTGAACTTGAGCAGTAAGAAGACAAAGTATGTGCTCACAGTAAAAGCGAATGAATCCCCTATGAAACAATTAGTAGCTATCCATTCAATCGAGATTTTGGGAAAGACTTATCCCCAAAACATTGGAGGGGTTGCCTCGCAATGAGACAACCCTGGGCTACCCAACCATCGGGCCTGCCCTTAAAAAACCCCCCAAGCCCACTATCCCCCAAGGTATATCCAGCCCAAACACAGCTAATACGTCATTCAAGAACCAAGAACCCGAACTCAAGCAAACAGTACAACGCTACCCAGACCAGACAAGCACTAAGCTTTGACTCCAACGCAAGATGGGTCCCAATTTGGACGCTAAACTGTTCCTCGAAGAAAGGGAAAAGGAACTTGAAAAAAGATTAGCAGCGTGGGACAAGAGGATACATCTCACCATTGCTTCCATCCTCTGCGCCTCGTTGACCCCACCAACCAGGACCACAACCGTATCACACCCAAAATAACCGGGACCAACAAAAGCGTTGATTCGAGATCCAGCAACTGACCGGACAAGAAACTAACGAACTCGAGATACACAGTAACCTCTTCACGAACACATGCAAGCTTCTCTCTGTTTGACAAGCAGTACCCTCTGAGATTAGTTTTATGTTTCCTTTGCATCAAAAATGCAAGGCAAAAGAGGCGGACAAAAGACATAAACAAAAACCGCTGATCATCTCGCCCAACCCAAGTATTGGGATAGGGTGGGGAGGAAAGGGTGTCAAATCATCGCAAGGACGAAAGACCATGTGTTGGCGTCTTCCATCACCAAGGGACCAGACCCTTGAGAGAAAGTTGATGCGGCTGGTTAGGATTTCGCAAAGCGACAATTCATTTGGCTGTTGCCATTGTAAAGGTCTTGTGAGCTGGCTGCGCTGCTAGAACGAGACTCCAAGTAGGAGAGGTTGGATACAATGTCCTTCATAAGCCCCTAAAAGTAAATGGAGGACAGACTGGATATGGAACGTCTTCACTGAATGGAAAAGCGCCAACTCATCTCTATAAAATCCACGAAAAGATTAATCAAGTAGACTGAAAGACACAGGAGCATGGCAGTATGTCGCATAATCGCTACGCCGAAGTGTATCGATGGATCAGCCTCTTTCTGCATTGATGCTTCCTGTTTGAATGTGAACGAAAGCTCGCTTCAAATGCCAAAGCAAGTGATTCTGACGAGTGCTATCGACACCTATGATACGACCCGGAGGAAGTGGAAGCAAATGCAAAAAGCCAATCTGTTTGTAGACTATCCCGAAGGATAATACTGTGCTCGATCTCTCAACCTCCAAGACCATCGATTGCATCATTGTCTAGAGTGAATAGAGAAAGCGTGATCTCCCCCGACAGCTTGATGAAGATTTCCAAAACCGCTTCTCAAGAAAGGGCCTACTCGTCTCTCATTGTATCTCCTCTCCATATTATAGCATCGACAAAGACAATTCATCGTCACCAGAGTATAGCGCCCAGCCAGAAGCCCTGACGAGCGACCTCAGCTCGAGGCTCTTACCAAAAATGGCTCATAGGAGAATCCAGTATTACCGTCTCTCGACATCTGGACTATTCTTCCAGCCTTTCGCTATCCACGCTCACTCAGAACCTTTCGGCCTTTCGGCGTCCCAGTTCCTCGCAGACGAGAACGGATAGGTAGTCATCTGGATGAACAACTGTGACCGCAAAGCTAGAACCAACAATTGCTTAGGGTTAAGTTCTGATCCACTACGCTTCCTTTCGGAAGGAGAGACCAGAGAACTGTGTGGAAGGTGGAGTGCTGGGTTGGCGGGGCTCTTGGCTAGAGAGCGAGAGAAGCTCGTCGACGCGTGCGTGTAGTGAAAGGCATCTGGAGGTATCAGGAGAGCGTGTTTGGTGTATGGTTTTGCATTCGGATCTCGAGGCAATTGGTTGGTTTTTTCCCGATCGTAGGTAGAGACATTGGAGGTAGATATGGAGGAGTGGACTGCAAGGCATTGCAGTCGACATTTGAGAGGCAGTGGTTGGGATGGTGATAGAAGAGACCGGGAGCTCTCGTGAAGTCGCGGAAGGAGATCAACAGGGCATAGACCTTCTGGTCTGTGCGTACCTTGTCAGTGCGCTCTCACGTGATAGGACCCACTCGAATATTTATCTGACAAACGACCACTGACAGAAGAGGCCTCCGGGAGACTTTGACAGTTTAGCCATCATAGCACTCTCCGGATCATCAGATCGTACCCCCGTAAAGCAAGGAGTCTTGCGAACGCAACTCCTTTCCGGAAATTCAAATCCAGGTAGAGAATGGAAGCTGCATCCAAACAAGATCTCCCACCTCTTGCCGACAGCATCCTTGAGCTGGGAAAGCTCGCTTTTGACCCCCAGGAATCAGAAAACAGCAGAAGGGAAAGCCAACCGAGATTCAAGCAGCTGATTGATGGGTATATCCAGAAATCTATAAACTTCGCAACTTCACTAATAACCATCAGGACCTCTACTTTAAAACTCTTGCCAGTCCTGAATCATTTGGTCCAGCCTGGAGGCCGTGCAGAGCCATGGCTTCGTCCAGCTCTCATATCAGCCCTTGCACGCATTCCTCTCAGACCACGAGGAGTGCAGGATACCATCGAATTTGTTCTTTTTGTACATCCTAGCTCCCGTGCAAGGCCATCTGACGGAGTAGAAAAACGGTCCGGGATCTCTCACAAAGCACTGAATGCAGCATCTCGCTTGTTATCCTCCCCCCCTGCCGGAATTACATCTGAGGAATGGTTTGCTGATATCGCCCCGCAACTAATATCGCTTTTACAAGGTGAAGGCGAACCAGAAATGGACAAAGCGGCAGCTTTCATTATTGGTTTTGGCATTTTGGGACGAAAGCAATATGGTGCACCAGGTACGTCTTCCTTTCCCCTCTATACAACTTATCCTAAGTTGTTCCTCAGGGAAACCTGGATGGAATGCTTTTGTGGAACCTTTGTATCAGTGTATTGATCCTGCCCTCGGTCGGAAATTGTCCTTAAATGACCAGGAAGACGATATCATCACAATAGGTGCCCCTAAAATCCTCGTACCTTCAGTTAAGGTCTCAAAAAGTCTCCGGAATCTTTCTACTCTTCTAACTTCTCATCCCCATCCATCGCTCGCAAAGAGACTTCTGAGGCCCATTCTTCTTCCTCTTTGGGCTCTGTCCTCTTGGTCTGGTGATAATGAAGTAATGCGGACCACTTTTTGCAATCCGGCAGCAAAATTATTAAAAGTCCTCGTGCAGTTATCGGGTTCTGGACAGGGAGGCACAAAAAAAGATGCGCCTATTTCATCGCCGATTTTTGATTCAATCCTTCAAGACTTGCTATTCAAGGGAAAATCAAACCCAGCTGAAATTGTTTGGGAATATGGGATAAGCAAAGATGGCGGTATTCAAATACAACAGTCAAGTGGCACTGCCCAGAACGTTGGCCCTAATCTAGAGTTAATAGACACGGCTGCTGATAAGTTTGTTGCATTTATTTCGCGCCTTGAAAATACGCCTGACATTCAGGGTGAAATCTCACATCTGTTCATGGGATTGTGTACCAAATGGCTGTCAAGTACTGGCTCAATGAAAAAGAAACAGCAGACGATCATCACCCAAAGAGAGCCCGACGAAGTGGAACACGACTTTGAAAGAAGGATCATCGAGGCTAAAGTTATGCAAAAGATGATGTCTACATTCCCTGGCAAACTTATTAGTAACCCACGTCAAGTGCTTGACCTAGTCAACCAAGTACTTTCGGACTTTGCTACTGAAAGCGGAGACGATGCCAACGGCGAAGATGCAGCTTCAGTTGCGTTGAGTTTATTAAACATCGTCCTAACTACCACAAGCTTCAAAATCCCACCAGAAGACCCGACCTTGGGAGCGATACAATCACATCTACAGGTAATTAGTCGCTTGAAGCATCAGGACATGTCAACAACTGCGCAGAATCTTCTACTGCTGCTAAAATATCGAGGCACAATTGATGAGCCAGAAACGGAGACGACAACGAAACCAACGGATCAACAAGTCGAAGACCGGAAGACCTACGCTCTCGCCCTCTCCTACCTCACCACGACTGACTCCCCACCACCAGTCCGCGTTCAAGGTCTTGAACTTCTCTCTGATTTGATAAAATCAAGTAGTTCAATTCTTGATATTCCAGCACTTCTAACACTCTTCTCATCACTTCTTCAAGACTCTGAAGAATACATCTACCTACGAGCCATTAAATCATTCATACAGCTATCGCAGAAACACCCGAAAGCTGTGATGAAAGACCTCATCGATAGATATGTTGATCCAAACGAGGACTGCGACTTAGACCAACGTCTGAGACTCGGTGAGGCTTTACTTCAAGTAATTCAAAGTAACCCATCAACCTTCACAGGAGATACAGCACGAACAGTCCTCGAAGGCCTCCTCTTCCTAGCCAGTCGACGAGGGTACCGTCCAAAAACAGAACAGGAGCAACAAAAAAGGGCGAAATTGAAGCGAAAGCAAGATTTCGAAGCAGAGGAAGCATGGGACGGGGAAGTCCCTCAGCTTGACGAAGTCCTCGAGGAGGAATCATCGAAAGAAGACGAGATCCTCGCTCAAATCCTCTCGGGATGGGAAAGCAAAAGAGGTTCAGAGGATCTCCGGATTCGTGCATCTGCGATTGCTATTATCGGCTCAGCGCTCGAGGTTAACATCGCTGGTATTCATGCGGGAACGATATCCACTGCTATCGATCTCAGTATACACATCATTACTCTTGAGACTGGACCCGAGCAAGCTATCGTTCGTCGATCGGCTATTATACTCGTTATGAGTTTTGTAAAAGCGTTGGACACTGCAAGAGAAGAAGGAACCAAGCTGGCTTTTGGCTTTGTGGGGAGTAACTTGGAGGATGTGGAAAGGATTTTTGGGTATGTTGCCGAGACTGATGGGGATGGTCTGGTAAGGAGACATGCAGCGGATGTGGGGGAGAGCATGAAAGCGTGGAGGATGAACGAATTGATTCCTAAAGATATGAGCGTGGGAGAGAGTGGTATTGGGGAGTTGAGGGGGTTAAGTATCACGCCGGGCGGGGAGCTAAGGGATAAAGAGGGGAGGGTGAGACCAAGAATTGAGGAGGTTGAGTGAGTCTCCTGCAGACTTGGCTTCTGGGGCTTGGGATGCTATGTATGTGCTTTTCAGAAGTTTGACACGCAAAACTGGTTACATCTTCCATTGGCTTTTCATAGATTAAGCGAAAATTGGTATAATCGCGACGTACTCTTTTTGCATGGCTAATCTATCAAAAGTCAAAATCAGCACAACATCTCATCTTTGGGTCACCGAATACTGTATGGTAATAAAATATTAAAACCAAGTTCTACTAGAAACAACGATCTAACTCCCGTGTTTGCCCCCAAACTAACTGCGTATATTAACCTCCCTCATCAATGTCTGGTTATATAAACGGTGGAATGATTATCCTTCGCTGCTTCTTATTGTGGAATGTCAAGTGATCGTCGAATTACTTCCCCATTCTGGTTTCACTCGATTAACCTATATATTTATTCACTTTGGGTTCAGTAGGCATGGTAATTCTCTTCGCCGTACGCACGTACGCACAGAGTAGTTTCATATGCTCCTGATAAGCTCCTGAAATATATATGGATTTATACAAATTTGGACAATATCACGATTAGTGAATACCTAGGATATAGGTAGTCCGTATTCCTAGCTACGGAGTAGGTTTGTGTAACCACAGAACTTGACCAACCTTGGCTGGCTGTAAACAGAAACACTTACAATTATTAGTTATATAGTCTCTAGCTATAGAGATATACCTTCCCATTCTCCACCGAGCATTTACTTGCAGAAGAAGTGAACCAGGAAGGAGAAATACAAGTAATAGTGGTTTTATTATATCCAGACTCTGTTGGTACACTGCCGATAATCGGCAAGAAACGGAAGCGGTCAGATGCTTGGTAGTCGAGACGTGATTTGTTAACGCCAAAAATGTTATCTTTAATCTTATATTAACCTCTTCAACATTTTCTCTTCTGTGTCTCAACAACTTCGTCTTCGACATCGACGTCTCACTCATCTTCGGACCAGGTGCTGACGCTGGTGGGTTGACCTTTGATCCGACCATTGCAGGAGACCGAGAAGTCGGATCGTCTCTGTCAAGGTGGAAGCTCTGACGACCAAGTCGAGGTATTCATTACTCAGGGGTACTTGAGTAGCTAACCCCAACCCCAATCCTGCGGTGGTGATAGGCTCCTTTAGCTACCCCACTCGCTGTCACGGCTTTTAGTAGCGAGGCAACTTTGGGCCCCTCGGACGGTGCAGAATGGTTCCCCTCCATGCGTCATCATCGCTTGCGCGGGCGACTTTAGCAAAAATCCCTCGCCATGTCACCACGTCCGCCCCTCGGAGTCTTTCTTCTTTTCAGCCATCGACCGCAAATTCTCTAGGTACGTAGGATTTTCGTCTTGAAAAAGTCAGCCATTGACATCCCCTCGGTCCCCCCTCCTCTGGGTTGAGAATTTGGGGGGGGTCGGAGGTGTCGACCCGTTATCGGCCAGAAACGGACCGGCCGCTATTCGATGCCCCTCGCCCGCCCCTCGTCTTGGTGGGGTCATGCGCTGCACAAGTTTCCCCATTGCTGGGCTACTGCTACCGCCACTGCCACTGCCACTGCCACTGCCACTGCCACTGCCAATTTCTCAGTCTCAGAATATTCCCTATTGTGGGCGCGATTGTGAATGTGCCTGTCCTGTCCTGTCTCTCTTCTGACCCGCATATCATAATATATAGGTCGCTCTAGCTCTCGCCCTTTATTCCAATCTCGTTCAAGTATCAATATCTTCGACCCACCATCCTCAGCCCGAGCCATGTCCGCCACCACCGCCCTTCGCAGCTTGAGCATCAATAACATCAACCCCCACGTAAAGGAGGCCAAATATGCTGTGAGAGGAGAACTTGCGGTGCGATCCGAGGAGTACCGAGCCAAACTGGCCAAGGGCGATACCGACCTTCCCTTCGACCAAGTCATTGCTGCCAACATTGGAAACCCACAGCAATTGGACCAGAAGCCCATCACATTTTTCAGACAGGTCTTGAGTTTGTTGGAATACCCACCACTATTGGAGAAGGAGGATGTTTTGTTGAACCAACTTGGATACAAAAGCGATGTTATTGCTAGGGCAAAGTGGCTCTTGAAGACTGTCGGCTCAGTCGGTGCCTACAGTGCCAGTGCTGGTGCACCAGGTATTAAAGAGAGTGTCGCTCGTTTCCTCGAGGGTACGTTCGCATTTCGGAAGTGGTGATGCAGTCTGCTAATCCCATCATTTTGGTAGAAAGAGATGGCTTTCCAGCCGACCCCAAAGACATCTATCTCTCGGGTGGTGCCTCATCTGGCGTCAACACCCTATTGCATGTCATTTGCGCCAGCCCCAAGACTGGTGTTCTTGTCCCAATCCCACAATACCCTCTCTATACTGCCTCCCTCTCCCTGCTCAACGCAAAATGTGTTCCATACTACCTCGACGAGTCCAAGAGCTGGGGTACAGATATCGAGGCTGTAAAGGGTGCGTACCAAAAGGCCGTTGATGAAGGAACTGATGTGCGGGCTATCGTTTTGATCAACCCTGGCAATCCTACGGGGGCAAGTTTGTCAGAAGACGACATTAGAGCCGTCATCGAGTTTGCTGTCGAGAAAAAACTCGTTGTTATGGCCGATGAAGTCTACCAAACAAATGTCTTCGTTGGAAAATTCCACAGTTTCAAGAGCGTCTTGAGAAGCTTACAGAAGGCTGATGCCGAAAAGTACAAGAACGTTGAGCTTGCTTCCCTTCACAGTATCTCAAAGGGCATGGTAGGTGAGTGTGGTCACCGCGGTGGGTACTTTGAGCTATGTGGGTTTGATCCAGAAGTCCAGGAACAAATTTACAAGTTTGTTTCCATCAGCTTGTGTGCTCCCGTTATTGGACAATGCTTGGTAGAATTGATGGTTAACCCACCAAAGCCTGGGGAGCCAAGTTACGAACTCTACAAACAAGAATATGATGGTATCTTCTCTGGCTTGCAAAAACGAGCAACCGCTTTGTATGATGCCTTTAAGAAAATGGAGGGCGTCGAGTGCGGCACTCCTCAGGCAAGTACCCTTCATAAATAAGCGAAGCGATAATACTGACAATTACAGGGTTCAATGTACCTGTTCCCAACAATCAATCTTCCACAGAAAGCAATCGAAGCTGCAAAGAAAGAGGGTCGAGCCCCCGATGAGTTTTATGCTTTCCGTCTACTCGATGCAACAGGAGTTTGTGTTGTCGCTGGATCTGGGTTTGGTCAGAAGGAAAACACCCTTCACTTCAGAACGACCTTCTTGGCACCAGGCACCGAGTGGGTTGGTCGAATTACCAAATTCCACGAGGAGTTCATGAACGAATTTAGATGAACGAATACTCATACAAAAGTCATTCAGGGGTGATATGGAGTTCAGGTAGAGGTGACCAGAATTAGAGCAATGGTTATTTAACCTTGCACGGGGCTGGAAATGCATATGAGAACTTTCAGTGCTATGAGGCCCCGAACGATGAATTATTGATCAAATATAGGTATATATCATATGATCTCACGATATATTCCAAACAGCTTTGTGCGCTGCATTCATTATTTATACTGAAAATATATATCATCTATTATTGTCTTATATCCACCCCTCGCGTATTGCTCGAAGCTGAGATAACCTAGATGGAATTAAGCGACACTGATACTCAGGAACAAAGTCCTCATATGAAAGCAAATGACCTGTCACCTGAGTGGATGAGAGCAGAGCCTCCTTAGTGGAGAAATCGAACCTTATCGTACTTGTCAGTATTCTTTAATTTACGAGAGTCATCAGCCCGTTCACTTGGTGGACGAGAAGAATACAGTATCCCTAGCTGATTGCTAGGTATGCGACGATAACTCAAAATAGCACAGCATCGTGCCTGCGTATTGACAGCTCCGGTACGTGTTACTTACAGATAACTCTAAGGGCATAGGCGGAATCCAACAAGAACTAACTAGGCGGGTTTTGTCGCCGAGCTTATTTTGGTTTTTGATGTTTATCAGCGTGTGATTTTAGTACTGGATCATCGTGGAATAAGGAACCGATTTGGACAGAGACTTAATATCGTCCGAGTCAGGTCCGTGTCAATCATACTATTGGCGAGTATGAGCGGGTTACGTGCAGGAAGTCCCAACAACTTCAAATATTGCAAGGAACCAGACTCGATTGAGCTCCAATTTCTGTGATGACTTGCGGCCTGGACATACTAAATACGCTCGCACCCCTCCTAGCTCCACAAGTTATCTTTAGACCCCCAACACGGCCTTTACTCTGGGAAAGGACTTCAGCACTCGATAACTTATAAAGAACTTCAGCATTCAATAACTTATAAAGATCAACGACAAAAACACTGCAATTGAAAGCTGGAGTACCACTCGAATACTAAATCTCAATGCCTCAATCTGAAGCGCGAGTCCCCTCGAGTTCAATTGGTTGACATGAGGATTACCTGGAGCTCGGATTCTTGACTCATTGTTCCCATTGCATGCACGTTACACAAGATAACGCACGGTATCATGGTTCGTGTCAAATGTTGTATGGCAGGGCCCTCCAGGTTTTTTCGCCATCTGCTTGCAGCGAGTCCCCTACCTGTTCACGCCATGCATCAGACTGAGATCCTGGAGCTGCGGAGTGCCCCTGTACTTGGAAAATTTTTATCAGATTCGCCGGAGCATTTGCTGCATAGATATATCATATCTGCACTACATCGGATCTCGACTCCAATGGCTGATCATTACTGGGGCGTACTGACTCCCTTGCGATCTCCAAGTCTTGCTCTGCGACGACTTGTCTCTCGTGGATCAATAAGCTGTGATGCTGATCATGTTACTGTAGTTGCGTGATTCCAACCTTCATCAGATGAAAGCTTCAAAGCTGAGCGAAGCCCCGAGCGTATTTTGATCGAAACACCAGCAAGATCCTCGTGTTAACCGGTACACTATCGATCGATGACAACCAGCTTTTCGATTGTGTTTTGCTATTTCGGGATAATTCGTCTATAAAAGTTGGTCCACGCTCAACGGCTCCCCGCTTGTGGCCTATGCGCCCTGAAGTCAAGGTTTCTCCTAATATGATGTACCCGCCTCACGCAAGTTGCACGCAATTCGGATGATGCATCGAATTATTTCTGGTATCCTACTCGAAGGTTTTTCAATAAGCTTCTTCAAACTTCGGGACGAGGACTGTAGAAGAGGACCCCTGGAAGAGATGTTCATATGAACAAGACTAGTTTTTGACGAGCTACAGTTTGTTGACAACAGAATTTATGCAGAGTCTATGCAGTAATCAAAGTCAACCCGACACTCGGCAACAGAGTCAATAGAGAAGGAACTCAGCAATCCGTCGGACGAGGAGAGTGACGTTGTGGGCTAACATAGGCGAGATTAATTTACCCCTGACGCGAGGGGGCAGACAAAGAAAACACAGCCTTCCAATAGAAGCGAGTATTTTTCTGACAACTCAAGTAAACGGCCCAGCCTTACTCTAGGTAATGTAGACGCCGTCAAGACTTTTTCTTTTTCGTTTGCTCGGATGGGATCCATATGTATCGAAGGTTTTCCAGACCGTCCTGATTGGATAAAACCCTTAGTGGCTTTCGTTTTGAGCAGGTTGGCAGCTTCGCAAAGCCATCCACTTACAGACTGCAACTCTTCAAAGCTTAGTACTTCAAGTGGAGCGTCTTGGCCCTACAGGCATACGGTCCTTTTGAACATGTTTGGCGTATCGATTATAAAGTTTCCCTGCTAGCCATGTTTTTCAAGGTCCATCAATGGATCCCTATTCTGCCCAGAGCAGCCCTACCCTTCGAGATCCTATATCATTTGCCATATCAAGCCCTTCTCCTAAACAGTCTTTCGATATCCAAGCTGCTCTTGAGAAAAAGATGGCTTCCTCTGACGGCTCGGATTCTTCGCAGACAGCGCCAGTTGATGCTCAATCGCCTACAGACGAGGGGTTCTTTGACTTGCAACCCCCCGCCCCCAAAGCGAATCGTGTAAAGGTTGAGGATGTGATGGCGAGTCTTTCTTGATATGAAGCAAACACATTTGTTTTACTAATTTAATTAGGCAAGACTGCTGTCTGCCGAACATCTGAACTTCATACTAGGCGATCAGTCTCTATTCCAAAAGTTCACCACCTTCCTCAACCGTTTTCACGCCCATATGGTGCCCACCTTAATCCGATACTTGGAGATGAGAAAAGCAGTGAAAGCAATCGAGTTCGCCAACGCCATTGCAAGACAAATCCGTTGGCCTTCCCATACCGATTATTGCAAATTCAGTCGTGTTCAGGCCGGAGCTGTAGATGTTCGCTTTGAGGATTACGCTGCGAGGGAACTTTTACTGTTATGTACTGAGGCTCTCCCTGCTTTCGTAACACATGCACTTTTGGAGGTGGTCTCGGATTGTGTGGCGAAGGATATCATGGGTCAGGCTATTCCGGTGGTGAAGGATTTGGTGGGAAATTTGGCGGAGGTCTTTTGTTTGACGGATCCTTCGGTTCATGATAACCCTATCATATTTGCTTCCGAAGGTTAGTCAAATTTTGGTTTTGTTTTTCCGTCGAGAGGCATAGCTGCCTGAACTTGATTCATTTTCATGATGCACTCTGACAGCTCGGCAGAGTTCCATAGGACTACCCAATACGGAACTTCCTATGCTATTAACCGAAATTGTCGCTTTTTACAGGGCCCAGGAACCGACCAAAACACGGTGCTGAGGCTCTCTCAAGCCATTACTCTCGGGCGAGAATGTAACGAGGTTCTTCTGAATTAGTATGTTCCTTATTTGAGTGCGATCCCAGAATATACTAATAACTTCCAGCCGCAGGGACGGAACTCCATTCATAAACCTCCTCATGTCTGCCCCTCTCTACGATGATAGAGGAAGACTGAAATATTTTATTGGCGCCCAAATTGATGTCACTGGCTTGATTGAGCATGGCATGGGGATCGAATATTTTAGAGCTCTGCTCCAGAAGGAACAGGAATCCGAAGAAAGAAACTGCACCCCAAGATACGAGGATACGCAACAGTCTAAGAATGCCAAAGAAACTCTTGATAGACTTCAGGAGTTGAGTATGATGTTCAGTCAAGAGGAGGCAGAGGTTGTGAAAGGTAATAGCCGCTGTGATGATGACATTGATGCCTGCTCCATCAGATCAGTGGTCCCAACGAGTAACCGAACTCGTGGGCCAGCACGAAGGATAATAGGGGCTGAGGAGCTTCCTGGAGATGGATTGAATCTGTCGAAGTTGAACTTTCTTAACAATCCTGATGCTGGAAACACACTGCCTGGAGCTTATCAGCATGTAAGCAGTCCTGGTGTCCTTGGAATACATGGATCTTTAACTAATGATACAATATAGTACCTACTGGTTAGACCAGACCCCTCACTACAAATAATCTTTGTTTCTCCGTCGCTTCGGTTACCTGGAATTCTTCGAACCCATCTTTTCTCCAAGCTTGGGGGTCCCGCTCAAACGATTAATGCTTTGCAGGACGCATTTAGGGATGGGGCTTCAGTGACAGCCAAGGTACTCTGGTTGCCAAAGAACGAGCGGGGACGAAGTGCAGCAGAAAAGCCCAGATGGATCAGATGCACGCCTCTGCTAGGATCCGATGATCGAGTTGGGGTATGGATGATTATTCTCATCCCGGTTGAAACCCAGGTTAGACCTTTCGGAAGAATGGAGCACGTAGGTGAAATAGTCGACGAGGTGGAGATTCAGAGAAAAAGACTGAATGCTATATCGATGGCTGGGTCGAGAGCGGGCAGTGTTGTGCCGCATTCACGAACAGCGTCAAGAGAGGGATTTGTTAGACCGGCTCCAAGGGATACTATGACCAGGCCGCCTACGAGGGATGGTTTGATAAGACCACCTACAAGGACAGGGTCAGTGGAGCCTATTGTCAGGAGATTGGAACCTTTAGATATGAACCCTATAGGTTCTGGGACCCTCGGCAGAATGAGGAGGGGGAGGCCGGATGATGGACTTGAACTCTATGCAGAGTATCTGAGGAGCTCATCACCTGCGACTTCCACCTTCTTCAATTAGCTATAGGGAGGGTACTGGTATCGGGACTTTCATTTCTGTGTTTCCATTTTCTGTGCTACTGCCAGTACTAGTACTACTTGTACCCCGGCACTTGCTTGCTTCTCGATATACCCAGTCCTCGCGGAATTTTTTCCTTGTAACAATGATAGACCTTGTGTACTTGATTTGTGTAAGGTGCAAACCTTTGACTTGCTTAGCGAGAGGATTGATTAGACAAAGATTACAGATTACCTCGAATTGATTACCGAAAACAGAAAAACAAAAGTTCTAAATCATAAAAGTTTGCAGCCATATCCCTTCAATATTTCCTGGCTATCTCTTTCAACGCTGTTAGTTCTACGGTATTGATCACGGTAAAATTTGGGCATTGGTGTTTTCGTGAGACGCTGAGCTGATGCTGACGCTGCTGTGTTTCCTGGTGCTATGTCCATCGATAACAGCTGCAGGCACAAATCAAAGACTCGGAGGCTTTTCTCTGTGTCTTTGTCTGTGTGGCAGGTGCGGATTGCACAGAACTCGATGTGGGGTTGTCACACTCGCAGGTGTGGTCAGAAAGGGAAGCCACGACTACGACTGTTGAAGTGATGCAGGAACGATCAACCCGCTTGAAGTATCTCTCCTCCCAGCACCCGTCAAACACCACCCACCAACAAGCCATCTGCAACTCGCCATCTGAAAAACTCCGATTGCAGAATCACAATCGCGATACGGCAGGATGGGGTCACTTGGTATCAATGTGGATCAATTGAAAGCAAGCCTGTCAAAGTCGGCTGCGGTCGTGACGACGGAATCGTCCGCAGAAGAATATCAACAAAGCATCAAGCGTTGGGCAACAAATTCAGAGAAGCCGGCGGTAAGTGTGGATTGCAGCACCAATCCAATGGTATCTCAGTTCAAATAAAAGAGCTCAGACTTACTCCATCTCAGAGAATTGTCATTTATCCAGCAACGGTAGAAGATGTTTCTAAAGCAGTTCTCTTCGGTGTTGCTAGCAAACTCGAGGTGGTCACCGTCGGTGGAAGACACTCTGCAGCAGGGACTTCGTCTCGCGAGGGGGGAATCTGCATCGATTTGGGCAAGATGCGGAATGTCACCGTTGATGCCGAGAAAAAGACAGCTACTGCTCAAGGTGGATGCCGATGGATTGATGTGGATTCTGAGCTTGCAAAATTCGGGCTTGCTACGGTTGGTGGTACGGTGAACGATACTGGTGTTGGAGGACTTACGCTTGGTGGTGGGTATGGATGGCTTACCGGCACGTACGGATTGGTCATCGACAACTTGATCGAAGTCGAAGTGGTTCTTGTAGATGGCAGTGTTGTGAAGGCCTCAGAGATTGAAAACCCGGACCTGTTTTGGGGGATCCGAGGAGCCGGGATCAATTTTGGTATTGTGACATCCTTCACGTACCAAGCATATGAACGTAGGTGACGTACGCTTTCCGCTGAGTCCTCCTGCTGCTTTCGATGTTGGGCCAAAAGACTAACTCCATGGTATAGAGGGACCAGTCTGGGCTGGTCAACTCGTCTTCACAAAGGAACGAATCATCCCAGTTTTTCATATCGCTAACCACCTCTTGGCTACGAGCAATGGCCGAAGTACAATGTTCACTGCTTTTGCAGCACCGCCCCCGGCTCACCAACCAGTTGTTCTGGTTGTTGTGTTCTTTAACGGATCAGAAGAAGAAGGAAATGACTTTTTCGAGCCGTTGATTTCTCTCGGTCCACTGGTCAACACGACAGCTTCCATGCCGTATGAAAACGTAAATACCCTTGTCGGACAGGCATTAGAACCAGGGTTCCGTCGATTGATGAAAGGTTCGAGTACATTACATCCACTCGATCCCGAGCTCGCTGAAGAATTGGCTCGCGATTACGAGGAGTTCATTACCCGGTTTCCAGATGCGAATCTTACGATAGTCCTCTTTGAATACTATCCAGTAATGAAGATCATGGATGTCCCTCAAACGGCGACCGCCTTTGCAAATCGGGGCGCAACCGTGGGTTTGACTTTTATCCCTGGTTGGACCAAAGAAGAATTTGATATTCCGTGTCGTGACTGGGCTCGGGAGATGTCCAAGAAGACTAAAGACTATCGTTTGAAGAGCTTAGAGTATACCAAAGTTGATGAGAATACTCAAGTTTGTGTTGGGGAGTATTCTAATCATGATGGTAATTTACACCTGACCACATTTTTGGGTTTCGTTAACACCAATTAGGACTTGGCGATGGTCCCGAGGTTATCTATGGGCTCAACTACCCTAGACTGGTTGAGCTCAAGCAAAGGTTTGATCTAGAGAACTTCTTTGGTAATGGACGAAACAGCATCATTCAGAAGCCAAGATAATTGACCATGCCGTGGTGGGATTCTTAATTTGCTTTTCTCTCTAGTATGCTAGATGGCTTGATTTCTGCAAAATGGGTTCTATAACCTCAATTCAGAGCATCTGTTACATTCTTCTGACTGTCTTCACATTACTAATATGTGTTTTTATAGCTCATTAGAATAACAAGTTGCTTATTCCCAGAGTCAGTAGATTTCGTTCCCCAAGATCACAGATTGATATCTGCTCTACAAATTAAATAGCAGAGCAATAATGGAGTTACGTTAGGGTTAAGATGCTTTAAAGGTGTTGAGGAATTAGCCAAAAAGGCTCAAACTTGACAAAATTAGTTCACAGTAAAAAAGAGAATAACAATGTAAGAGATGGGTTCACTGAAAGAGACTCTAGTGCGTAAGTACATAGAACAGTTCTCTATTTAAACGTTAGAAGATTTGTCCGAATACTTCTTTGTTTCTGCTCTTTCTTTCAAAAGAACTTTGAGAAATTTTTACAGCTAATCAAAAAACCCAAAAGTAAACACCAGTGGTGTGGAAGTCCGTAAGTTTCCCATCCAAGTAACCTTAAAACAATAAGAGCACAGACCAAATTGTTTATTGCCACGCTGCCCATTGTGAAAATGACGTGAAAAAAGTCTACAGTACCTTACAGGTTATAACCTAGGAGGCTCTTTTATTCTCAAAAAAAACACAAGGTAATCTGATATAGTGGATAAGTCAGTAAGGGGTTTTCGCTAAACTTTTCACTGTATATATCTGACAAGTTCACAGTGCAGAATGATCATCAAGTGAAAACCTGGTACCAGCTGTAGCAATTATTGACTGAAGTTACTATCATTCACCACAGAAGTCAATCTGTATGGCCTGGCCAAGGCTGGTGTGCTTACTAATAATTGGCCCCCTTTACTCTAAGAAATAGTCTCAATTGTGCTCACTCTGGCCGTACTACCAGTAACCTTCAGTTGGCTAATATCAGACTTAAGGCTAATAACTAGGGTCAACGCTGTAGGAATCCCTACCCTTTCTTTATTTTTTTGCAAATCAGAAATCCACATACTGCAATCCACGCACCACACAACCACGTTAGTTGGATATCAAATAACCTCTTTGCGAACAAGGGTTTGCATTTCTTCTGGCGACATCAAACAATCATAATCGTCGAAGACTCGTGTCGTTGAAGAATTTTGTCATGTCTCGAGATCCCAATTGCAATGTATTAAAGCTGGAGACGGTCGCAATGACGCATAATACCATCTATCTTTTCCTTCCGCTCTCGGTTGTCAGAGGTCAATGCTGCTCTGCTTCCGCTGTCTCCTGACACCGGAAGTATTGATCAAATGAAAAGGTACAGGTATGCGTTTTACTGCAGTGAAAATTGACAGCTTCAAGACTGGGAATTCCAACACAGGAACGACTGTACAACCTTGAAGGCAGTTGGTGATGCCGTTGGCAAAGAGACAATTCCTCCCAGGTCCAGGCATGAGCATGAGGTATTAGTGGTAAGTTTTGGATGTCATTGGCCCTCCAACTCCTTTTTGAAAGAGCTATCTAACCCGGCAAGCAGGCCAAGGCGGCGAATTTGGTGTTACAATATGTCGGCCACAATACAGATAAGAGAAGTAGTCGTTACTCTATACACACCTCTCTTAGAATAGGATTAGTTCAAAAAAGTTGTACAACTAAATTAATATGTAAAGAGCTTAGAATAAGTGTTACTCGTCACTTTTTATTGGCCTAGGTATACTTTTATTATTATCTTACTTGTACTACAAGTTGAGTATGATGGAGTTTTATATAGTGTGTACAGAGTAACGACCAGGTATCTTACTATGAGTACATTCATGTCAGTTCTCTTTTCCCATAGCCTGTTAAAACATGTGCACAGATACGAACCCACTGCAGACACTGTTACCGATCTACCACACAACTACCGCTAGGAACTAGACTCAATCACCGCAAGGAGTGCCATTTAGCTGCCTCTTGCAGTTCATGTCCGCTCCAGCACACCTCACAAGAATGCAGTACATACCAGCGGGTTGTTATGATTGAGGACTTTCAGATAAAAACCTTGAACGATACCGGCAGCATCTACAACCTCGCTCTTGCAACAAAGTCTGGTCAACCATAATATCCCCTGGAAACCATCAAGTGCTGGCGCAACTACTTCGCTGAGTTCACTGAGTTCTCTGATCAGAGAGGTATAATGGAGTACTTCACGCCCGAACTTGAAGTTAACAAGGGACTCCTTTCCGTAGCTGGTACAAAAACAAAAGAGGTGGTTTGGAATACATTCATTCGTCTGGTCAACACTACGGAGACACTTAGTATGGCTTTGACGACTTAGCTACTCTCGAGGATACAACCAGGGAGCTGCATACCCGCAAGGAATTAAAGATTCATTTTGTAAGCACGTATGATAAGGAACTTAAAGTTCCACCAATTTTTAGAGAACTCTTCCACCTGTTACCTAATCTAGCGACCCTTCGGCTTGTCATGGTATCGCCCTACTATAAGAGAGAAACTGGCGCGACGACGGACTTGGGGGTAGAACGAATCGTGGATGCATGCTGTCCGAGCTGCAAGGGGCGCGGCTTCATAAAAACCGAAAGGGTATATTCTGGTCTATATCATGACTTTGGTGCGCTGTCTGAATTCTCAAAGCCAGATCTAGTAGTATTACCATTCAACAGCGCCCGAGCCGGAGGATTTTCGAAACCGGTGGAGGAATGGAAGCCCACAACCAAGTTTTTGGTTGACGTGTCAGTACCGACCGTTTGCACAGAGATTATTGATCATGTAGCGGTCAATGATCTCGCAGAACTCAATGTCCTGGGTGCCAATGTACTCCTGGAGCTTGAAATCAATCCCTGGAGAAGCCTCGTTCCAGTTTTTGGTGCACCATTACCAGTACTATCGATACATCTTCCAGGGAAGGAAGTAGAATTTATGTAAGATTCTAGGCACAACGTAAAGTGGCACTTCTCTGTTTTCATGTCACAATATTGAAGTCATCTGGTACTTTGCGGTCACGGCGTGTGTAGCTTCAAAATTGAACCAATTGTATTACTTGACTTTCCACTACCCGTAAAAATATGCTCCAATGGGAACTACCATCGAACTTAATCTGCTGATGCTTCCTGTCCTACCATGAACTGTTGTTCTCTCCTAGTCGCAGAAATTCTACATTGTCAAATGTTACATTCTTCGGATATGGAATTAAAATAACACCTACCTAGTTCGTCAAGAAAGGAATACCAGCCTGTGCCTATTCGGGCAGAGATGCCATCTCTATTCTGCTTACAAACTAGGCAGGTAGTATTTTAGTCAATAGTCGCATGATTTTCCCATCTTTTGGCTTTCTAACCCATTATGCGACACACCGCTACTATGGATTAGTGACAGTTCCTCACAGTACAAAACGATCCGTATTGACAGCTGTATTTAAATCCATTCCGGCCACTTTCTTACGCCTAACTTGTGCCATGGCGCTTTGCTTTCACTCCTTCTGATATACTACAACTTACCCACACACCACCGCCATATTTTGGAACATTTCCGTTCATTTTCAAAGATGATCCTATACTCAGCGCTTCTCATCAATGTATTATTCTCATCCGCCCAAAGGGCGGTTGCCCAACTCCCCGCTGCTCTAAATCAATACCATTCTGAGTGTAACTCAGTCTCTTTGTCCCGTTAGCCTGCTTGTATGGCAGCATTCCATCGCTACTGTTCCGACAATCAATATGGATCAGCAGGCTACCCTCAAGAAGTTGGCTCGGATGAGTTGGGTTTTCTCTGTGCTCAGACTTCGTGGTATGGAAATATCGCTTACGGTTCGGATCCCCCTTCACTATGTCCCTTCATCAAGCTAACATAAACAGGCGATTTACCCAACTGCAATGGAGCAACTCAGTCAGTAGGGTGTTATTCTTCTGTTCATCGGTTCTGTATCAGCATAGATAAGACTGGCTTTGGAATGGTTCAGGAGCTTGGATCTGGTGTTGTTGGACTGGCATGTGTTCCGTACTCTTGGTATGGCCTACTTGATACTTCGGTTCTTCGTGCACAACATGCAGGCTGTACTTCACCATCCCAGGGCCAGGAACCCGCTTGCATTGCTGCAATCCATCGGTATTGTACCGCAAATAACCTTGGCCAGGGGGGAGCTATCACAGAGGTAAGGACCTTTGAGGTTGAAGCTGCTTGTATTCGGGCGGCGACATACAGAACCGCGAAGGTTGCCGGGGTGTGATGAGTTTTTGGAAATGTAGCATTCGTATACAATTAACTCAATGAAATGTTTTCTTGACTGGTTTCGTCGATTTGAACCCAGAGCTGTGCTGAGAAATTAAATTCTCTTTCTTATTGGAACCTGATTAGGATGGGAGTTCTAGGATTCGATATCCGAAAAAGGCATTTGACTAGGACCTAGTCCACTAAAATTGGTTTACATAGAAGCCTCTGTCCTTTGGATACATATAGTTGTTAATAATGTCCAGCAAACACAAAGAAGAGAGCAGTGCTGTCCCCTCCAGAGATCAATTTCATAGCACAGGGTGTCCAGTAGATTGATGATATCGTTTTCGGAAGCAAAGAAGTAATGCATGACCGATTAAATGGTCGCCTATGAAACTCCAATTATTCAGCTTCGCAATTGAGTAAGGCCATGTTTCCCGAGAGTCAATATTGTAAGACGCGATATCTGGCCCACCTTCCACATTGTTTTAGGTGAATGTAGCTTGGCAACATCGTGGAAGCCCACTTTTATCGATAAACTGAATTCGTCCGATATTCCTAATTCGTTCTACCTAAAACGCAAAAGGCCTAAAGAATCTCTTGGGTTACGTTACTTTAGGCTTCTACTTGGTTATGTTTAACCCGCTAGGAGCGGTTAATAACTTTGTCGGACCCCGTAATACGAAATCCGTCGCCGTTATTTTCTATTCCTACTAAGTAGAATACTACGAAAAAAGGCTAGATTTTAATAGACACCTTTAAGTAGCGCGAACTTTGTAAAAAGACGTAGAATTATCCTACTTTTTCCTATCTTAGGGGCTAGAAATTTAATTATAAGATAAATACTACCTATTTATAATTATATATCTCTATTACTAGGATCTATATAGTTATCTAGCGAGCGAGATAATAAGAGATAGGTAAGTATTAAAGGTCTAAGAAAGTAAGTAGAAATCTATAAAATAAAATAATAGATATAAGTTAATAGTAATTAACTAAAATAAGTTACCCTTTTATATATTATAAATACCTAAGATACCTCTAAAATAATTCGCTTATAACTAAGATACCCCTTCAATTATACCCTTTAAATTTAGGGGTATCTTAGTTATAAAATAAAGGTATATTAGTTAATTTAATAATAAAGTTTCGCTAAATATCCTAAGTAATTAAGGTAAATTAAATAATATTTTAGTACTAAATTAGCTATTAAATTTCTTTAAGGTATTTACTCATAACTCTAGTAATAATAATACTACTAACTTTACTATAAATAGTATTTATAAATACTACTATACTACTTTATCTAGAAGATAGAGCGCTATAAGAAGGAAGTAGTATAGCTATAGTATATATTCTTTCTTAATAATTAGTATAAGAAAAAGAGGTTATTAATACCGAGTTTATAGTAGAAGAGCCTCTACGAATTAAATAGGAATAAAGTTTTATTAGAAAAGTAAAGAATACTATTTATACTTAGCTTCTTAATTATAAAGAGTCCTAGAGAACTATTAAATCTAATCTAATAAAAGTTATACTCGAGTATTAGAATAAGGCGAATCATAAATTCTACGTTTAAATAATCCTTTCTATAAATAATAAACGCGCTATATGTAAGGTATATTCTTCTTATAAGTATTCTTTAAATATATACCTTAGCTACTACTAGCTTAATAGCGTTAAATATATTCTCTATAACTATAGTAATATAATTAATTAAAACCTAGATCTTAAAACTAAATTTCTAGTCTAGTAAAATAGTTTTTTGGACTTTTAAGTAAGAAAAAACACATATATTTTAATTACTTTATATAAAAGAAAATAATTAGTTCCCTCGAGGTTCCTTTATTTACCTATATATATTATATATATAGGAATACTAAAAGTATACTCTAACTTATAAGGTTATATTAAGCTTATAATATACTTAAAACTTTTATAACTATAATATAAATAAAGTAGTATAACGTATTATAATCCTATATTTTTAGAATAAGCGTATAATAGTTATAGTAGAAGTTATAAAAATTAGAAGTTATTACTCTCTAATTACTACCTTTAAAGTATAATAGTAGACTAAGATAGCGGTTACGTTATACCTAGGTACCTAGGTACCTATATAAGAATACTAAAACTATAACTACTACTCTCGCGCTTATATTTAGCTAGAATTATATATAATATATATACAGATCGAGTATAAATATCCTAAGTATTTCGGTTATATTCTAGTATTCTCGCGATACTATTATAATATCTATAGCTAGTAGAATATAAGCTAGTATATATAATATAGAACGTAAGCTAATAGTATTTAAGATTCGTATAAGGTATATAGCTATACTACGCTCTAGCTATACCGAGAGCTATACCTAAAACTACTTCTCTTATACTTATATCTAGCTAGAATTATAACTTATATAAAATATATATAAATTAAGTACAAATATCCTAAGTATTTAAGCTATATTCTAATATTCTCGCTATATTATTATAATATTTATAGCTAGAAGAGTATAGGCTATAAGCTAGATAAGTATAACCGTGGATTTTAGTAGGGTACTAGGGGTTATATAATTTACTTAGACCCTTACTATATAATCCGCTATCTTTTTATATTTTCCTTAGTATTTAAGTCTTAATTAAATAACTTATTATTATTAATATATTATTACAAGGCTAGACGGCTCGTAGGCTCGCCCTAGCCCTCTTATTACGTCTAATAGTCTCTTTATAAGTTAATTTAATTTATATATTTATTTATTAATTATAAATTAACTTATTATTAAGTATTTAGGTTATAAGCACGCCTCGCTAGCTACGCTAGCTCGTACGAACTCGCCGGCTCTAAATTAGATATCTTAGTTAAGGTTTTGTACTTTAATAATAATAAGTTATTTAATTAAAAGTTAAATACTAAGGAAAAGTCGTACTTATAAGACGGATTACGTACTAAGGCGTAAAGGTAATATACCTCTAGTACTTTATTAAAATCTATAGTTATACCTACTTATCTAGCTTCTAGCCTATACTCTACTAGTTATAGATATTATAAGCGTATAGTAAGTATTAGAAAGCTTATAGTACTTAGTACTACTACGGGTATCTAACTAATACTAGTAGAATATATAAATCCGACCTAATAGATCGAGATTAAAGGGAAATAGAATAGAAAGAATAGATATAGAATAGTTATCAATTATTCGATAAATAAAGGAGAGCTAGCTAAGTGTCACGAATCACGTGCTCACGTGATACTTGTCATAATAAAGAGGCGCAACCCTCGACGGGCACATCCAGGTTTCTTATAGCAAATAGGGATGCTTAGACTAGCTAAGCGATCCAGGGATTTCTCGTGTATGTAGTCACGTGATCAATCGCATCACCTGTATCGCGATGTTAGCGATAGGAGGTCGACTACATCGACAGGTGATGTAGGCGATGTAGAGAGAACGAAGGTTCTATATAAGACTGGCACGTCTGCCATTAGATAGGGGCTTCGTGCTCAACTTAGTTATCAATCTTATCATATTAGTTTGACATCTTTGATACAAGTAACGAGTTCACTTCCAAGTGAACAACCCGATAGTCTTCTTCTTATCATAGCATACCGACCAGCGAACACCCAGCCAAGTTTAGTTAGTCAGTTTGAGTATTCGTTACACCTTAGTATAGTACTACTAGACTAAACGTAATAGTATACGAAGAGGTATTACTAGGATATTTAGCCCTTACTAATTAAAGTACCTATAAGTTATTACTAGAGCCTATAAAGTAACTACTATTTAAGATATTAAGCTAGAAGGAGACTATATACTAATAGACCTATACTTAAACGCGAAAGTAGTAAAGTTTAAGAATAAGTATAGGAGGCTTCTAGTAAGACTAGCTATTTATAATAAATATAAGAAGATTTAATACTAGATCTATAATAATAAAAAGAGTAGACTTGTAATCCGTAAGTAAATACTAGTTTAATTAGAAAAGAAAAGAAGTAGCTAGCTCTAAACCTAGCTTAGTAAGAGAAAGCCTAGAGTAGGTAAAAGAAAGGTAGTAGTTAGAGACTAAGTAAAGAGGGTTTAAGTAGAGCGTAAGAGAATAAGAAGAGTATATCTAAAAAGAGGCTAGAGGCCTTTAATAAAGTAGATATTCTTAATATAGAATAGTAGCTAAGAAAGCTCTATAAAGAGTTACTAAAAGCTAAGAGCTCTTTACTTATCTAAGCTAGAATAGAAAAGATAGGCTAGAAGAGTTCCTCTTTAATAAGAAGGTCCTAGACTAGAATGTACCTTACTACTAATATAGCCTTAGGAAAGATAATATTAGCTACCTACTACTCACTCTACTATCTCAAACTTAATAATAAAAAAATAAAACTATAAGATAACCTTAGAAGATAGAGACTAATAAGCCTAGGAGACGTCTAGGCTATACTTAGTAATAGGGAGAAAGCGCTAGTTCTACTCTCTTAAATACTATTACTAAGCCTTATACTAAATAGAAGAAGGAAATACTATAGAATAACTTAAGCGTAACCTATAGAGCTAGCTAGAAATAGCTAGAGTTATAGATTAGATAAAGAACCGTATACCCTTAGGGTTAGCTTTACGCCTAGCGGCGTATAATAATATATATATATATATATATTAAATTATATTTATAATATAATAATATTAATATAACTTCTTCATTTATTTATTAGCTTTAAGTAATCGAAGATAAAAGATATATTTTAAATCTAATTTATAATAGAACCTTTACCTTAGTTAATACTAAAGAAAGATTTAAAGTAAAGGCTTTATAATATATATAAAGATTCTAAAAAGAAATCCTTTACTTTAAATAAAGTGTGACGGAGCTGGATTTCATTTGACAGGATTTCATTCGCTTGGCCAAGCACGTGACGAGACTTGGCATTGGAACAACTTAAATAACTTCGCTCCTTTCAGATTCTCTTCTCTCTTTAGTTTGATTTCTTCGTACCTACGGTTTTAGTTCTAGCAATTGATTCAAAAG